GGGATGTGGGATGAGGCATCACCTCCCGCTCGCCTCCCCTGCCGGTGCGAGCGCGCATCGGGCGGGTGAGACATGCGGGCAGCGTCCAGGCTGAGCGACCAAGCGCTTCTACTGTACTCGTACATTCTAACAGGACCTCAGACCCGAGGTATGCATCACACAGCCGTGCCATCCAAGACAGTACAACTCCAGAAAGAAACAGCGCAGCCAATGGCCACTTCGTCGAGCCTTTGATTTTCCGTGTCCTCCAGCATGTTCAGAGCCAGTCTTAGCATATGAGTCTGCTCTATCGTGGCTTGTTCCCATATGGACATGACGTTTCATTTCTCTTCTGTCTAGGCGGATAATAGAGGGGGTTGCTCGGGTAATGTGACGGCCGCATCGACAAACGGCGTCAGATTCACACCGACACGAACCGCCTCCGCCGAATGGCTATGCCAAAGGACATGCTCGTACCTATTGCCCTTCTCCGCTCACCCCGATCAGGTTGGTGGTTTGTTTTTACTACTACCAAGTACGGACTCAAGGGAGACTCGAACGAATTATAGGCAGACCAAGGGCGACGGTCCCACTACCCTCATGCAAGCCGCTGCCAGCATGCCAGTCCGGCGATCTAATTCGCATCATCGCTCACATCTCACATTCTGCCCTTATATCGTTTGCCCCTTCAGCAGGGTGCTCTTAGTAGTACTTGATAGTCAGTGAGCAACTGAGCTGACGAGAAGTATTAGTACTCTCCTCGATCTTGGCCTTGGCCTTGATGTGCGACCTATCATGCGGCACAGATCACTACAACAATCACATACGGCAGATTTGACAGGACCACACCTCTACCTGGTCCCCAGTTCTTGGATTCGGGAGCGTTGGTCCTCGACTGAGGAAATGTCGCCGGAGCATATGCCACTGGAATCAGATCCCCGAATAGAAACAGCAGTCTACCTTGCCGTGGCGCAAAATCCAGGCGCGGGAGGCAGCGTTGCAGTCGCTAGCCAGTGCTTCACATGGATAGGAGGTCATACGTGATACATATTTCTTGCTTTTGTTCCGTCCCTGGCTCGCCTCCCTCGAGATGGAGTTGCACAGTCGCGCTCTTCTCGTCCCCACCACCCGCCACACAAGATAGCCGTCATACAGTCCCATACTGGATTTGGTTTTCCTTTTAGCAGACGGCACAGCCCGAGTCATGAGCGGCTACCGCATGCTCTATTCATCATGCAGACGGGAGTCTGTCTCAGGCCAAACAGATGCTTCCTTCAGCGCCATCGTCAAAAAATTTCCAGGCCGGTTTCCTATTAGGGCATTTACGATATGTGATACTCGCCTACTTAAAGGATCACGAGGGCAGGCGGAGTGCAAAACAAAAGAAAAGAAAAAAGAAAAGGGAAGTAGGAAAAAGCAAAACCTTGCGAGTTGTCATTTCGCCTCTGCCCTGTTGTGTGAGTGCTCGTACATGCACCCAACTAGTCTGAGCAACTGTGGCGCCGGCCGCTAGCCTTTTGGTCTTGACTGGACGAGCTGACACTGGCAGTTTGCGGCTGATGGCGTCCAATGATGCAGCTTGGATTGTTCCCGCGTCCTGACCGAGCTGCTGTCCTGCATATTGGCCTGTCCAGATTATTGACAGGCATGTAACCACTTGTCACACCCATAAATCCTCCACTGTTTATACCCCGTGTTAGGCCCATCTCCTCATCACAGCTGCCCGGTCAACACTACGACCATTGCGGTATTGACTCCGGCTTCTGGTCCGGGAATCTGATCAATGGCCGAAATGCGCAGCAATCCGCCTAAAGCCGCCTCGGACGACACAAGACACGAGGATGGCTTGGGGAAGCCTTGACCGGGTCCTGCTTGGTGTGGTAGTTTATGGTGGCACAGATGCGCGGAATACGTTGCGTCGTGTTACCAGTTTGCCCAATCGCCGTCCTCACGCAGGTCGTATATCTCGGTGACTACGACTGTGTATCCTCCATCTTCCACTAGCCTAAGTTGTCATCCCTTCCCTGTCCTTTCCCATCAGTAGCTGCTATTACCAGTACTCCTTTCTAATACCTGCTACTGGCGTTATTTCTTCCAGACTCTTCTGCCATCAACTAACGGCTAACATGGAATACTAGATAGCCACTCGTTTCAGTGTGAAACTCCAGTATAGCCCTTGAAAATACCGTTGCCTAAGATGGAGTCTGAGAATGATACCGCACCAGCGGCTTGGTATTTGTCGTGGCGTGTTTACGGCCGGCCACTGTTGGTCCGAGAAAGCGGTTGGTTCCGGAAAGCCACGGACCATAATACATGTGTTTGAGGGGAGAAGCTTGGGGCATTATGAGATCAAAAGTCAGCTTCACTCGTCCGATAGTGATCCATTGCCTTTTTAGCGGTTTCACGCACCACGTGCGCAGATTATTTTCTCATCAAGCCACATGTTTGTGCGTGGTCAAAGCAACACATGAAAGCAGGGCCGCTATAGCGCGGCTTGTTATCCAGCAGCTTGTATCCCAAGTCATGTCCATACCAGGCAGTGTATTAATAGGTCAGTAGTGTATGGACAGACATGTCTACTTGTCGGGATCTCTCTAGACTATAAGATATAAAACCCCCACAATAGATTCATGGCGAGAGTAATTGTTCATCAGGACCCCGAGAAGAGTGCACAGATGTGAAATAAGTGTCTCGGAGTAATTTGATGGATGCCACTTTTGGCCACTTTAATTACTTCAATTTTCGAAATTGCGAGCTTAAGCGGGTACCCAGTGGCCATTTCAACAACGAAAAGGAACAGTCTAGTAGCACACCAGACTTGCTCTACTTGAAGGGTATGGCGAGAGCAGTAGAAGTTGGAAAAGCGGCAATAGTAGAGAGAGTAGCAATAGTAGAGAGAGTAGCAATAGTAGAGAAAGTAGCAATAGTAGAGAAAGTAGCAATAGTAGAGAAAGTAGCAATAGTAGAGAAAGTAAAGATAATAACAGATACTCGGATAATTAGACATTGGGCACCAAATCAAAAGATTGCTGAGCTCCCGTTCAATCTCTCTACAACAAGACGGGGGGGGGTTTGGCCAAGTTTGAACGGCCTTGTAGACTCCATAGGAGCAAGCTATAACATGCTTAACAGTATCCATATAGTCGTATGGTTGCTATTGAACACTTGGAAAGAGAATTGTAAGCGGAATGGCTAGTATATCATGTGGCAGTCGTATCTTATTTGGACTGGTTGTAAGGATTTTTGACATATTTATTAGTGTGCAAGACCATCCTGCAATTCATTCTCTCTCTCGAATCAGGTAATATATTGTCACGTAACATACAACTATGGCACATGACAATTCACCACTAATCAAAGGGGATTCTTCGCAATGTTTCTACATGGCCTCCTTTCTTCATCTCCTGGGCAGCAGCAATACTACTGGGCACTTTGATACCGCAGCAGTCGCCCCAGCCCGTGCCGTCGTGTGCGTGACCTGTGTGGCCATGGTTGGAGTGGTCCTCGCCACTGTCTTCACCAGCAGCAGACGGGTCTTCTTCACTCATACCAGGAGCAGCAGAGATAAGAGACCCGAACATGAAATGCTGCATCACCGGCAGCTTTCCTAGTACTTCGGCAACAAACATACGACGCATGCCTCCGTCGATTTTAGTCCACGACTTTGAAGACGAGATGTCGTCCAGCATGGGGCTATGCCATCGTAGGCCTTTGACCGTCTTTGTGCTGTTGACAAAGTTGACCTGGCCGAGATAGAGATAGTCATCGCCAAATTCCTCGACCGTGAGATCCTGGTGAATGGCGCGAGGGGTGATGTACGGATGGTGTAGGAGCTGAGAAGCGCCAAAGAGGAACGGCAGGAACTGATAATCGTCCAACCCCCAAACACCGTGGGAACCCGCAGGCTCCAGATAATACGCCATCTGGACGACTCTCATCAGGGAGATGTAGCGAACAAAGACTCGAAGAACAAGCGCCTGGAAGTCGGAGCGCTGTAGGATGCCGAGCTGGTACAGACAAAGCAGCCACATCATAAAGTTGAGCTCGTGTCCTGATCCATAGTCGATTCGATTCCGGTTACCGAATGACTGGGCAAAATAGGCAGATGCCTCGGCGATGGCGTCCGTGTTGTGCAGACCCAGGCTTTGATGCCACGCTGGGGTCTTATCCTTGACCAAATCCAGGAAGCCTCTAAAGGCTTTATTGCCGAAGCGAGAACCGCCCTGCTCGTTGGGTGGTGACTGAGACACGAAAGCTTCCGCTTGGTCCAGTATGCTTAAAATCGTCTTGACGCCCTCACTCAGGGATTCGTCCCTGACGGCAGACTTGGGTGTGTCCACTACCGACTCGGATAGGCCAAAGACCCAAGCCGATACGAGGCTGTAGGTTGGAGAGGCCAGAAATAGCTCATGGTCCTGCTTTGAAAGAATGCGCCTGCTCGGGAGCTTGAAGCTCCAGTCCGCCAAGTCCGGGGGCGAAGGGAGAGCGGGAGTCTGAGGAATAGGAGTTGGGTTGGAGGGGCCGGGTCTCCTCCTGCGAGGCTCGAGCTTGGGGATTCTGTCTTTCAGGTTGGGGATGCCCGAGGCCAGGGATGGTGAAGGGGCCGGCTGGGCGGGTGATTCGGAGGCCATGGCGCGCGTGTTCGGATTCTGATTCTGATTCTGATTTTGATTCTGATTCACCGATGCTGAAGCTGTGCTTTGTAAGATGCAGGATGAAGAAGTTGAGCAGCTACCCGGATGGCGAAAATCGGTACCTGAAAGTGCCAGCAGCTCAACCCCACGTCACTGGTGATGGGAGGTCCCCACAAGGTATCTGCTAGTACCTGAACCCGGGAGCAGCAGCCACGCCAAACCGCTGTCCAGGTACCTAAACCGAGAGGCTACTTTGGCAGATCGAGACTAGCAAAGCCGGGCTCCTCATCACGGGCAAAATTTCAATCTTGTGCATATCTGAGTCTCAGGCACTTGCAGCCTCATCCTCGTCCTTCTTTCACCACAGCGCCGTATCTTTTTGCAGCCATGGCTCCTCCTACAGCTGAGCTGTCACATCTCCCCAAGGCCGACGGCTCGGCAAATTTTGCATTCGACGGCTACACAATCACAGCGGCCGTCAACGGGCCGGTAGAGGCTCAGCGTCGAGATGAGAATCCCTTTGAGGCGCTGGTGGATGTGAATGTGCGGCCGGCAGCAGGAGTTGGAGGTGAGTTGATATCACAGCGACGGGGATTCTCATTCGTCCGGCTGACATCTATCGCTGCCTTGTAGGAACGGCCGAGCGCCAGCTGGAGGCTATCCTGCAGCCTGCTCTGCGACATCTCATCCCGGTCAGAAACTTTCCGAGATGCGTGATTCAAGTCACGCTCCAGGTCATGGAGGTGCCTGAAAACGCCTATGTGAACACCAAAGTGCTCCAGCCCCGGCTGGTGAGTGATGCCGTCTTCTTTCTCGTTTTCTCGTTTACGAGCCTGGTTGTTGATCGGCTAATCTCACACTCATTTCCGTAGAATCTCGGAATCATTCCAGCACTTCTCCACGCCGCGATTCTGGGTCTCCTAACGGCAACAATTCCCCTAAAGACGGTGGCTTCAGCAACTTGCCTAGCAATTACGAATGATGATGAAAGCACCGTCAAGGTAGACCCAACGCCCGCGGGAATTGACCAAGCGAGATCTGTTCACGTGCTGGGCTTTACGGCCGGCCGCGACCTTCTCCTGGCCGAGAGCGAGGGCTCTTTCTCAGCTGAAGAGTGGGACAAGGTTCTCCAGGCGGCGGAGAAAGTGTGCTGCCGCAGCCAGGAGGCCGAAGACGATGCGGAAATGGGAGGCTACGGGGCAGATTCCGAAAATGTGCAACAGTTTATGCGCTCAGTCCTGGAAGCTAAAGCAGCCGAAGGTCTCCACTGGAGGTGAAGCATTTGGCGTTGTTGATACATCATTTCTTCCCTACCATTGGCTCCCCTTTCGATAGATATCATGGGCGCCAGCAGAGACGGTTTAGCTCATTGCATTTTTGCGATGGTGCGGAGCGCCCTGGTTTAGACGGGCGATTCACAATTGAATTCACAGGTGATGCGTGGGAGCCAGCTTTAGTGAGACGCTATCACCTCAGGGAACACGACGAGACTGGACAGAAGGGATGGGACGGGAAAACGCTATTGGATTTGTGATATTCCTACGAGATGCCATCCAAACAGGTCAGCTGGGTCGAGATAACAGCTCGCTAAGCTGTATTAATAATTCCCGGATATGTCGCTGCAATCTCGAAGAGGGTGCGCCAAACAGGCTGAATTCTTTGATGATGAAAAAAGTTGGGGGAATATACACGTGGGGTACATTACAAGGGACTCGTTATATGAACTTGGGTAGCAAGAGGAATCAATGGTCACCTACGTGGGATGCTGGATAGCCAACTTGGGGTACCGTACAGCAAATCGAGACATTTCTTCCCCCGTCTCTGCTTTGCCATGTCTAAATTTGGTAGCACTCGGATATGCATTTGTGTTTTTTTCGTAACAGCCCCTGGTGTGAAATATGAAACGGCGTTTCGGCCACCAGCGGCAGGGCCCGTAGCGACCGTTACAGCACAGATAGAGAGAGAGTAACCCGTAGTATCTGGATAATAATACTCCCTAGAGAAATGAGCAAAGGGGAAGCTGTCTGCTACTCCAACATGCTCTTTTCGAATCCGGACGCACAACACCATGTTTAGAAGCTGGGGGCTGGTGAGACTGCCAAGGCGCCGCACTATCAACCAGCGGGTATCTGGCATGGAGGTATCGCCTCCGTACTCGCCACTGGAAACGTGCACTGCGACAGGGCACTTGATGGGATGAGTTTTTTTTTTTCTCCGCAGCGTAGCATTTCGGCTTGGTTTGATTTCCATTTGTGTTCAATGTTTGGTTTTGGCCGTCGGATTACAGTATGGGGGCGCATACTTGTCCCCGTCTTGGTAGGTAACTAATACCCGTAGGCAGCTCTGTTGTGCAGTAGTATTATAAACGCGGCGCGTATCAGATACCTTGCCACTTTCAATTGCCGGGCGTAATGCTCGTCTGCGTCTCAGATGCAACGCCCTTCATTCAAAGCGTCTCCCCCAGTCTTGTTCCTTCGCTCCTCATTTTCAGGGGATGCGTTTTGCGGTGCGTCCCGCTACTCCGTACTATTAGCTTCCTACTGCGGTGGGCAGGGGACGGTGGCTGTTGTTTCGCTCATCGCCAACGCCAAATGTTTCTGGGGGCTGGCGACAGCTTAGGAGCTGTGACGATGGCTGCATCAATGTATCGACAAGGCTCTATGATAGATGATGGGATTCGTTAGCGGTTAGAGAATTAGGTTGTTATTTTTTATGTATCTTTGGTTGTCGGTTATAAAAGACTCCTGGCGCCAAGCGGCTTCTTTGTTGTTGGTTTTTCTTTGTTTGTTTCGTTGTCGACGCACGCATCGAGATTAATCGCCAATCACCTAAACGGCTTGGAGTCGCAGTGCCGGAAGCAGAACTCTGGAAGTTCCTGCAAGTGTTTTTTACAGCGTGTCTTTTCGATTTGCTTCATTTCGCCTCCGTTATTTTTTTGCGCATCTTTTCTTGACGGCATTTATTCTACATCATTTTATTTTAATTCCAGCCACTCTCTTTATTGCCTCTTTCGGCCTCCTTTTGCTATCGATACAACCGTCGACAGCTGTGGCAAGACCAGACCTGGCGTCGGCTCGTTCCTTCCACTCAATTGCTAGTGTCAAGAGACTTGCCCCTTTTCTGCTCCCTCCGATTTGGAGATTTTTCAGCTTCACTTTGCACCTCATTTCTCCTCATCAGCGCCAATTCCATTGCTTTGCGCTACAGCTGGTCTGTTGCAACTTCACGTCATCGCACTTTGCTCATCGGAACAACTCTTCACCTCGATACCGCTAGCACGGCAATACTTGCTCTCACTGGCCTCAGCATTTGTCGAAAGAGGTAATAGGTGTTGGAACCCGCCCTGCGGAGAAACTCCCACTGAATAAGCAACAGTCGCAGCGCGAACAAGAAACTGCAAGGTTACGCAGACAACCCTTTTCGCTCCGACGCTTCCGCTGGAGCCTAGCGTGTCGTGCTTGCATCGCATCGCATCGCCGTTTTGCAAAATTGGATGAGGGGGATCGCTGTGACGCTAGCTGCATCACCGTACGAGCAACTGTGTGCCAAAGTGGCAGCCAATCCTCCGCATAATCCCCAAAGCGCTGGCTGACTTTGCCTTTCCCGATTTGTAAGGCCCAGTCCCTGTCGATTGGCCCTTTGCGCAGTGGTGGACTCGCCGCTGTACCGTCGCAATCTTGGCTTACACTGTTCTACAGCTTTCCACGGAACACGGGATTCCGCTATCATCTCTGCGCCTCATAATCCCGGCGTTTCCAAGCACCCACTGCCTAAGCCCGCCCGGGGTTAATAATCGCTTTCGCAATCGCATCTGCAACGCGCTGTAGCCGCTACCGACGCTCGCTAGAGTGAGTAATCATGGCCGCCGTATCGCCTCGGACCGACCTCCACCCCTCGCCCGAAAAGGGCAGCGGAGTTGACTCGCAGGAGCGCCCTGCTGCTTCGCTTTTGTTGGCTAAGTCCGATATATTTGACCGCCGCCCCAAGTCCTCGTCCGGCATTCATAATCTGTCCGTCAACGTCACAAAGGCATCCCGATATGAAGTCGACTCGAACATCCCATACACTGCTATTCCATCGTTAGGTGGCTCTGGTGCCACGGGTCCTTCCGCCACGCCTGTTATCATTTCCCCGGCCGAACCTTCGACTGTGCCTTCGCCCAAGACCGCAATTTTAACAAGCCTCACTGCGCCTTCGCCGGATTCCAGCCAGCAACAACCACGCGAACGATACCAACCTACTGTTGCCCACGACCTACTTCCTCGCCAAACCATTCTCAAGGCACTCGCATCGACCACTTCTGTTTCGCGTCCCAGAAAGCCCGAGGCTCTTTCCTTCAACAACATGTTATTCCCTCACAGCAACGGCGGCTCTTCCGCCGCCGCGAGCCCTCAGCAGCTCGTCGATGCGCTCCAGGACCTAGCAAAGAAGAGAAATACACCGACCACGGCAATCAGCAATCTGTTGTCGCCATGCTTTTACCACCAGCGATTCGACGACGCTGTCGATTTTGAAAAGGTCCTGGACGAGATCAAGAATGACGAGTCCATGTCGCACTCTCGCTTGGTCCAGACCGCGACAAGCGTTCGCGAAATCTCCAAGCAACTCCAGCGTCGCCCTGTCAAGCGCGCTGTGCGCAACGTCATGATTGTTACCAAGGCACGGGATAACCAGCTTGTTTACCTGACGCGAGAGTTGACAACGTGGCTTTTGCAAACCCCCCGATATGGGTCCGACGTTGGCGTCAACGTTTACGTGGACGCCAAGCTGCGCAACTCTAAGCGATTCGACTCTGCCGGCATTGTCGCTCAAGATGCGCGATTCGAGACCATGCTCAAGTACTGGACTCCGGATCTGTGCTGGAGCCAGCCCGAGAAATTCGACCTGGTCCTCACCCTCGGAGGTGACGGCACTGTCCTCTTTACCTCGTGGCTCTTCCAGCGCATCGTGCCCCCGGTCCTCTCGTTCAGCTTGGGCAGCCTGGGCTTCATGACGACATTCGAGTTTGAAAACTACAAGAAGCATCTCAACCGCGTGATGGGAGATGATGGTATGAAGATCAATCTCCGCATGCGCTTCACCTGCACCGTGTGGAGAGAGGGTCAAAACGGCAATCCTGATGAGGGAGAGCAGTTTGAAGTTCTCAACGAGCTTGTCATTGACCGCGGCCCATCGCCGTATGTTTCGAACCTGGAGCTGTACGGAGATGATGAACTCCTGACGGTTGTCCAAGCTGATGGATGCATCTTTTCCACCCCCACTGGTTCGACTGCCTACTCCCTCTCGGCTGGTGGTTCCCTCGTCCACCCGGATATCCCAGCCATCCTCCTGACTCCCATCTGCCCACACACGCTCTCGTTCCGCCCCATGGTTCTCTCCGACACCATGGCGCTTCGTGTCGCCGTCCCGCGCAACTCTCGAGCTACCGCGTACTGTGCTTTCGATGGCAAGGGACGCGTGGAGCTCAAGCAGGGTGATCACGTTACCATCACGGCATCTCAGTATCCCTTCCCAACTGTCACCCGAACCGACACGGAATGGTTCGACAGCGTCAGTCGCACTCTGCGGTGGAACGTCCGAGCCGCTGCTCAGAAGCCTTTCGATGCATCCGGCATTTCACCTGATGGTGATGATGACAATGACGACAGCTGGGATATCGACACTGACAGCGCATACTATGCGAGCGAAGAGGGCAGCACTGCCGCCAGCCCCGTAAGGAGGCAAATGAGCATGCTGGGCATGTGATTTCGACAACCGTGCAATTTTTTCTACTCTCTCGATTTATACACGAGCGTGTCTTGTCAGCGCTTTGGTTGCAGACTATGCTTACACCGGCACTGATTCTTATACACTTTCACTGAACATATAGATATAGGATATGTCTGGAGTTTTCTGGCGTTGGAATACGGATGGGACTCCTCTGGATAATGTCCCTCCTTGGTTAGATTTTTTGGCTCTTTCTTTAAACCACAGTCTTGTTAGACTAGATGACACTACATCGCTAGAAGCGACTTGAGCAACGATCTTGGGTCGCTTGAAATGCAAAGAATACGAATCTTTCGTTTGCCACACATGTTTTGAGTAAATTTTCTAGTAAATCAATTATTCGTGACTTGTAGTTTCAGTGTCGTAGAGCCTTTTAGGGACAGCATCTCAGCGACTACGTTGAGTTCAAGTCAGAAGGACAACCTGTTATGTAATACCACGGGTGCTGGCCCATGCAATAGATGCCCGTTTGTTGAATATCTGCTGCTATGGCTATATTCTTCTATTATAGCCATGTTCCTCTAGCATCTGCTATGTACTAAACGACACCTTTCCATGACGCTCCAACGCCTAGATGTGAATCCTCCCAGGCCCAATAGGGCATAACAACAGTGACAAACTTCTTCCCCCATACCGTAAAGATCTCTTGGTGTTGCTGTTGCATTGGTATCAATAGTTGCAAGAATAGGCGGAGCCAAATCATCAAGGCTGTGATGGAGGGTGTTTGTCGGTCCAGTAAGGTTCATATCGACTTCTTTAGTAAAATTCTCGGTGCCCAAGGGGCTGTATATTTTGGGTATGTGTGAGGCAGTAATCATCCACGGGTATATTGTCACAAGCGCACAACGCTGGTTGACTGCGTTTCGTTTGGCATGCTGTGAGAGGATGAATCACACGGGTCGGCGAACTTCCTTATCCAGCTCGTCAAATATATCCTGCGGCTCCTGAAAATCGCTGCGAGTCGAGGGATTTCTCCGTCACGTAGGACTTGGGAGAAATCATTCGCCCGATATTCAGTAAGCAGGTCTTGCTTTTTGAAGTCAACTCCCTTCATGTTGACTTTGAACACATTGGGATCGATGGCATCTTCAATAGGGCCATTAGTAGGGTCGGTCATTCGCCAGACGAATCCTCGCCAGATGAATCATCCGTGGGATCAACGCTTTGTTGTTGATTGGTGACTTGGCCTTGGTTGCAGTCCGGCATAAACCAGCCATCGTGGCCTGGCAACGTAAGACTGTTGATAACATGGGCATCCCGGTGGAGGCGTTGGAGTCTTGCGGCTCGTTGCTTCGGCGGAGTGTTCTCCCACTCCCTGCAAAGATTGATTGTCTCGGTCGACGGCAATTCGCGAATTGCCTGGATGAGCTTGCAGTCTAGGGAAATCATTAGTACTTGAAGCAAAGCGGGAAATTAGTAGGGACAAAGTAATACCGTGATCGACTTCGAGTTGGTCCATCATCTCGCTGAGCCGGACTCGGGACGGAGTTTTTCTCCTTTTGTCTCTTTCGTCGGGAGATTCATCCAGCTGTGTCCAGGTCGGGGTAGTCTTTCGTCACGCGTTCGTAGTAGTTCTGTCTGCTGCATATCTTTGGTCCAGACATTACGCGTATGAACCAGAGGTGAACCCAGTTGGCGGCCCTGCCCCCGTCTTTGGCCGCGTTCCTTGTCAATTCTGTTGGATGAAACGGTGATTGTCGTGGCGCTTATGGCGTATGTCATTGTTTTGGTTTTCGCGCGGAAGAAGCATCGCCCGTTGGGTCGACCATCTGGATGCTTCTTCCAAGTATGTGCTGTCAAGAGCTCTTGCTGGCGTGTTTGTCATGTGGTTCGGCTCTGATTTGCATTTTGCTCTGTCAAGTATGAACTCGCTGGCGAGTTCTACGGCGGTTTGTTCCATGTGAATACAGATCCTTGAAAAGCAGGCTCCGAAACAAAGTGTGTACAAACCTCCCCTCCGTCGACATTGTTTGCACAAGGGACTTCAGATTCCTCTTTGGGTGGAAGGACTGCCGCGGCCTGTTGCTTCATAACTGCACAGATTCGGCCAATGTTTGCGTTGGTTGGTTTCGATAATAGTTGCATGTACGTCGGTCGAAGACGACATCTGTTTTGCTGCTTTCGGGTTGCTAGGCATCAACATGAGTTCAGTAAGGTTTGGTTGTTCCGATCAAACACCCATCCGTTCCATTGCGAAACCAGTTTATTCCCGTTTGGCTGGCCGACCGAGTCATTCCAAAGTCGTGCCTTCGTGAGGTATTTCCACTGACCTGCGATCTGTTGCCATTGTTGATTCTGTATGCATACACCACAAAGGGCTGCTTATGATGATGAGGGGTTCAGTAGTAAAAGACGTCCATCGGGTATGCCCGGAAGGCCTTCACACGCGCTACGCCATCAGAGTAAGCGCTGTTCAGAACATGAGACCGAGTGTCCGAAAACGTACCTCTTCTTGTCGAAAGAAGGACATTGCAAGCAATCCCCGTAGTGATAGTGAGTCGGGGCATCAGGCATTGTCGAACCCTCTAAAAGAGAATCTCCAGGGAAGAATTCAGTCATGTTCTAGGTCTCAGTCTGTATCTGTAGTGTTGGTTCGAGGTTTAATTTATCGTCCGGTAATCTTCTTCAAAGCGGACATCTTCGACAATATGATTTTTTCCGTCTTCAGCACCAGATTGGAGTTCGCGCAGAGCGCGACGGAGTTTTGGCTCGGCGGCAAAAAGTTCATTCAGCCACGAACAAGTATAATGTCGAACACGGCATGTGGTGCAGCCCGCACCCGCCCCGGGGGCACATTGAATTCGAGTGCCGGAAGCAATGAGAGAGTTGATACACTGCTCGCAGGGGTACGCGATGACGTCCGGGGGCTTGCTAGATTCATCTTCGGAGTCTCTGGCCGTCATCGCTGAGATGGCGACAACGGCCAAGGATATGATGTCCCAGCTCAAGTTCAGTTGATGAGTGAGAATCTACGGGATGGGATTGAGCTTCTAGCCAGCTAACTAGCCGAAACTATATAGACAATTTGGAGCCAATTCACTTGTGTGCGGCCATTTGCATACATGTATTCACCGCCCGTCTACGTGTCAATGCAAGATGCCGACTCAAGTGAATGAAGATCGAAAGCTCTAGATTCACTCTCAAGTGAATGAAAGATTGAAGAGTTTAGAGTCCCTCAAGCAAGTTGACCTTCAGAGGCAAGTAGGAGGCAAGTAAAGTAAATCATGCAGTAGCTTTCTAAAACCATTGATTCTCATGCATTGGTGCCAAGTAAACAATGTAGATGGAACAATTTCTTTTCTATCCCCGCCAGTTGATATTCCCACCGCTCCGTGTGCGCCGTTTTCAAATGCTGCTGCAGCTGGCCTGGGAGAATCAATCCAACTGTTGCCAGTTCCAGCCATAAGCCAATCCCACGACAAAACAAAAACTCCCTTATCCGCAATGTTCAAACCAGCAAACATTCCTGTCTCTCCCAAAGTTGGAGAGAAATATGGTAAAATATCCTCTTATGCAGATCTCCCTCTCGCCCTCTAAAGACAAAGAAAAAGTGTCAAAATTCGTCAAGGGGAGTACAAGAATTAGAAATTCATGCCTTCGTATAAAAAACAAAGGGAATGATCAAATGAATGTGTGCAGTGATGCTTTTCTTGTCTTTCTTTTTTTCCAAGCAAGATTTTTTTTTTCTTTTTTTATCGCGGTTCTTCGCTTCCCGCTTCACTCACCTCCAAGCGCCCTGGCTCAGAGACAGCAAGCCGGCAACGCAGTCCATGTCGCCCTTTTTGCTGGGGCTGACCTCGCCGCACATGAACCGGCTTACTTCATCGTCCCGTGGGGACTCTGCCTTGGCCTCTAGATCCCGGAAGCCATGGATGCCCGTTTTCACGGGAGAGCAAGGCTCCGATGGCACGGCGTCAGACCGCACCAGGAACGCTGCTGGGCTCTTTCGGCCCTGCAGCGCTCGACCGATGCGTCTCGCACTCTGCGATCTAATGGGGCTGCCAGGAGCCACTTGGCGTCGTCCTTCAGCACAAGTTGCCCCGTCTCGCGGGCTCCAGTTCTCCTTGTCCGAGTCGGACGGGGAGACGAGCATGGAGACGTTCATCTTTGCGTGAAAGGACTCGCGCGGCCTCTCATCGTTTGCCCAGCATGTTTCCAGCCGAGCAACGCTGGAGGCGGTGCGGCCGAGCCTGGGCTTCTTGGTTTGGCGAGAGCGCTGGTACTTGGACAGCGGGACATTGCGCTTAATGCTGCTAGGCTGCAGGATGCCGCTGCTGGAGCGGAGCAGGCTGATGGCAGCAATGGCAGAACCGCTGGACTCGTGCTCAGCTTGAGCCGTCAGCTCATCGCGAGTCTCGGAGTCGGCACACAGCTCCCAAGCATGAACATCACGGGATCGGCCACGAACAAGGCGCGGTGGAAGTGAGTTGGTCAAGGTTGAGATGGGGGGTAAAGTGACAGCAGGGAGTGCACTATGGCTACGCTGAAGGCTACGCTGCCGATACTGGGACAGAGAGGGCAGAGTAGACGGAGGCCTTGACGGGGTTTCACGGACTGGGGATGACTCGTTGTTGGCCACCAGCTCAGCCTTGCCCTCAAGGGAAAGGGAAAGACGCATCTGAGACTGATATGCTCTAGATGAATTAGATGAGCAAGAGGAAGGGTAGAAGGGGTCGAATCTGGGAATCAAAGTCAGCGAGATGAAGACGACACACACTCCCATCAAACACGCAATAACTTACTTCACAGAATTGTCACGAGGAAGGGGCGTGGCGTACGAATTGCCCAGGTTCCATCGGTTTGCCAGGTAGCCGACAGAGTGAGAAGCATGATGGACCTCATCCTGTGCGGATGGGTACAATTGCCGTTGTGGTGTCACATGCGGCAGACCGTTGGCAGAGAAGGGCGGGCAGCCGTAGCGGGGAGCCGGCGTGGCATGAATGGCCTCTACACCAGCGTGGTGAGGGTGTACATGCAGAGGGCTGTTGGGATGGTGAGAGGGTGGTGAGAGAGGATGGTTGACGAGGATTGGAGAATGCTCGGCGGAGGGAAACGAGGCGGGATCCAGCTCGACGACGATGCTGCGGGAGGTGATGGGGTCTGACGCGATGTTGTGCATGCCGCTGAAGCGGAGGGCCGCCAGCTCCTGCGGCGACAGCGGGCGTGATTTCCGCCTGTCATTCTGTCGACGATTCTGGAACCAGATCTAATTCGGCAAAGCAGCCTTGTCAGCTTATGTTTGTCTCTGAGCATAAAAGGGTTGCATAAATCTTTAATTGATCTAATTTGCAGACGCGTTGACCACCCCGGATCCCGGTACGGCAGCCAGGAGTGGACGTGCGAAATTTTCAAGCAGATGACATACCTGAACTTCCTTTTCGTTAAGTGAGACGCGGTTCACGATCTCGAGACGCGCCTGCTTATCGGGCTTGGGGTTGATGGAGTATGCTTCTTCGAGAATCAACTTGTCCTTGGTGCTAATTGAGGAAAGGTAAACATGTTAGCCGTCTGCAAAACATCCGGGGCCAATTGAAGCCGAAGCCGAAGCCCAGGTGACCTGTATCTATGGTTCCCAGGCCCCAGCAAGCAGCAAGCAGCAAAGCATCGGGTGGACATACGCTGTTCGCTTTCTCTTGCCCTTGGGATGTTTATCTGTAGTGGGGGATGAGACGGTGGGGAGCGCGCTCTGGGCCATGCCGGGCATGTACTCAGAGGTTCGGATAGGCGACGGGGAGCTGACATGCCGCAGATGCTGATGGTGATGATGATCCAGGTCGGCCATGGATGCAGGCGGCGTCAGAGGGTTGTTGGACATGATGGGGGTGGAGAGCAGTTATTGTTGTTGTTGTGGTGGTGGTGGTTGTTGTTGTTTGTGTCGCGGGTTGTTGATCTAGGAGGCGCCTAGAGCTAGAGGCATCACTCTCCTGGGCGTCGGGCTGTCGGGGATGTCGAGAGCGGCGTGAGGAGGATGGGATTAGGATTGGGATTAGGGGAGAGGAGGAGGAGGTTTAAAGACCAAGATAAACAACAATTGGGCCAAGGGGACGAGGAGGGAAAAAATAGAAAATAGCACTGATGGCCTGTCTCGACGTGTACGAGTAGCGAAAAGGACCAGACGTGGTAAGGCAGTGGCGTGTGTGTTGTGGACGTGCAGGAGGCGGTGGGAATTGAATTGGGTACATAAGCTCCAGTCGCATCGGCAGGCGATCAGGTAGAGTACCTTGGGTACAGGGGGCCGCTAGCGCTGCTGCTTGCCGTGGACAGCGCATAGTACAGCAGGTTACAGCACGCACAGCACGCCAACGGGCGGTCCCCTGGCGCTGGAGCCGGGAGGGGCGTGGGTGGCCGTGGGTGGCCGTGGGTGGCCCCAGGGGGGAGTTTTCGCCAGCGATCCACGGGCCCCATAGAACGGCATTCCGACCGCTGGTATCGGTACGGCGGGCGCCAGGCGCCCAAGTCACCTCCCAGAGGCACCCCTCTAGCTCTCTGGGCGCTCGAAATTTCAATTCCTCTCTGCTAGCAATTTAGAACAAAAAAAAAAAAAAAAAAAAAAAAAGGAGGCACAAGTCGATCCGCGTTCTTTCGAGCTCCATTCACGGCAAATCACGTCGCGCGCCTGGCGCTGGCATGTCCAAATAGGGAAACAATTGATGGCAAAGACGCGTTGCACGTGCAAGGGTCAAAACGATGCATCGCCCAAGCCATTTTGCTGCGATTCTTCATCACTTCTTTTGTTGTTCTTTTTTTGCCAATTGCACCGAAGCTTGGCTCGGACCATTCACGACCCCTGTCGCTGGATGCAGACGACTGCTCCTTTTTGATAGGAGTGCCTACGAGCATGTATTCAGCAGCCCAATTTTGCTGTTAAGCATGCCGCGATGCAAATAATACAGAGTACTCCTTACTGGACGAATGAAGTCGTAGAAGGAAATATTAAACATATGTAAATGAGTACTAAGTAGCTGCTTTGATAGCACATATCAGAGAAATGTAGCCATCAGGCAAATACTACTAGGAGAAATATAGCTACTCCTTTTTCATTTCTTCTTCTTCTTCTCTACCTCTCTCTTTCTCTTTCAGCAAGAGGTACTATACCTACCTAGTGCAAGTACTGCTCCATGGAAAAGAACATGGCAAAATACCAGTACTTGACCTGTAGCATTTCCTGTAAAACAAAAGAGCCGAGAGCCATGCATCAAGGGAAAAAAGGACCAGGATAGCTTGGCCAACGAACGCATGAGAGGCGTACACGATACCCTGCCTGCTGAGTGCTTGCATGGTCCCCGCCCACAGCGTCTTGCTGTTTTCACTGTAGTGCTGCCACCACCTGAAGCTACCTACCTGTACATGTAACTCGTACTATAGTACTAATTGAGTCGGATCAGCTAGCGGCTTTTTGTTACATACTAGCAGCAGAGCTTTGTTAGGTTTGTTTACTTTTGGCCGCATTGGGTTCGTCGTCGATAAACAAGGAAAAGTCGGGGGAAAACAAAACAAACCAACCTACCCGACAAGCACATCACATCACATCAATTAATCAATCAGTCTTGCAAGGGTACCATCGACTTCCGCCATGATCCGACAGCAGCAAACAGAGCGGCATGGCATCGACAGCACAGGGACGGGCACAGCACAGCACAGCACAGCACAAGCACAAGCAGCTAAACTTCTTCATCAGGTCACCTCACACCATCCACCCACGCTTAAACTGGGACACCGCCATGCAAGCACTCCAACGTGTCTCCCTCATCCCATCCATCCATGCCATGCCACTGCTGCATCCGCTTTACGAACACCACAAAGGACTCTCGCCCGGTGGATCGTCTTAGCGCCCAGCCCCCCCTGTTTTGGAGCCGCCACGTTGTGCGTTGTACGGATACCATGTTATGGAGTTGCTACGGATGGCCAACCTTAACTGGCAAGGCCGCCATCCTTTCTACCCAAAGCCCTCTCTTCGTGTGGCCCTTTCAACTCGCAAAATGCTTGACCGCCTTGGGCCCCCCCCCGGTCCCCTTTTGCCCAGGATACATATCATGCTGCATTTGCATTGCTGCTCCGTACGTGCGAAACGGCATTGGCCTATCACGGCCGTCCGCTCCTCCGGCCTCTTCAACGGCAAAGCAGCCGTGCCCAATGCTATGCGCTGGCCTCGGCAGATTCGCCCAGCCTAATCTATGTACGATTAATTGAATGCCTTCCGCCTTTTTGACTCTTGTTTCTGGGGGCCTCACCTGACACCACCCTCCCCATCTGGCCTCTCTTGCTTGCCTCTTGCCTTTTGCCTTTGCTTCTGCCTCGTTTCGTCTTCGACTTTCACTCACACACACACACTCTCCCCTCACATCTCCCACTCTCCGTCTCTCTCCAGATCACAACACATCACATCACGTCATATTGCATCTCCCATCTCATCTCTTCTCTTCCAAACAACAACCCAATTCTTCCCCAGTTCACCGATCCAATCTCATCCGTAGCTTCTCCGTAGCCAGTGATGCATCAAACACCCAATGGGCTCTCCCCATATGCATTGCAAACTCAACTTACATGCCCAGCTCCGTTTCCATCTCTACATTGCCTTACTCGTACATGGCATACCTACTCATACCGCACAAGTCCATCCACGTCGTACGTGTCCAGGCCCGGCCGCCTGCTTCCTACATGTACATGCGTCCTGCAACCCGCACGTCCCCCCCAGCCACAGCATTTGGCTCTCTCTCACCGCAGTTGACCCCAAGCAGGGAGAGACCACAAATGCTACCCTGTCAAAGACACCACCCCCCCGTTTCTCGTGTGCCCAACCCGTTCCTCTCATCTTCGCCTCTCTGACTGCTTTTTTTCTTCTTCATCTCAGTCTGTTTTAGCCTAGGTCTGTCCTAATTCTGCAATGCAGAGACTAAATCGCAATGGCGTACCTCCCACCTACCTACATAAAGCACTTGAATCATGTAATCTGCTTGCTTACATTAGCAAGAGGCATGTTACTTACTCGTGCTGCCTTTGGGTTCTACTTGCAGCGTACCCAAAATTAGGCAAGGCCGTGGTACTTCTTGGTAGTACTACTCGTAGACAGGGGGCCCGTATTGGATCTTTGCTTGGACCGACTCTCGTTAGTCAGTATGGAGTACTACGGAGCTCCTCGCACATGAATGCGTTGTCCGAACATGCATTCCACAAGTCTAGATGTCTCGCTGTGTGGTGCTGTCAAGAACAGGGGAGTGGCTAGTCAGTGCTCCAGCTATTGAAATGTTACATGTCAAGGTTCAAAAGTTAGCTGTGTGTGGTGTGCAAGGCATCGGCAGCGAGATGCAGATGAACAATCTCCATTCATAGAACAAGTATTTTGGCTACATGTACTGCGTAGCATATAGTAGTTCAAAAAGGATATACTACTAGTAGTAAGTACTAGAAGAATGTAGTCATAGTAATAAGAAACACTAGAAAGATGTAGCTATAATAGCAGACAATAGAGGAATATAGCTATAATGGCACATATCAGAACAACATCAGTATCATAACAGAGATTAGGGATAGTAGCAGATATCTAAAGAACTGCAAATCTACCACTCAGCTAAATGTCTACAGCAGTAAATAGATGACTTTCCCTTGCATCCATTTCCAATACTCAAAGTCTCAGCCGCTGAATAGCCATTCCTCATAATTATCCGTGCATGGAGATATTTCTCCGTACTATACACGTATGGAATATTCCTGCTTATACCAACAATGCATCATGTTCAAAAGTACTAGACAGCTCCCATCATATGCGGTGCTGACTACATGTACATGTACATACCAGTCTTGCGAGACCAGGTAGGCCCGTTATCGTACATGCAGTGCTGCAGTACCTATAGGTAGTAGGCAAGGCAATTACTCATACAACAAAGCACCGACCGGCCGAAACAGCTGTTTCTTGCAGATCTGATATCTCTGCGCAGGTGATGGATGCTCGCAGCTCCTACCTAGTAGCCTGTACTGCCTACTACCACTACCATTTGTATCTACCCATGCATTCCTTGCCTTGCTCAATCTTGCTCGACGAGAACCAGACAAACAACGCCGTCAGCCAGCATTTGCCGATTCACATGCTCTGCTACCTAATGATGTTGCCATTGTTCTGCGGATTAGCATACGTAGTAGTAGATAGACAACAGTAGAGAAATGGTTTATGTCTCAGACAGTAGCAACTGACAGTTTACTTATATCTATAGTACCTAGTATTAGTTGCTACTCCGCAGATAGTGATATGTTTACTTCACAACTCACTGTCACCATCTCGAGGAGCCAGGCAAGGTAAAACCATAACATAACATTGGGCATCGTGGTACGAAATAGGTGTCTTTAATATGAAAAAAGTCTAGCTAGGTTGGTTTTTGCCGCACTCCCTGCGGCGACGCCCCAATAATCTACCCCCAACGAGGTACCAAGGGTATTATAGCCTTGCCCTCTCCAGTCGAGCTCATGTAAACCCGGAAATCCCCTTCCTTTATCATAAACGATCATTCCAGCTGCCGATGGCTTAATCCTCAAGTAATCCGGGATGTCCCAGCATCATCAATAAAACACTTTTTGCCGTCGTACGAATCGTTTACAGATCGTCGTCAGACAGCTCACCAGGAAGAGGCAAGGCGGCGGCCACGATCATCTCCTTGTTGTACTGCTCCAAGAGAGCCTCGTCGACCTGGGCGGTGGGAGGAGCCAGGGCGGGGGAAGCAACGAACTCCTATATTGACAGCGAGTCAGCGCATTGTCACGATATATTGAAACTTCATGTCAACGGGAGTACTAACCAGGGCGGGGTTGCCAACCAGCTTGCGGGCCAGCCACAGGAAGGGCTTCTCGAAGTTGTAGTTGGACTTGGCGGAGATGTCGTAGTACTGGAGGTTCTTCTTTCGGTGGAAGGTGATGGTCTTGGCCTTGACCTTTCGCTCCTTCACATCAACCTTGTTACCACACAGAACGATGGGGACGTTCTCGCAAACGCGGACAAGATCACCTGCAACCCACGTGTCAGCACCACTATCCATTACTGTTCATGTTCAAGATGGATATCCAAGGGGGTAACGTACGATGCCAGTTGGGGACGTTCTTGTATGTGATGCGGGATGTCACATCGAACATGATGATACCGCACTGGCCGTTGATGTAGTAACCATCACGGAGACCACCGAACTTCTCCTGGCCGGCGGTATCCCACACATCGAACTGGATCTGGCCGTAGTTCTGGCTGCATATCAGTATATATGGCGCGCTATCGACGGCGGCGGTGTGCTGAGACTCACGGTGGTGAAGCCAAGGGGGTGAACCTCGACACCGAGGGTGGCCATGTACTTCTTCTCAAATTCACCAGTCAAGTGACGCTTGACAAAGGTGGTCTATTGGCGTCAAAGGTTTGTTAGCGAATGATGGACGCCAAGGCGTAGATCGCCATCAGGGAAAAGAAACAAAAAACATCGTTCGCCACGACAGGCAGGAGTATCGTGTTCGATCTCGTTTGCAGGCAGCGCCGATTGGTATCCATGAACCAAGAAATAACACACCTTGCCGGTACCACCATCGCCGACAAGCACAAGCTTGAAGGTAGGAGTCTGTTGCTCAGCCATATTGACGGCTCGAGTGATTGCGTGAGGTGATGTAAACAGGCGGGGTCCTGCGAGATGGCGTTAGTCTGTCTTATTTCGAATCCTCAACGCGAGTAACGGTTTGTTGATGCGCATGCGAATCTAAAACGGCCGGCAGCTCATCCAGACGGGCGCGATCGAGGGAAAAATCAAGGCAAAACCAATAGGCCGGGCACATACCTTGTGGGTTTTTGGGACGACGCGAGGGTGGTGTGGACGTCGAAAAGTTGCACCGGATGGTCTTTGACCTGAGTTCTTTTGAAGGCGGCGGGGAACTGGAGACAAGGGAGCAAGACCTTGCCTCTCATCATCAAGCGAAAAATTCAGTCGCCAGGGGTGGGCTGCCCGCACGTGACATCACCGCCCTCGCCCGCTACCTGCGAGGACCTTGGAAGCAGCCTCTTTCTGCCGTGCGACAGAGGTCCTGCCATGTACCGCGCCAGCCAAGCGGCGAGAAGCGCCGGCAGGAAAAGCTTGTTGCAGGGCAGCTCCGGTGCCTACCGCCTGCCTGTTTGGGGCCTGCAGACCCAGCTGGGCTCCATCTCTCTTCTGGTCTGTTCTCCGTCCTTCGTAGCGCAAGCCGCGATGCTGCCCAGGCGGTACCGACCAGGCATTGGAGGCTGGAGGCTGGAGGCTGGAGGCTGTATGTACGACCAATGCAGAGCAGCTGCAAGCGCCCAGGAGTAAATTGATGTCTCAGGGCCCAACGAATGTGCGGTGAACGAGCTGCTGCTGCAGCGCCGATTGTTTGATGCGAGCAAGGGAGTTGTTTGCTCCATCTTGATTCACTTTAATGCTTGTTATTTATTGTAACTGATACTTTGAGAGCCAGGTTAAACTACCTGGTGCTTTTCAAGTGCTTAATTCCGGCATAGTGTGTATTGCTACTACTGAAATCTCCATTCTGCCTTATACTCTGTGTTTTCAATACTTGCTGCCTTCGCATACAGCGGTAGCACTCGGGCTAGTTAGCAGTGCCACAAGTCGGCAATACGAAGCGCCATTCTTCTCAACAATCCATCCCATCGAGCGATTTTCACATGACCAATCTTGATATCTTGGCTTTCTGCAGTTCTGCACAGCATCATGACGCAACTTTTACCCCCTGTTGTCGCCCCGGCTTTGTCAGCATCTTTCTGGTGCCTAATCCAGCCCGTCCAATTCTTCTCTCAACAGATCGTTATAACGTGGCCAATCTCCTGTCAATGGTGACGCCAACAGGTGCCTAAGCGCGTGCTGGATGGCAATACGGCAATAATTCGACAATGACTGTTTGGTCTTGGTATGGCGCCACTGACACGGGCGTGACCAAACTTCCACCAAGCTAGAGCTGCTGGTTCGGCCAATTCGTGAGGATATTGCATCCCGATGACAGGCTACAGAGGCAAAATGTGACAGCCTAGCATTCCCCTTCCACCCCAGTCTTTCCTTGGAGTCAAAGTCAATCTCAGCTCCTGTCGGCGAGCAACTCCATCAGGTCGAGATACTTTGATAAAGATGTTTCTCTGTTGATGATTGTTAGCGTCGACCAAAGAGGTACCAGACGATTTTGGACATACTCCTTCATTACCCTGAACACACTCTGCCACCTTTTTGAGACCATCGTGATTTGATCGGTTCACGTAGCCAAAGTTACGAATCTCATCACCAGCTTGTAAGCCAGCCTGCTGAGCTGGACTGTTGGCCGCAACGGTGTTGACCTTTGCAAACGGCTCATCCAACTGTTCGGGATGAGAATCCGGTAAAATTCGAAGCTCATCTCCAGCTGTACTAGGAGCTTCATCACCATCTTGGATGTTTGCAAAATGTTCGTGCAGATACTTTTCTATCGCCGTCATGAGATCCTTGTAATCATTACGTAGGCGGATGATGCGCGCTCTTGTTGTGCGGACTGTGGCATACATGTTAGACTACATTCATGAACAAGCTTTTTTCGTCTCATATACTCTGAGCAACGTCGAGATCGGCACGTGGAAAGCCATCTCTAGTCAACAGCGGCGTTTGCATATCGACGCCGTGCTATCATTATTATTAATCATTGTCGACTATGATTTGTATCAAGAATCAAGGGCAGACTCATACCGAATCAAGGACACTTCCCAAAGCTTTGAGTTCTGCCTCCATATCGTCCTTCTTGCGCTGGAGTTCTGCGAAGCTCTGCTTCCCTGCGTCGCCGTTTCTCTGGCTGAGATTTGATGTCGGCCCAGAGGGCACAGTCGGTGCGTGAAGAGTATCCATCCTAAGCGGTAATACCTATGTCCCAACCAGAGTGGTGAAAGAGTTGGACCTTGAACTGAAAAAGAGAGATGGTATCGAAGGGTTGATCTTGACAGTTTAGAGGCAGATGGTTTGCGAACTCAGCACAGCTGTTTTAGAGCTTGTCATCACCAACGGCAAACATTCCGGGGCGTTTTTTGCGGGGTCCAGGAACATCAGAGGCCTACGCACTCACTGAAGCCTTCAATTTTTAGCAATTGGACGAAAAGGTACTTGCTAGGTACGCGAACATCGCTTTAAATGATTGCAGTCAGCGAGTTCCACCAAGTACTAACTTTCTCTTTAGCTCGACCAGCCAGCCTTACACCATCCACTCTCTACCTGGCCCGTGCGTGTTTCCTTATACGAAGCACTAACCTCCGGCTCTTTTCCCAACTAACAGCAGCACAGACGTCACCTTGCTAATCTTTCTTTATCCTGCCAACTTCCCAGACGCGTGCCATAGCATTTTTTTTTGTTGTCGCGACGCAGGCCACGATGGCTTCCGCAGGAGATGCTCGGCTTATGAAGTCGACCAAATTCCCTACCGAGTTCAATCAAAAGGTTGACATGCAAAAGGTCAATCTTCAGGTCATTAAAAAGTTTGTCACTGGGCCCCAATATGTCTTATCGCGGATCCCGCCTTTGCAGTCCTGACGCCCAATCTCACAGATGGATTGCCAACAAGATTTCGGAAATCCTGGGTAGCGAAGACGACGTCGTCATTGAGCTGTGCTTCAATCTCATTGACGGACCTAGACATGTATGTTGGATCCTCCTCGCTTCGACTTGGTAGCGGCTTTCCATGCTAACTGTTTGGTCACCAGCCCGACATCAAATCGCTTCAAATACAGCTTACTGGGTTTCTAGACAAAGACACCGGGCCATTCTGCAAAGAGCTTTGGAAATTGCTGTTGAGTGCTCAAAGTAACCCTCAGGGAGTCCCCAAAGAGCTATTAGAAGCAAAAAAGCTTGAGCTTATGCAGGAAAAGGTCGGTGTCCCGTCGTGAGGACGTCCAATCCTACTTTTCTGGATCTAACAATCAACACAGATTGAAGCCGATAGAGCTGCCGAAAATGCCAGAAAACGTCGCGACGACTCGGACCGCCGTGATCGAGAGGTTGCAGCGTTGAAAGATCGAGATCGTCGAGACCGAGCAAATGATAGAGGTGATCGATCGGGCCGCCGTGGGGATAGGGCTCCTGAAGGCCGTGGAAGAGGAGGCCATGGCTGGAGTGCGAATAGATCGCGCTCTCCCGAGCCTCGGCACCGCGCTTCTGGAGATCCATACCGGCGAGACAGCTATGTCCCCCGAGCTCGGGGTGGCCGAGGGCGCGATCGTGGCTGGCAGCGGCGACGAAGCCGCTCACCATCTGGGTCAGCGTCAGAGCGATCTCGATCGCCAAGTAGCAGTGCGTCTCGTAGCGATCGAGGCTCTAGGAGCCCTCCGCGCCGCAAAGGACCACCCGCGCGATACAGAGACTCGAGAAAGAGGTCTAGGTCTCCTCGCGGCGATGCCTACCGACCAAGGCGACAGTCACGCAATGGCAGGGATCGCCGCGATGCTCGAAACCGACGCTCACAATCTTCAGAGCGCACCTCACCTCCACCGAAGCGAAGACGGCAGTCTGCCTCTAGAAGTCCCTCCGTAGAGCGCAGAAGACGTTACTCAGCTACACCATCCTCCCTTTCGCGGAGTTCTTCGGTGGCCCGCAGCCGCAGCCCCAATCGCCGCCGCAATCGATCCGTCGATAGTGCTGGATCGAATTCACACGCGAAACGCCGACAAGATCGCCGGCAAGGTGGTACGACAAAAGAGTTGGAGGATGATAACGGACGTGACCGGCGTGGTGATCGTCGTCAGAAAGATCGTGGAGCCCCAATTAGGGGCAAGGAATCCGAAAGGCAGAGACGCAATAGCTCCTCTCCGCCCTCGTCTCCGTCAAACCGTGGCAAGTCGGCTGATATTTTGGAAGATGAATCGCGTGCTCCGAAGTCCTAGCTAGGCACCGGCTGACAACGAAGAGGTGGGTAAACTCCTGACGGAAGGGTGAAAGGAGTGGCCACTCTAGTTCATCGCTAACTTTGACTGAACGATGCTTGACCCAGCATAAAGCTCGCCGCTCTGAAGGCATCCGTGCTCGAGAGGTTTCGCAAATGATACTAAGCAGATGAGAACTTCTGATACTAGCGCTCATATCAACAATTGGGGCTAACTGCTACTCAAGCGCTTGTCTCTAGAATATGAAAGAAACGGCTCGCAGCTCTGCCTGGCAGAGGAAGAGAGCCGAGGGGAAAAAAGGACATTGAAACTGGATAGAACTACGAAAGTAGATTTTGGTAAAAGAAAAGCGATGCACATTTGGCACTCAAATTTGGCCAGTATAAATAGGCGGCAGCTCTTCAATCATTTTAGAAAATATCCCAAGCGGCAATTCATCTAATATACCTTGATATGGGGGAATGCCCAGGTATTCAGCACCCCAATTTTGCTATCTAGCCTCCAGTATCACAGACAATATCGAATATTAGACGATTATAACATAATCCTAAATTGAATATCTTCCACTCGAGGAAGCGCTACAATGAGTAGCAATCTACGCAATAACTACTCCCTAATATAACCTCTGAGACATCCTGTTTGACTTATACTTGTGGTGTTGAAGAGCAGTCAAGTTGGGCGCCACTGACTATTACTCTATTTGGCCTAGTTGGAAGTCAGAGTGGCATATGCTGCACGTTCTAGCTTAGCGTATCCCAGAGTCGGCGTTGCCTTTTGCAAGTTCATCTTCTCGTGACAACGTCAAAAGTACCAATCGCAGAGCCGGTTTCATCAACCAGTTTGACGTTGGCATCGCTATCGCATCGACAGCCGCTTGTAATAGAAGCGCTGGCGCATGGCTGACAATAGGCAAACAATTGCATCCCGACCCAGCGAGGCGCAGCCCACCATGGCAGAATACAAGAAGGCACAGGCGCGCGTGCGAGACTTGGTCGATCGGCGTAGGCAGCTGGAGCGCCGTCTGGTGAGTTTTTGTCTCTTCTTTTGCGCATTCACGGCGTTTGCGTACGACGGCGCGGGCTAAACGATGGCGTTCACATAGGCGGCGATGGAAGACAGCATCATCCAGAAGGAGTCGGCTTACCTCGACAGCACCCCCAGCGGTAACATCATTACCGGCTTCGACAACTACATGAAGGGCACGAGTGGTGCGGCGGCCCAGCGACGCAAGACAGGCCCAGCAGAGCAGAACCGCGTCTTTTCGCGCTCATCCATCTCATACCGACCGAATAATGGGGTAAGATGACATTGAGAAGGGAGACTTGAACATACGAGTCTCCAGCTTGCCGGGCTTGGCTGGCATTCCCGTTCTTCGCTAACTGGATGGAATTGTATAGGACTCTTCAGCCCCTGGCTCAGTAGGCTCAACGCCTGCGCCGACACCCCTATCCACCACGTTCCGGGACAGCGCATCGGGCAATCCTACGCCAACATCGGCGGGCGGAAACAAGGCGAGCAAGCCCAAGAAGAGAGACACGGAAGATAGCGAGAATGATGCGCAGACGAACAAGAAGCGAACGAATTTTGGGGCATCTAGAAAATGAAGGGTGGGGGCCATGATATTTGGATTTGGAATTTAGGTGCCGGTGTCTTCCCCGCGATAGTATAGCCCCCAAGGGTGACAATTTGACACAAGAGCGGCGTTTTATAAGGATGGGATACATTGAGATATAATGAATACGGCGTTGGACAAGAGGATATATTGAGCGATATTTATAACACATGATCATGGAAAGATGGAGCGGAGATGTAGTCAAGGCTGGACATGGTCGTCAAATCCCAATGTCTTCTTAGGAGTGATATCTACACCATGAACTCAATCAATTCTCATCTTTTTCTTCCAATAGAGCGCTGAGAGAGAATCTCCGGAGCACTCATGTCACGTTCTCGTTATCATGGCCAAAGTCACAGACTGAATGAAATAAAATGGATGTCTCGAGAGTGGAGATTATCGCCAATGGATCAGACAAACTCGAGCTAGATTTGGGACTCGGCAAGCCGGCACCGTAGCAGCAATGGATTCTACAAGTCAGCATCCGCTCATTCAAACAAGACAGCGGGCCTGTGCGGTGAATTTGCTTTCTTTCCTCTTGTCGGTCCGAGATGACTAGGTAGGATGCAGTAGTTCAAGCATCTGCTTATTTTGCTACTTTTTTCTGCTATCCGCTACTCTCGATATTTGTCTTTTGCATCTGCTACTGTTGCCACTTCTTCTATCGCCAATGGTGGGATGCCGCATGGACGATTTGAACTGCTAGCTGTGAAGAAATTGCCCTTATCAACTCTACAATTGCGAGATGTACGATGCAAATTGGAGTATTTTCTTGGTATTTTTGCTGCTGCTCTCGGTATCCATCTTACGTATTACAGCTCAGCATAACCAATTCATCGGGTGTCAGTTATCACAACGACAAACCTCCACAATCCCAAGCCGTGATACAAAAAGTCCCTTTTGCGTTCCCATTATTAATTACACCGAAGGGCCCCCCAGGCTAAAAAGGTCCCTGAGCAGTGGATTCTGATCTAGCAAGCACATATGCACGTCTTTTTGATCGTTGAGTGCGGGGTTGCAGATGAGGGGTCTGATGGGGGGTTTTGCAGCCATCGGGGTTCTCGTATGATGTGATAAATAGATAACCATCGATTAGCCCTCGCTGGCATCGTTTTTATTGTTTTGTTTTCTTGCGTCGACAATTGGTCTTGAGCAGCCCTTTATGATGACAATACAGGCCGAAAAGTTTACGCCAGAGGTGCTCCTCTCGGCGCCACGGCGCTCGCCTGGCGTGCCCAATGCCATAGGCGAGCTCGTCTTATACACGGTAAGCTTTGCGTTTGTTTGTTTGTTTGTTGGTCGGAGCTGCGCAGGAAAATAATGAGGCTTTCAATTGAGACACGCAATGTCTTGGATGTATCGCATCATCATGCGTGTAGATGAGTCGGATGAGATTCAGATTGAATCAGAATGAATCGGGTCGTGGACAACTGCTCACGCTGGCCCTCAATCTTAGGTCTCGACATACTCCTTCGACACCCACTCCAAGACGGCGCAGATCCGCGTCCTCAACATCAAAGAGGGAACGTCGCACCTGATCTCCGAAGATTCCGCAGCCAGCGACCCAATCTGGATCGGCGAAAAGGAGATTGCCTATGTCAAGAGCCTCGACAACGGTGCCTCGGCACTGGTGGCGCAACATGTTCTCGATCCAAATGAGTAAGTGAAACGAACTTCCCCATCTACCGTACCGGCTGCTAGAGAAACTCACCCCCGTGTCCAATAAAGGTCAAACACAATCCAACGCTTCAGCGGAAGCATCTCCAGTCTAAAGGCTAAGCCTTTGTCCGCAGACAAGGTGGCCTTCTGCGCTGTCGCTCTGACAACCCCCGATGGGCAAATGTACACCCCGGCTTCGGAACCCAAGTCTCACACATCAGCCAAGATCTACACGTCCCTATTTGTGCGACACTGGGACTCCTGGAACACCGAAAACAAAAACTCGCTTTGGTACGGCCAGCTGGAGAAGGTTGACGGGAAATGGACTCTTGGAAACTCGGCCCTTACCAACCTGCTTGCCGGCACTGCTCTCAGCTCTCCTGTGCCTCCATTTGGAGGTGCCGGCGATTTCGATGTATCCTCGACTGGCATTGTCTTTGTCGCAAAGGATCCTGAATTGAACCATGCTAGAAACACCAAGACTGACCTCTACTTTGTTCCCCTGGCTTCATTCTTGGACAAGCCCAGCTTCCCCCAGATTGTAAAGACGGGAAGGTTGCTCGGATACTCAAGCTCTCCCGTCTTTTCGAACGATGGCAAGCAGGTTGCCTTCTTGCGCATGAAATCCCAGCAATATGAGGCAGACAAGACGAGGCTCTTGCTGATTCCGGATGTAACCGATCTGAGCAACGTTCAGGAATTCTACGAGACAGAGGATGATAAGGGAGGTTGGGACTGTAGGCCCGATTGGATCGTCTGGAGCCACGACAACAAGGAATTGTATGTTGCGGCAGAGAAGCACGCCCGCGTTGTCCTGTGGAAGCTCCCATCCTCACCGCTGGAAGCCAAATCTCTTCCTACCCCAATCCACGAGGATGGGTCTGTCGCCGAGGCGAGAGTTCTCGGTAGCAGCTCATCGCTGTTGATTACAACGAGGTCGCGAGTCGAAAGCTCCAACTACTCGATCCTTGATCCTGAATCTAAATCGGCCACTACCATCTCTTCAAGCTCGAAACAGGGCCGAACTTTCTCCCTCAACAGATCACAGTGCCAGGAGATTTGGTACAAGGGCTCAAAGGGTTATCCCATCCATGCTTTAGTCACCTTACCCTCGACCTTTGACTCCTCCAAGAAGTATCCTCTGGCTTTCTTCATCCATGGCGGTCCTCAAGGTGCTTGGGGAGACGACTGGAGCACTCGGTGGAACCCAGCCATTTTTGCCGAGCAGGGCTACGTCGTTGTGAGCCCCAACCCGACTGGTAGCACGGGCTATGGTCAAGACCATACCGATGCTATCCAGAACAACTGGGGTGGCGATCCTTATGTGGACTTGGAACTATGCTTTGAGTATCTGGAGAAGGAAGTGAGCTACATAGACACAACCAGGGCTGTGGCTCTCGGTGCGTCTTATGGAGGCTACATGATTAGTGAGTCGTCCCCAAGCAAAGCAGAGATGGTCTCCGGAAGCGTGAATCTAACTATCATCAGACTGGATCCAGGGCCATGATCTTGGACGAAAGTTCAAGGCATTGGTATGCCACGATGGAGTCTTTTCGACTCTCAACCAGTGGTCTACGGAAGAGCTGTTCTTCCCTGAGCATGACTTTGGTGGCACCCTCTGGGAGAACAGGGAGGGCTACGAGAAGTGGGATCCCGCCAAGCACGTTGGAAACTGGGCCACGCCGCAGCTGGTAAGCTGGATTTGAGATGGTTCCACGTGTCTACCGTCACAGACTAATTTGCCCGCTTCGCAGGTCATACACAACGAGCTCGACTACCGCCTGCCCATTTCCGAGGGGCTGGCCATGTTTAACGTCCTTCAGGCTCGTGGCGTGCCAAGCAAGTTCGTCATGTTCCCAGACGAGCATCACGTAAGTCAAAGAGGTTCTCTTCGCCCCGTGATACGGTATGGATACTGACAATGTGTGATAAGTGGGTGCTGAAGCCAGAGAACTCTTTGGTCTGGCACAGGGAGGTGCTGAACTTTATCAACAAGTACAGTGGAATCTCTGAAGAGAAATAAAATAATCCCATTCCTCTCTTTTCATTCCATTTCCCCTTTACTTTTCGGATGTTATGCATGTTGAGTTTGCGCATGTATATAAGTTTGTCAAACATGTGGAACTTTAGGAGGCTCTTTTCGACGGTAGTGACTTGAACTTGGCAAATTGCATTGTTGGCTATGGCATATTGTTGGGCTCTTATGGCAACACATATTTATCAAATGAAGTAACAAAAAAGCAATCAGTCGTTGTTTCTTTTATTAATGAGACAAAACCAAGAGGAAGGCCTCGTATTTCTCTATCACAAGCATGCCTACAGACTCGTACCTAGCATAAGATACAGTGTGAACGTTGCTGGTTTTCTATCGACACTGTATGGGTCCTTATCAGAGCTGGAGCTGATCTGAACGGGAATCTCAATTCACTGGTGCACCGAGCTTCACTTTTATCAGTTCCTCCCGCTATAATAATCTGACTCTTCATCCACCGCAACCAAGAGCTTTGCCCTTTGCACAACCCGCCCAGCAGTATCGCGCACCAGCTTAATCACAGGCGAACATGCGCTGTGCGAGCCATTCTGTGCGACAGAGTCGATGACGTCCTTGAGAGCACATGCGACAGCTTTGGAACAATTCTTCTAGCCACCGAGGCCGCCTTACCTTTCTCTTCTCTCTCTCAACAAGCCTCAAGAACACACAAGCTCTCGCCATGGCTCGTCCGCCATCCATGTTTCACGCTTTTCTGCGGCCTTCAATCCTCCAAATCCTCCGCGCGACGGGCTACCACAGCACGCGCCCTGCAGTGCTCGACACTCTGACAGACATTGCAGCGCGATACCTGACGCTTCTATGCGAGAAGACGGCGAACAATGCGACCAACAACCACGGCGATGCGGGCGATTACGATATAGTGGACGTCAGGATGGCGCTGCAGGAGGTGGGGGCTCTGCTGCCGGAGAGAGCTGAGACGGAGCAGCTGTGGAAGGGAGAGGAGGATGTGAGAGGAGTGGAGGAGTTTGTTGAATGGTTTGCCGGGACGCGCATGAAGGAGATGATGGAGATGGGCAGCGGGGATACTGAGTCTGACGCTACAGACTATCTGGCAGGTAAGATGGCGAAACGAGGAGAAGAAGAGACAATTGCATTTCTCCCCAAGTTTCTCTACTTCGATCCTTTTTTTTTTTTTTTTCAATCTTGCAAACATCTGGTTAACACGGCAATTTGTCTAGCCCTCAAAAAGAAGCACAGCAAGACAGGCGACGACGCAAAGTGGCAAGGCACAATCTTTGGCAAATTCAACGACGGCAACGAGATCCTCGTCGAAGGCGGGCCCATCACCAGCATCAGCGAATGGATATCCAAGAGAGCGCCGGAGTCAGATGCGCCCCACGAAACGACGGAGCAGAACGGAGACAACAAGCCCGAGGCCCCGGAGATGAGAAGGTCCCCTAGTTCGGGTCTCAGCTCCGTAGGGGATAGGCTGGACGACGATGGCATCGAGGGCATGGATCTTAGCTAGAAGGCGAGACATGGTAGTTTCGAGGCTGATGCGCCGCCGGCTCACTCTACGAGGTCGAGGAAGAAGAAGGAGGGGGGGCACCGTGGTTCTAGGAGGACGTGAATGGGTGTCTTTTGTCGTTTTGGTGGATGCTGGGCTTTGTTTTATCTTTTTTTTTTTAATACCTGCATAGCGTTGGAGTTTTGGAAGGTTAAGAGAGACTTTCATATTTAAATAAAGAGGCGAAAAGTCAAGAGTGTACTTTTCTTAATGTTACAATCCGTAAGGGATGCTATGTAATAGTATGATACAGTTTATCAGCGTGAATCCCATCTATATCCCAGAAAACCCCCCCGTCATTGGAGATGATCCATCCAAGTTTCGTTCATCATATCTCTAATATACAGTCTATACCCCTTTTCACCTCCCACCAGCACTCTTCTTCGGCCCCAACAGCTCATACACCCCCATCTGCCTCGCCACTTCCACAAAGATCCTCCTCTTCTCCTCCTCCCTGCCCTCCACCGGCCAAAACTTCTTCTGCAAGTACGCATACAGCGCCGCGCCGCGCTTCTCGTCGCCCTCGAGGTTCGCCGCGTTAAAGTCCGCCCACGCGAGCAGCTCCCGGTCAATCTCCCGCTTGGCCACCATGAGCTTGCCGCGCTGGGAGGGCGTGTCCCAGGTGAGCTTTGTGGTGCCGAGGACCATTTCCATGACGAGCGTCTCGGGCGGGAGGAACTTGAACGTCTCTTTGAATGCGGTGATGGCGACGAGGAAGCCGGCGTTGTCCTGGAGGCGGCGGAAAGTGTGGAGGATTTTGCGAGCGAGTTGCCCGTCGATCCCATCGGGTTGGAATACATCTCTGTGCTTGACAGTTTCTTTAAACATGGCTCGTGTGGCCTCGATCTCCTTGGCTCGGGTTTCAGGATCCCGGATATGATATCGGTTCGCCCCCAGTGTCTTCCAGAGGGCGCTGAATGTGTATGGGTCAGGAACTACTTTGTTGCTCTCTATGAGAGAGTGATACAAAGCTAATGCATCTTGAGTCTGGCCCTCATGGATGAGTGATTCGACGAGTTGATTCATCATAAAGGCGTCGGGGCTTATCTCCGCTGTGCGGAAGGCATCCCACAAGCCCTCTAAGCGTTCATGAAGATTTCGCTGGCGATAGTTGTCGGCCAGGAGAGAGAACGTTTCGATAGTAGCCCGCGGTAAATCTGCCGGAGTGTCCTTTGGCAATGGCATGTTATAGCTGCTGGAGACACCACTACCGGACTTTCTGTCGGCGACAAACTTTAGCCTGGACTCAATCATGCCCCAGCCAAGTGTATCGGCTTTTTCAAGATCGTCAGCGCCCCCAGACCGTTGCCATGCCCCAATGAGGCCGTTCAACTGTATCGGTGAAGCCTCGACTCCCTTTCCTCTCATAAATTCGACGACGCTGAAAGCTCCATCCAAGTCTCCGGCGCCGATAAGTCGCTTCAGCCACTTGCCCAGGAAGAATTTGTTAGCAATGACGGAAGGCAGATGTCTTTGCCTCGTCATATCAATCCGACCGTCGCTCATCATGTCCACGAAGGCGTACAGGGCATTCTCAACTTGATGGGCAGTCAGGAAATAAGAAATCACCTGGTCGTAGTCGGTAAGTGTCATTTCTTTCCCCAGGAGCTCCCTCATTTGGCGATAGGTAGCCCACGCCTTCTGTCGACCTTCCTCCGTTCCCTGTTCGCAGCATGTTCGGATGAGAGGAATCAAGATACGCGGACTCATGTTACGGCCAAGGAGCTTATTTATCGCTCGTTCGGCTTGCGCCAGATCGCCTACACGGCAGTACATCCTGGCACCTAGTTCCCAAAAGTCCTGGAATGTCTCTGAGTCTTCGGCCCCCAGGGTGCTGATACATCGTTTCCAATTTTCAACGGCCTTGGACTCCCATCCGTCAACAAAGATGGCTTCGATAGCCAGGACCTGTTGCGCAGGACGAAGGGTAACCTTGGCATCGCTCATGTCTCTAGCAAGCCGGGCTATCCGTGATATGCTGCTGGGGCTGTCTTTTTCACTCGAGAATGCTCTCCAGAGGACCTCCCACAAAGCGGGTGGAACATCGTTCCAGTTTTGGGCCAACGCCGGTCTCGTCGCATGATACGATTTGTATAGGGACTGCACTGCCTTTTGCTTCAGCCCTGATTCCTTCTCTGCGAGAATGAAGCGTGTGACAACGGAGTTGAATGTGTTGAGTTTTCGCCTTCTGTTTGCCTTCATCTCATCGAGATTTATTCGGACTTGCGGTATCGAGTTTCGAGTCTCGCCAGAAGAATCGGCGTCTTCCAGCGACAATTCCGGCACGTCCCCGATAAGCTGTTCTAGCACTCCTCTCGGCAGATCAGTGCTTGCTTGTTCTATTTCGGCATCGATCGATCGTGTGTAGTCTTCCATCTTTGCTATAACCTTCTCGACATCTTCCGCAGAGTTGATCTTGCCCCAGTCTTCGCCCAACTCCTTTAGTACGTCCCTAAAGGCATCCCTGTCGTCTTGATTCCCGAATTTTGCCCTGAGGTTGAGAAGATCGTCTCGCAATTCGGAGGCACTGATGCCACTTAGCGACTCCTCAAAGGCTTGTTCGTTGGACAGCTCTTTTCGATTTTGGTCGCCCTGCTCGAAGAATCGGACGGAAAAGTCTTCCGCATTGGTCTTTGCCCTGTCGGGGGTCCGCAGGTTTTTGAGGCCCTCTAGGTAGCGAGCCAGCTCCTCTCTCGTAGGCTGGCGTGTGATGTCCTCATTGGGCCGTGATCGAGGTCGTAGCCTTGCTTTGCTCGCGGTTTGAGAGGCTTGAGTGCTGTATGAAGCCGGCCGCCACGCCTGTCGAGGTTGCTTTGCACGACCAGCCAAACATGAGCGGCAGACGATGTCGTTTCGACACCTGAGGTCGCGCAATATCGGCCGGCATGACATTTTCTGTGAAGCAGATAAAGCGCAGTGCCTCTAGCACTCGCTCCTTGAGCGTCTGTAACTTTTTTTTTTTCGATGATCAAGATTGTTGCGATTGCCGTACCAATAGCGGATTTGCTCCCACCATGGCGTTATCGATAAGCGCCCGCTTGGTGCTCCGGAAGTACCCAAGTACCAACATATAGATCATCGGCGTCTTTGAGCCTGTAATCATGTATGCTTAATTAGTAGATTCAATGATTATTTTGCTTGTATTGTTATTATTTTACTTCTAGTATGGTCCACATATGGACTGGTCGCTACGTTCACTATTGTCTCTTCTGGATCAATCTGTTGCAAACGACCTGTGAGCAGCTTACAGAGAGGCCCCCTCAATTAATCTCCATAGAAGCAACTCAAAGGCTTTCCTTCGCGTTCTATCCCGTCACTAGAAATCTACGTGATCGCTGTGTTGCTGGATAGATAATTTAGGGCGTTGAATAGTTGTCTCTTATTTGGATTCTCCACAGCGTCTTATTAACCTCTGTTATGGGTCCAACAATTCTCAATCATTGGAGGGCGTCACAAGCCGACAGGACTGCGCACGTTCGCTTGTACGATACTAATCATGTATTATGTTTACACTGAGCTCATTCTGTTTCCCATTCCGACTCCACGGGCTTTCTTTTATAAAATCCGATGCGCACGGTACCCTTAGGATAGAGAGGTAGACACAACCCAAGCTGCAATAACAGCTCTCATGTTCAAAGACGCCATCATATATATAGGTGTTGCAAATTATTTGGCATTTCTTCCGAATGTACTAATGATAATAGATGGTTAGATAAGGCACATGGGTTAAATTAAACGGCTTGGATGAACTAACTTGTGGAAAAATTGGCCAAAGATGCCCGGTTTGGACTGTTGGTCAGTCATACTCTGACGCCGGGCAGTATTGCTGGCGTTTTGGTGATGTTGAGAGAGGCCCTCAAACGCGGGCATGAAGCCGGAGCTCTGGAGAATAATCATCAGTACGCGGGTTCGGTGGGGGGCCGGGCGAAGGGTATGAGACGCACTCGACGGCGGGTGCCCTGGTTTGCGGGGGGCGTTGGGTTCTGCTCGGGATTGTTCATATTGGCTGAGGATGAGGATCTCAAATGTCAAGATTGAAGGATTCTGTAGCTTTTAATTAAGATGAAGATTGTTTAGATGCAATGAGTTTGGATGATAACTTGGAACAGGAGAGGAGGGGGGGAAGGAGGGGAAGCTTCCTTATGTAGCTTCCGCGAGAGAAGAAAGCGAGCCCAGGACAAGCTTTCTGACCATCAACCGGATAGCCAATGACGCCGGCCAATGGCCATATCGGCTCGCCACACCATTCACACACCGTCAAGGTCTCGATTGACATGCCGTTTGGCGGGCTTGCGGCTAGAGGCTCGATCGGCGCTAACATGGTATCAGCAGCCAACCAACTTGTGCCCGGAATTAAATTGCCAGGCGGCCGGAGTGGGAGAGACAAGAAGAGGGGCGATCGATACTCAAAGCAGGCGGCTTGGATTGCATAAGCCACTGGCAAATGGTTCGATGTTGTTTACAAATGCGCACGAGACCTCGCATGTACTGTAGCATTGGGTGCGTTATGCTCGAACTGTAATGGCGAGCATGTACAATGTGTAAGCGGAGAGTCTGGGCTGCAACTACTACATACGACTTATGTAGAACGCTGAATCCTTCGAGAGGGGGCTATACTATCACTACATTCTTTTAGTATCTACCGCTATAGCTAAATTTCTCCTTTATTTGACACTATTGCTATAATTATCCATCCTCTGCTACTATGGCTATGTTCCTCTGGCGGTTGACAATCTTCAATGACTACATTGGTCTCTCATTAGCAGGAGGGAGTCGAGGGAGTCATGGCTCAAGGCACCTGCATCAATCGACGCGATGCCCATCGACTCGACCTCGCCTCAACCATCTCACTTTCCCTGCCCTGTCGAACCTGTTGCCTGTCTATCCAGTGGCGTTTGATGCCATAGCGTCATCCATCGTGCCGTGACGTATGTCAAAGACACCGGGCAACGCCCATGTACAAGGCCCATGTATGCTTTCGTTGGCGTTGATTCATGTACCGGGCTTGATGTGGAGCTGCGTGGGGACAACAAGACCCTGTATTGCGGGGGAAGGACCCACGTCGGCAACGGAGTACGTACCGAGAGGTTGCGAGAGGCTCGAGAAGCTGTCGGTCGGATTTAGTGTTGATCCTGACAGTGGTCAGCTAAGCCACCAGGAACCAAGCAGAGGTAACGAATGCCAGACGGAGACTCCACCATCGAGCTGCTCAATCGCTTGATCGTGACCTTGATTTCCTCCAAGCTTCTCTCCCAAGTTTCCAACCGCGAAAGAATACCCGCCCAGTGCAGATTCTCCGAGCTCGAGTCGTCTGGTGCCTGCTTCAATGCAGAGCATACCCCTCTGCCGAGCCGGACGGTGACAGGCGACTATGAACCATGATGCCGCGTCTAGCTCCTCCGCGCGGATTCCCGACCGGCTCTCACCACCTGGCATCGGTGCAAATGCCGATGCCGATGAAGCAGAGGCAGATGCGGACGCTCGTGATCGCCCCCAGTCGCGGCAGCGCTCGAGGTCCGGCAGCGGGCGACAGCGCAGGAGGAGGGGGAGCAGGAGGAGCAGGAGGAGGCAGAATCCGGGGCTGGCCAAGAAGCTGGCCTTTCTTACCCACCTGCTCAAGACTCTCGACCTCGTCTTATTTGCTGAGCTGAGCTCTTTGTACTATATGGAGTGCGTTTGGGCGGACACATTCCCCTTTCTTCTCTTCATGTCGGAATCCTTTGAGCAACGATAAGCTAACATGCTGCGTCGTCCAGATGTTCCATGTTTCGATTTTTCTTACGAGCCGCGCCCCAATACATGTATCTCTCCCCAAAAGACGAATCATTCGCGCTTTTGATGCCAGCTACCCAACTCCACGTCCTCTTGATACTGGTGCCTAACCTGCTGTGCATGGCTTTGCATCTTTTTGGTTCGCTTCCTACCGGCCCCGATTACCACCGAGGATACCAGCACGGGGGGATGGTTATCGATTTTATCGGCCAAATGCCGGCCACTTATAGACTGTATTATTTAATGGCAGACCTGCTTATCCTTTTCCTGCAGTGTCTGATGCTTACAATACACAACCATCGGGAGAGCCTGCGTGTTGCTCTCAAGACGTTTCGCCCGTTTCTCTCTGAGATTTTTCTGGAGCCTGTCGCTGGTCGTTCTGCAGAAGACTTGGACGCGGAGGAGCGCGGGGTTTCTCGACACGTGCCGGGGATGATGATCAATGAGACGGACGAAATCGAGCTGCAGCAGCTGGACAGACCGGGGGATGGCGAGGGATCTGAAGACCGGAACGACCAACCTGGAGCTGCGGGTGGAGATGGCTCTGACGAGCCGCCAAGAACGCATTTGTCCGACATTATGAGCTCCGGCAATGCTGTTCTGAACGAATATCACATCATTCACACACTGAGGAACGCTACGATGAACACTGGAGGTTCAACTGCGTTGTCTCTTCAGTCGATTGGCTATCGAGCAACCGTGGCGAGTATGCAGGGTCGGCGCCGAGGCGCGACTCTACAGACTTCGTTGGCTCGTCCGACCGGCTAGAACATATATATGTATTGATATACACTAGCATCCATACATGAAACGACAAACCAATTAATCCCAAAAAGCAAGCCTTGCAGACTATTTTTATACCGCTGTGATTTCGCCAAAGGGCACAAGGGGAAACCCTCCCCGTGAAATTAATTAATCTAGTCTAGGCAACTTTTCTTCCTACATTACCGACGCCAGTACCCTTGACGGAGATGACTATATCGCCGCTGTCATCATCATCGACGTCTCGTAGGCCCCAGCTACTTGCGCCAAATGTCTTCAAGTCTCGTGCGAGCTCAATAATTTCCTCCGACGCCAGGATATCTCTACCAATCCTCAATCGGCCAACATCTTCAGAGCCCATGGCCATCAGAGTCAACACGGAGCTTGCTGAAACGGGGGTCACGCAGCCTCCCTTTGCAATTGTTTCCAGTAGCTGGTAGGCGCATCTCTTTCCGATATCTTCAGGAACCTCACCACCCGAAGGCAGCACGACGACATCTGCCGAGTACAGCACGCCAACGGAGTTTGACTCTGCTACGAGACTCAGGCCGTAGCCTATACCCAGTCTTCTCTTGCTGCCCGCCTTGTCTCCCGTAGGCACCAGCGGCGCCTGGTCGTATTGCGCCGCGATGTGAATATCCGTGACGAAGGGGTTCAGAATCTCGCGTGCGGAATGTATCATGCGTGCATTGTTGGAAGCTGAGACGCCGGTGCAGTACGCCACACCTCGTATCCTCTTGACTCGGCCGGGGCTGCGATGCAGATGCAGCGTCTTGGGCAGACGGACTTGGCTGGCGAAGCGAAGCTCGACGATGCCGCCGCCACCTTTGCCTCCGGGCCCCGCGCAGGAGCGCTGCAGGACGCGCAGCTCGATGCGGGCCGGCGGGATGCCGAAGAGGCCGAAGAGGGGGAGGATGGCGGTGCGGAAAGTGTCGACGGAGACGTCGCCCGTTTCGGTGGAGGAGGTGATGACGCCGGGGCCGGAGAAGCGCACGTTCATGTGGGCCTTGGAGAAGGGCGCGAGGAGGCAGAGCGGCAGCAAGAAGTAGGAGATGCCCCTGGTGCAGGTGACGGGGATGCTGTGCTCGATGACGTCTCCGTCGGCGGCGCCCAGGCCGGCAATGGTGCCGGTGATGAGGCCCGGGTGGTATGTGATGGTTGTGCCCGAATACGAGATTTGCATGGAGGAGCCGTTGGTGACGGCCTCGAGGAGGCGCAGGAAGGAGACCTCGTGGGGGGCGAGGCCCGGGTTCGTGGGCGAGGAGCTTCGGATCTTGGAGATGTGGATGGGACGGCCGGTGAGGGTCGCGATGGTGAGGCGGCGGGTGAAGGACCGGTGGCCGGTGAACCGGAGGTATTCAGGCGAGGAGCCCGACATTGTTGGCTCTTTGTATTGTGCTCCGAGATTTTTTTTTCTTCTTGATTGTAGGAATTGGTGTATAATCTTGGTGGTTGTATGCTCAATAAGAGGAGGGGATCTTGGGGTATATTTCGTTGCTCGTCGCAAGAATTTTGGTGGTTTGGATGGGCGAGGAAAATTATTGTTTTCTGCCGGTTGATTGGTTTTCTGTGGCTTGGAAGGGTAGGCGGTGGATGAATTTGGCTTAGCGCAGATTTAGCCCGCTTCTGCTTGTTCCTCTTATGAGCAGCAGTAATTGATACAGTGTTCGAGGCATCATATTGTATTGAAGGTTAAAGCTGAGGAATAAAACGGAGAAGAGGATTGATACAATGCAATTGAAGTCAATTAAGTGTTAATTAAATATTTAATTGCGGTGGCAGTTCAACACTATATCCGAAAAGCATCGCAGTAACCGATGCCACTCAACTCACGTCTCCGATGCCAGTTGGAAATCTCATGCTTGGTTTATTTCAGCAAACAATATCAAAAGCTACTGCAAAAATCTCAAATCAATGGCCCATTGTCTGCTCGTACAACGCCAACAATGCTCTTTTCGCAAGAATCATCAGAAGCTTCTATAGTCTAACCCTGTATAGAATTCCGATTTGAGCCTCCTTGAGCAGACGAGAACAAGTAGCAAGACCCATCATAAAATCAACGCCGCGCTTGAACTTTTGTGTATTACGCCTTCACCATGAAAATCTGCCATATGGATTAGTAACTTATTTTTGAAAAGTCGAACAGATGTAAATACCTGATTCAATGCTTGAGCATCCATGAATGCAGCTCTCTTCTGAGCAATAAACCGGGACCGAGGAGTAACAAACCCGCCTCTAGGCGTTGATGTGCCCGTGGTGATTGGAGTAGCTGTCCCTGAACGCGATGCTGCGGCAGACGAGGCGTCGGGCATCTCCGTATCAGATGTGTCGCTCTTCTTTCGCTTCTTCTTGTCCTTGTCCTTCTTATCCTTCTTATCCTTCTTCTCTTTCTTGTCCTTTTTGTCCTTCTTAGAGCTCTTTGACTTTTCTGGACCACCATTTGAAGTTGATGATGAGTTGTTCAACGCGTCATCCAATTCCATGGCATCTTCGTCGCCCTCCTCTTTAGTCAGAGCTGTGCCCTTCTTTGACTTCTTCTTTTCTTTCTTCTCCCTTTTCTCCCTTTTCTTCTTGGCCTTTTCTAAATCGCTGAACTGGTTTGAATCGGATTTGGCCAGCTTTTTAGCCCTTCGCTCTTCCTTTCGCTGTTTCTTCTTCTTCTTCTCATCAACTTCGTCATCCTCAGACAGCTCGTCGTCATCTTTAAGTGACGTAGCCTTTCTCTTCTTGGATTTCTCCTTCTCCGACTCCTTGGTAGCCGCGGGTATCTTGTCATCTGCCGCCGTAGAACTTTCTGATTCGTCTGAGCTGTCGCTGTCCTCTTGCATGGCATCGCCGACCAACAAGCCTCCTCGCACGAATCTCATAGGTCCCCATTTCTGCTCCACGTACTGGTGCATCTTCACCTCCAACCTAGCTTGCCTCTTTTCTTCTACTTCAGCCTCGGATTTTCCGTTAAGGCGACTCAGCAGGTCTGAGAAGACGTCGAGACCGGTCACCTCGTCCTCTTTCGATTTGCTGAATCCGAGACCCTTCATGTCGTCTTTGAGCGATACTCGGATATACGACGCATTCGCGGCGGTGTGGTACTCGGAGTGCGCCGCATTTTTGGCTCCTAGGAACTGGCCAGGCTCCCAGCCTTGCGATCTCAGCATCTTCTGGCCAAAGGTGGTGGTGTCGCGAGTCCATCTTGTGTTGTTGGGATCGTTCTGGATTCTCCGGCGCCTGCATTGAGGTTAGTGCTTTGCCTGAGCAGCGAACTGCTCTTTCAAAGACTCACGACTTTGACTCAGCAAGCAGCCCCATCTTGTTGACTTTTGAGGAGCCGGCAGCCCTCGTGATTCTGTGTTTGTATGATTCTGCACTTTTGGCTGGCCTTGAACTGATTGCGAAGTATTGGGCGGGCAGAAAAAATAAAGTGTGGGGGCGCCTCTTATCGCGTACTTTAATTGGCTAGTGTTTCACAGGTAGGCTTGACCGAAATAGGCTCAAGCGTGTTCCGGACCCCTGTACATCTTCACCAAATGCTCAATTGAAGATGCACCTGTTCCGTACCTACTACTCTTCTAGAATAGATTGGCTTTTGAGCAAACATCGAACAACCTGTTCTCAAATTTAAATATGTTGGAATTTACTATATAATGAGAGTATAGATGCAGCACAGGGTACGAAAGGAATATAGACGCAGCAAAATACACTGGGGAAATATAGCTGTAGTCCCCGATGCTCGAAGAGGTAGAGGTCACATCGATCAAGCTCGAGCTATGGTCTTGATGAACAAAATAACTTCTGATATCAAAAATCGACATGCAGTTGCAACGATAGACATACTATCCTTGGGGATATCATATGTCCAGACATCTCCTCATATGACCAAACCAGCCAGGGGCACCGAGTAGCAAAAGTGTGGACTTGGGTAAAGGATTTCTACTGTATGAGCTACTCCCTACTACTATCATTACCTAGCAGTTCCTTCCAGCACTACTCTCATCTACTATAGCTATTCTCATCAACTATTACAACTTTAATCTTCCTTAAATAGCTCAAGATCTTAGTAATGGGAAATATATCGAAAGCAATCAGCGAACACTGTGTTAGCTTTCGATGTCATTGTTGATGAGCCATTGTTAGACATAGAGGTGAAAGTAACACTGATAGGGGAGTATGTCACTTAAGTGAGCAAAAGTGACAGCCCCTCTAGTAAGGAAATGGAAGCTGAAACAAATGAACAACAGTCCCATCCACAGCAGGCGCGATAGAGGTTTACATTCTCTATAGATGAGGTCAAAGTGAGATGCGTGAGGTGATTTGAATAGAGACCTGCCTATACTCCATACCTTGAATAAGAGTGACAGGACTTATATAGTTTACTACCCCATTGCTGATTATAAGCTGCTACGGACGATTGTACTCAGAAGCCAATAGACGAAACTCTTAAAAACAGAAACCAGTGGTCAGTAGAGCTTCTTCATAACGTAACCGTAGAGGTTGTATGACAAATATCAGCAAAGCTCAAGCTATTTAAGCCAATGCTTGCAATAGATACACTACTGATTATCGATAAAGCGAAACCTTTGCGCCAAGACGGAAGACATGTCCGAGATGATCTATTTCACATCAAAGGCGTGCGTTCATTCGCCATCGGTCTCGGGTTTTTCCTCATGCTCCGGCCAAGGAGCTCAATCAAATCCCTGTTATATCACCTTGATGTTACGTTCTGCTATACTGTAGCGCCAAACAGGACAAAAGATTCGGCCTATAGTCTCTTTTGTGGCAATATCAGCGACAGAACTACCTGCTTATAAGGGAAACCGAATCGTAACACTTACTACTAAATTAGCTACCCCAAGGCACCCGGTATTGCTGATTCTGCAAACCAAAACTATATCAATAACGTGCTAGCACCCTCAATCTGGGAATTCGCCTCTGTCGCCTTAACAATCGATATAGTATACAAATAGTCAATCAATATGAAACTTACACAACTTGGTCTGACTTTACTTTCCCTATTGCCAACCTATGGTGCGTGTGGCATCATTTTTGGCAACGAAACAGACCTTGCCATTCAGGTTCGGTCAGTTGTGGACCTATACCCCTTCGGAGTCGATACGCCAGATTATACTCTCTTTGATACTATTTTCACAAATGACGTTTTAGTCGACTACAGTGCTACCGGCACCCAGCCGACGCGCGGGATCCCAGCTTTCGTCGAGTCTCTTTCAGCGTCTCGAACAGCGCGGAATTACACCACTATGCATCATTTTGGCAGCCAAAGCGTAAATATCTCGACGACAGTCAACGCTTCTGTGAACACGTACGTGATTGCTACCTTCTTCGGCCACGGCGCTCGCGAAGGTCAGATATATACATCATACCAAGCCTTTTTGGATGACCTTGTTTTTGATGGTAAACAATGGAAGATATACCAGCGTAGGCTGCAAGTTTTTGTAAGTCGCCCATCTCTAAAAGTAAGAGTGATAAGTTACATATACTAATCAATCATGTACTAAACAGGGTCAGGCGGGTAATCCTGATATTGTTTCTGGCTAGAATGGAGGCTTTGATACTATTGATTCATCTAAACTATTAGCATGAGTAATATATATCTGGTATCATCAGTTATCTTCGTAGATCCCTATAGTCTGCTCGCAGGTGTAGTGCTTCTGGTGGTGAAAACGCCCGAGAGGCAGATCGATCTCCGCTGCCGCTTCATTATCCCCAAATTTCCATCAAATCATAGCCACCCTTTCTGTGACCTCGCGACGGAGGAAGACGACCAAACTGGGCAAGATGGCAAATATGTTTTCCATAGTGATGTACTGGACCTCTATCCATCACCCATCGCAGGTCCCCTACCGGCTACGAATCGTGTAAGATGGTCGACAAAGGCGCGCCGGAGATGGGCATTAGCAGCTTTCCCTTCCAATATATCATGGCTGAGGCCACCGCACGTACGCCCAGTCGTGGCATCAGAACAGTTCGTCTTCCAATTGGCCCAGTAAAGCATGAACGCAGGCGTTTAGCAGCGGCCTGCCCCGTTGGCGTCCTCGATTCCTGAGGATTGGATGCTTGACCCGTTAAGAGCGCAGCAGAGGTCGTATACAGCAAGAACACAACGATACACGGTGGCCAATACTTTAGCGGTAGGCTCCACCAAAACATGGAGGCTTCAATATCCTCTAGACCCCTGTAAATCTTCACCAAATGCTTCATGGTACCTACTTACTTATATACATAAGTATACTTACTACTCCACTACTGATTCTGATCTGCTATAGACGTTTATGTTTATATCTATCCATCTGGATAGGAATCAGGCTACCGATGATCCTCAGAGGCCAATAGACGAGACTCCTGAAGATAAAGATTAATGCTAAGTAAAGCTTTTAAAGAATGCAACCGCAGAAGACACATAGACCAAGGTATTTGAGTTACCTACTACAGGTAGGTATGTTCGTAGTAAATACACCACTGGTTATCGATGAAAATCCCGCATAGCAAATCTATTCCTTGTTAAATGGCATTCGAGGCAAATATGAACCTAATCAGATCGGGTGGCTGAAATGGATAAAACACATGTACCATCAACCCGCCCTAGAAGATTGTGATGGTACAAAAGCAGGAGGTGATGCTTCACACGTGTATGGAGCACAGGCGTACGTTCGACGTACGCGTATCTCGGCAGTGCGTTGCTCCCGCACAAGACGATGCTCAGAGCGTATTAGCAGCATGCACTCTGCAACTAGCAGCATGCAAGGTATCGCAACCTTGGAAATGCGGTGTTGGAGTTCTAGTCTAAGTGGGCGGCCGTTGGAAGTTGGAAGTTATGGGACATGTGGAAAGCAGAGAGAGACGCTCGTCATGCGGCTATGCTGCCGCGCGGCTCATCCCAGAAATAATAGATAGATGAATGGATAGGGACCGCAATAATACAGGCATACCGGAGGAGATTACGAGTCTCATTCTAGAGGTGTATAATAGCGTGGTGCGTATACGTGCGGATTGTCTGCTTCTGTATCTTGATTCCGTTTTCCCTGCCAAGCTGCTTAACTAGGGGGTCCCTGGCCACTCTGGCCACTCTACCATGGATCCCTTTTTCATTATTCCCGGGGTTTGGCATGCATGCGCCAAAGCAGCGCCCTCATAGGAGCATTTTGTAAACGCCGATCCCTTAGCGGCCAGCCGCGGACGACATGAAGCTCACGGGACCAACAAAGGCAAAGAGAAGGAAAACAGCCGCCTTGGTTGTGAAGAAACAGCCGTCCATTGGGGTTCACATGCCGCGGCGTGTGGCATTTGGGTTGGCCCAGACGCTTTTGCGACTCGTCCAGTAGTTCTTGGGCAGCCAAGCGAGAACGTTGAGGAGTGTCACAGTTCGTGGGCTGAGAACTGGATCCCATGCCGGGGTGAGATGCGGAGCTTGCTATAGGCCATGGAGGGCTTTAAGACGATGAGATGGGGTTTTGCTATTTAGGTAGATAGCGAGAGACTTGCTGGGTGGCCTGGAGGTGACGGCTTGTGTCATGTAACATCTTAATATCCATGATTCGTGATCGATGCCAGTGACGCGACATATCGGGTACTTCAACCATGGTCTGCATATCATTTGCCTGACTGTCGAGAAGAAACAGAGGCAGACCGTGGCAAAGTTGCTGGTGTTTAGATGTTTAGTTGGTGAGAATCCAGCTGATAGACTGCAATTTGATGTAGATGGTGTTGCTCAGCTGTCAGAATGTGTGTGTGTGTGTGTGTGGTGTAAGCCGCTAACACAACGATATTCATTGTATATCTGCGTCACTCGCACATTAGATCCAGCTGCAACAATGAGCATCTCCCGAGACTTGTCAGGCTTTTTGAGACAATGACGCCCATCTTAAGCAAGCATAGTTCATGCACATAAAGCCTACCTAGTCCTAGCTTCACGTTAGAACGCATGTCGTCGTGATACTACAGAGTAGCGCGGCATCTTAGTACATGTAGCTTTTGCTCCAAGTGTGCCATGTCTACCGTTTGGGTCCTGCGGGAGTAATGAGGGATTTGCACATGTATCGACGTCCATTTTTCTTGCTGGATACCCATGTTGGTGCACAAGGGCAAATGTGGACGACTTCTTCCTTGCAGGAGGCTGTGTACCTTCATCTTCTCGCCGAGTTCTTGTCTTGATGCTTGCTTGGGCTGACGACAGACACATTCGTCCCCCCTTTTTGACTAACGATATCAACGACTGCGTGGAGCTTAAGGCAGCCTTTATTTACTATCCAATGCCCTGAATATCCGCTACTGCTGCTCTTTCTTCTGTTATTTGCTATTATAGCTACATTCTTCTAGTATCTGCTACTACAGCTGTATTCTTCTAGTACCTAGTGGTATCGTTACTCTACATTAGTAGCTCTCAAACCACTTGTATCATAGGACAATTCTATTAAAATGGGTCTAACAGCCTTGTTATCAGTCACCTCATCTGGCACATGGCGAGGTGCATGGCCAAATTAGTACGAAAAAGGCATACTAGGACTATGAGCACTGCCAAGAGGGTCCAGGGTTCTCATCGTTCAACGAATCCAATTACTCGCTCGAAAACGCGCAGTCTCAGATCACAGGTAATCTCCTTTCCATGCTACGTTTTGAATCCGCTAACGGCTTAATGTGGGCAGAATCATGTGCATAGATATGACATCTCCTCCTCGGACCGGCCATCATACGCTGGCAAAGACTTCCCGTATCCTCCTTTCCGCTCCTACTGCCGGCGTTAAGGATCCATATTTCATGTAGTTTATAATAAACAGTGTTGATATGCCTATGGTACCATACCCGGTGCGTGTAGTTACTTCGTAGATCCAGGTTTCTGCCTTTGGCCGGGGCTTAGACTGGGTCCTGTCCCCGTCTCTTCGATACCGTTCTTCCTTTTCTTTTCTTTTCTCCTTTTCTTTTCTAATTCTTCTTCCTCCGTTCAGACCTGCACCGGTCGATTGTTCTGCTTGGAAGCCTCCATTCTCGTGGCGATTCTCCCGGCTTCCTCCTGCACATAGCTCGTCACCCCCTTTTCGCAATCTGATCCTCATTTACAAACACAATGGGTTTCCTCACGTGGTGCTCGCGATGTGCCACTGGCTTGAGTATGCTGGTCCTCATCGGCCTCTGCTACTGGGTCATATCCCGAGAATCGATGGTTGAGCAGCACGGCTTCAAGTTCGTGGGAACAAGCACCGAAGGCGAAACATACTCATCAAATACAACCAACATTGGAGCTGGTATCTGGACTCTCATCTTCGCCTACTATTGCCTGTTGATTCACTTCATGGTTGCCATGTTTCCCATTCGAGCGTGCTGGTCCATCTGGAGTATTACGCACTCTCTGAAGCGAGGAGTGCAGAGCAGAGCCATGGAAGAGTACAAGGACGCTGGCCGTCGCCGCAACAGCTCTTCATCGTCCGTGGCCAGCTCCGAGACGTTGGCCTCAAGTAACAACAACGGCATTTCTTCGACGGACAGCGAGCTGAGCGATTCTCCATCCGAATACTATGTTGTTGGGAAGGACGTGCCTGAAAGCCCCATCATCCACGCCATCGTCATCCCCAATTACAAGGAAGAAATGGACACCCTCCGCGAGACCCTGGACGTCTTGGCCTCTCACCCCCAGGCCCAAAGCCGCTACGATGTAAGTCGAGATACGCCGTACAACGGCTTGATATCCCCCCTGCCGCTCCCCACGTAGAGTGGTTGCGCGACATGATTAGCGTGGGCTGGATGCTAATTGGTCATGCGGTCGAATTCAGGTCTACCTTGGAATGGAGCTGCGTGAGACTGGCGGCGAATCAAAGGCTCGGAGTCTTATCCAGCAGTTTGTCAAGAAGTTCCGGTCCATCGACTATACGTTGCATCCAGGAGACATTCCCGGTGAAGCGGCCGGCAAAGGCAGCAACATGGCCTGGGCGGCCCGCAAGCTCAGTTCCAAGTATCCCATGTTTGTCCGCAAGAACGTCATTGTCACAGGCATTGATGGTAAGTTTGGCGGTTCTTTCACGAGACGTGTTTACGACGATTTTCACTGTTTCTTGCTGTCTTTCTCGGAACGCATCAATTCATTCACCTATGCAGATGCTGTGTACTGACCATGTCTGTGTCTGTAGCTGACAGCCACCTCTCGTCACGATATTTCGCCCAAATTTCCAATCTGCACATGATCCATCCGGATACCGCTTCCACCACTTTATATGCGGCTCCCATCATCTTCGACCGCAACGCCCACAACGTGACTGCTCTTGTCCGCGTTGCCGATGTTCTCTGGTGCGCTGCCGGTATGTCTGGTCTGTACAAGGGCTCTGCCATTGCTCCTCCTACGTCTGTCTACTCTCTGCCGCTGGTCCTTGTTGATCGTGTCGGCGGCTGGGACTGTGATTCCGATGCCATTGGTGAGGATCTGCACATGTTCATCAAATGCTTCTTTGCTCTGAATGGGCATCTCACATGTCGCACTGTTCTCAGCCCAGTCAGCCAGACCAACGTGACTGGAGGTGGAAAAGGGGGCTTGCGCGGTGCTTACCTGGACATCAAGGCACGATATAGCCAAGCACTTCGACACATGTGGGGTGCTCTGGACAGCGGATTCGCATTGCGCAAGGCAGCCGCGATGTGGAAGGACAGAAAGTACACATCCAGAGCCTTCCGTCCTCTGCACCGATCTGCCAGCGGCGATGATTTGGACGCCTATTTCCCCGAATCTCAGGTTGAAGAGACGGCAGAAGTGTCAGTCGATAATGGTGTGTTCTCCGACATCACGAGAGACACACTCAAGGAGCCTCACTGGGAGCACATCTTCTACATGGGCCACCGTCTGTTTGAAGCACACTTTCTTCCCCTCCAGATGCTGATCCTGGTAGTCGCTTCTGCTCTGTATACGTTTGTCACTGAGGGTAGCGATGATCCCAACAACTTATCATGGATCTTTTTGACATGCAACGTTCTTCGCACTATGGGCTTTATGGAGATGGCTGTCTACATCTTTCTTTATGAAAGCTACCACCGAGTTTGCGTGCGCACCCGTGAGAGGGACATGATCCAGGCCGGACTGGCTGACGGCATGTGCTTCTCCCAGCGCTCATTGAAGAAGAACTTTGTCGACTATCTCCTTGTTCCTATGGTAGCTCCTTTGTACGGCGCTATTCCTTGCGCCCAAGCGGAAATTGCGCATTTTTGGACTGCCGATTTGCAATATACCGTCAGCAAGAAGGCTCTTCGGCAGCGGGCAAAGTTTGTAACAGTGGAAGATATTGCTTGAGAGAGTTCTGCATCATTCGTTTTTGAATATTCATTTCGGTCACTTATGAGCGAGTTTGAAGCATCATTCGTTGTGTTCGGTCGACGTTTTCAAGCAGGAGTAAATAACATAAATTGGAAAGGATGCGGACATTTTTTCAGCTACATTTATGGGAGCTATTGAGAAGGATCTAATTGGAGTTTACGGGTATGGAATACCCCAAAGCGAAGAAGCATGGAGCGGGAATCACATCTATCAGCGCACTGATGAATAACACACTGAAGATACATGATGGTAATATATATACTCTGCGCCGGGATTCGGGATTAGTAATATAATATAGCTATAATAAACAAATCCATCATGATGCTTTCCATTCTCCAAGTGCAGTATACTATAAATGCCAAGCGGGTCTATATTTCTTTAGTAGCTGCTACTATATGTAATGTTTCTCTAGTAACTGCTACTATATTCATATAGGTTTTCATAGTAACTGCTACTATAGTTATGTCATCAAATTCGGTTGCTGGCCGGATAGGGGTCCCCATACAAAGCGCTACTTGATGAGCTGATTGAATGTATATTGCTGAATGTATGCATTTATTCATTTTACAGTCTCGATTTTTCAGGCCTCCGTCGGACTGCTTCCCCAAAGTTGGGCTCTAATTTAGAGGCTGCGACTAATGCAATGTTTCCGAGCTGCATCTACTATAAAATCCCGAGTGCGCGGAACAAGTTCTTGGATTACGGAGGCGGAGCGGAGATTAGTGGGGCATCCGAGCCGGGCGGCGAGTCGGATGCGAAATTCGAAGCCTCAGCCAATCAGTAAACGACGGTGCCTGAAATGAAGAAAGTATATGATTGTTATGCATATGCCTTGTGACTGTATTTAATTGATGGCTGACTTGGGCATTTGATGGTGCCATGAAGAGAGAGGATGGAGGATTTGTCGAGATGTATTGTTGTCGGGTAGGTGATGGCTTTTAAGCATTTGTGATAGGGAACTGAGTCGTGCAGAGTATGTCCGCTGAAAATGCACTGTTTGTTCCTCGTCAGAATATTGATCATGTGGAATTCTTATGTATCTAGAAGCATGTATGTACGAGAGATGAGTCAAGGCGCTGCCTATACTGCAACACCCACGAAACGTATGTAGGCTGAAAGACACCTCCTCTTGATTTGGACGCCCGAGCTATGGTAACTTGGTAGTATCCGGACTACAAAACTTTTTTAACTTGATTGCAAACATGTGCAATAGTAATTGCTTAGAATTTCTAAAAGGCAGTTTAGACGACTAGTCCACCAAACGTGACGCTGTTGTGGCTAGGGGTTCAATGCGTATAAGAAGTAATAGATCTGAGTGTTTGTCTAATTACCCATTTACTGCACAAATCCCTTAGATGAAAGAATATCAGATACGCGATATAACCACTATACAGCATATGAACTTAAATACGAATGTAAATATTTAATTGTAAGCCGCAGGGCCTTGGTTTCAGCTGTTGCATGATGAATGATGATGACCTTATAAACTGACTGTCTCATCAACTTTGATAGCTTGGTTGTAATCTGCAGGCGGTCAGAGACGGCCAATGGCGTGAGACCCACTCTGGTGCATCATTGGCTCCGCTTCGGCGGGGTCGGTTGCTTAGCCAGCGACATCCATCAACGATAACCGCCTTATCGCGCAATTCTATTGGCCCAAATCTGCCAGTGGAGACAACGTTGAATGGGTTGACGGAGAAAGAAAAAAAAAAAAAAAAAGCAGTCAAGAAATTTTCTGAGCTTCTCGCCTGCCTCGCCTTTTCTTCCTCTTCACGTCGCCATCTCCAAGCCTTGGGACTCGCAGAACCACATTCTCTCCGGAACGCCTTCTCTTCTACTCTGTACCAATTCTTTTGGATTTACACCGTAACCACCACTACTAAGATTTAATAACCCCGTCGCAATGGCTGCTGTTCCCGGTCCCGTCTATGGCCTCGAGGTCCCGCCTGGAGAGGTGCTGATCTCGGCCAACTTGGAGTTTCCTGCTTCTGTAAGTTGTTTCTCTCTTAACTCTTGTTGCCGTTCATCTAGAGGCTGGCTGGATCGAGCATACTATGCCTTCTTTCTGGCCTAGAATCCAACGGTCGGCGACAAATGAAGCTATTGGTTTTGCGCCGTTGATGCTAACCGCCCGCGTTCCTTGCCGCAGTTCCGCATCACCATGGCCGCTTTAGATCCTACTCAGGAGCCTAAGCTCGATGATTCCAAGAACGCTCCCTCTGTCCCTCGTTCTACTCTGCGCCTGATCAAGCGCGCTTTCCCCGGCCTCGACGAGGATGAGGATGATGAGCTTCACGAGCAGTACATGAGCGCCCTTCTCGGCAACTCTGACGACGAGGACGAGGAGGCCAATGGTGGCCCCAGCGACCCTGCCAAGGCTAAGAAGCAGAAGCAGGTTGCTGCCATCAAGAAGCTTCTCGAGGCCACCAACGGTGAGGACTCCGAGGACGAGGAGATGGAGGATGCCGAGATCAACGGCGCCAAGTCCAAGAAGGGCAAGAAGAGCAACGCCATCGCCAAGGGCAAGGGCAAGGCCATTGAGGAGGAAGAGGAAGATGACGAGGAAGAAGACGAGGACGACGACGACAGCGAGGGAGGTGACCTCGAGAACTTCGTTCTCTGCACCCTCGACACTGAGCGAGTAAGCCTTACTACACCATCAGAGTTCTCCAAAGTTTTTTTCGGAGCAAGACTCGCATGTCCAAAATCTATGCGATATGCTAACACCTCGATTTAGAACTACCAGCAGCCTCTTGATATTACCGTCAACCAAGGCGAGAAGGTCTTCTTCGTCGTCTCCGGAACACACACCGTTTACTTGACCGGTAACTACATTATGGACGACGAGGATGAGGAGGACCAGGATGGCGAGGATGACTATGACCTGTCCCCCGATGAGCTGGAATATGCCATGGGTGAGGAGGACAGCGAGGAGGAGAGCGACGATCTTGACGATCTCGAGGATCCTCGCATCACCGAGCTCGACTCCGATGAGGAGGAGGTCCCCAAGCTGGTCCCCACAGACAACAAGAAGGGCAAGAACAAGCGCTCCGCTGCTGAGGCCGAGGGTCTTGACGAGCTCATCGCCAAGGCTACCGATTCCAAGCTCTCCAAGAAGCAGCAGAAGAAGCTCAAGAACAACAAGGGCGAGGCTGTGGCCGCCGAGGAGAAGGAGGAGAAGAAGGATGCAAAGAAGGTCCAATTCGCCAAGAACCTGGAGCAGGGCCCTACCGGCTCCACCGCTGAGAAGGCCAAGCAGGCCGGCAAGGCTTCTCTTGGTGTCAAGTCTGTCCAGGGCGTCACCGTTGACGACCGCACCATTGGCAAGGGCCGCACTGTCAAGAATGGCGACACTGTTGGCGTCCGATACATTGGCAAGCTCCAGAATGGACAGCAGTTCGATGGTAAGCTCGATTCTCGACTCTTTGTTTACGCAGCGACTAACTGTGGATGAACCATAGCCAACAAGAAGGGCAAGCCTTTTTCTTTCAAGATCGGCAAGGGCCAGGTCATCAAGGGCTGGGACGTCGGCATTGTCGGCATGGCCATCGGTGGTGAACGCCGACTGACGATTCCTGCTCACCTCGCCTACGGCTCCAAGAGCCTGCCCGGCATTCCCGCCAACAGCCAGCTGACCTTCGACGTCAAGCTGCTCGAGATCAAATAAATCAAAAGTCAATGTAAACTTGGGACCGGCGTTGGATGACTTCCGTGGTTGCGTGTACTAATTCTTTACCCCTACCCTCTGGACGACGTGGAATCTGGGCATGGTTCATTTTGTTTTTGTTATTTCCTTTTGACATGTTGACCCCTGACGAGGAGTCTGAGGGCCTGCAGCTCTGTCATGGCTTGGAGTGCCGTGTTGCATTCGGATGTCGCATGCAAATCGGGGTTTGGGATTCTCAAAGGCGAGGAGCCGGAATTGTTTGAGCGTAAGCGTTACAAGCCGAGCACTCCTCTGGTCTCTCCTATGTACAATGTCGCCGCTGTTGATAAAAAATTTGGGTGCTTTAAGGGTTTGCGATGGGCGATTTAGACGTCTATAAAACGAAATGAAATTTTGTTCTCATATAATAAGCATTGCGTGTGCTGCGGACGTTGATGAAGCAGCACCTCCTGATCTATCAAACTGGGTACTGGACATCTGTAGCATGAATGTGGAAGTGCTGGATAGCTACTCCCTCAATGCTGCTCTGCTTGGAAAAGAGTGATCGATCGGTGCGTCCAAAACTGGAAACAGTGCCTGATGGACGACGTCATGTCTCTTTCTTTACTTTTCTCTCCTTCTTCCCGATATCGTCATCTGCTCTGTTTCTCTCCTTTTCCACTTGTTCACCAGGTCGGTTCCATACTTTTGACGTGGTCATTCATTCATTCATAACTATCAACTATCCAAGAAATATACTAAAAAATTCATCATCTCTATCGTCATCCCCTGTCCCTTTCTTTCCGCTCGGCTGCCGGATCCCGTGGCCGTCGCCCGTTTTCCTCCATATTCCTGGCACAGAATGCTGCCTCAGAATCACAATGCAAGACGGAATCAACCTGGACTGGATCCTCCTCCCAACGGGCCCAATGAATCTCATATTCCCTCTTTTAGGCCCCCATTCAACACAGCGGAAGGTCTCGCAGGATCTGACCTTTTGAGACTTCATCGAAAACACTCAAAGCAATGGACTGATAAATTTCGCAAGGCCATCGGAGTAAAGGGGAGAAATGACCATGGTAGTTCAGTCTTGCATGTATGGCTTGAGAGATTGGACAGTGCTGATAATTGGTAGGCTCGCAAGGTTCCACTCCTCTTGACTGGTCTCTAAGCGAAGGGCTGAGATCCTTGAACTTGAACAAGGGGAAGAATCCCGCCGTTGGTGTTTCGAGCAACGGTGCTACGGTGCTACGGAAAACAAAAAGGCCCCCAGCGACAAAGGGTTTCATGAGAAAGATACGATCAAACGATGCCAAGATTTCACCAAGCTCCACTGCTGTGGTTTCAGACTCCTCTCTGCAGCAGCATCAGTCGTTTCAAGAACTCACCAGTGTTACCGAATCGGACGATTCGAGCGAACAGGATGATATATGGTCATCTACTCACAGCAGTAGACTGGCAAGCCCAGACGATAATCTGACGGGGAAGACATCAATCGACTCTCGTGTTTCTGGCTCACCCTCAGCAAAAGGAAGTCCAAGGAGGAAATTGAGTCGTCAGAGTCGCTGGACCAGATCCAGCCCAGAAGGCGCAGGGCTGGGGACCATCGAAGAAACGGCGACGGACAAACCGAAGCCAACCATTCTGACAGTGGAAAAAGCTGCTGCTGCCAAGATATATCTCGAGACTCACTTTAACGAGCTCTGCGGTGAATCCCAGCGCCGCTTGATCAGATATCAGGAATTTGCAGAGCGGCAATTCAAAGAAGGTCTTGTTTATGGCCCGAATCACGTCTCTGGAAACAGTGCCGTTGATTACAGCTCCTTCTACTACTCGGAGAGCTGTCGCCTGAGGGACATACGAGCGCTGAAATCCAAATGCACGCTCCAGGCCAAACAACAAAACGTAAGCCCTTTTGTGTCCAAGTATGAGCCGCTCAAGGTATTGGGCAAAGGCAGTTTTGGAGTTGTCAGGCTGGTACGCGAGAAATCAGCTTCGCCGTATAATTTCTCAAACCAAGTCTATGCGATGAAGGTCATACGAAAGTCCGATATGCTTCGAAGCAGCCAAGAGGGCCATCTCCGCGCCGAGAGAGATTTTCTCGTTTCTTATGAAGGATCCACCTGGTAATGACGCTCATGATTTTCTTTTCTTTCTCTCACTATGCATGTATTGTCCAGCTAACACATCTTCTTTTTCACACAGGGTGGTCCCGCTGATTGCAAGTTTCGAAGACATGTCAAATCTCTATCTTGTGATGGAGTACATGCCAGGCGGCGACTTTCTGGGGCTGCTGATTCGAGAGAACATACTGCACGAGGCTGTAGCGTGCTTTTACATTGCTGAGATGATTCTGGCCGTTGAAGAAACCCATCGCCTTGGGTTTATCCACCGCGATATCAAGCCTGACAACTTTCTCATCTCCAGCTCGGGGCATCTTAAAATCTCCGACTTTGGGCTTGCGTTTGATGGTAAGTGGCCTCATGACGCGTCATATTACAATTACCATCGATACGCACTGCTTCGGAAACTCAACCTTGATGCTCAAGGCGATGAAAAAGACCAAGAAGACTGCAAAAGCGTTCAATCGCAGGTCGAGAAGGCTCAAGTCCTGGCCGCTGAATTCGGGCGACATGACGAACGCAACCTAGGAAGTGATCCCGATCTCGCTGCTATTCTGGGATGGAGAAACACGCGCAGCAACCGTACGAGAGCCAACTCTGTCGTTGGCACAAGTCAATACATGGCTCCCGAGGTGATTCAAGCACAAAACTTCCAGACCTACTACGACGGTAGATGTGACTAGTAGAGCATCGGCATCATTCTGTACGAGTGTCTCTATGGACACACTCCTTTTCTTTCGGACGAAGGTAGAAAGCCGACAAAGCAAAATATCTTGGTAAGTGTATTGGTGGCTATGTTCGTATGGTTGCTAATGCTATTGAAGGCGCATAGAGAAAAATTTCGCTTTCCCATGAGACCTCTCGTCAGTGATAGATGTAAAGACTTAATCTACCGCCTGATTCAGGACAAGGAAGTACGGCTCTGTTCCAAACGATACCAGATGATTGATCAGCACCAACCAGGAGCGGCGGTATCAACCGACATGTATGGTAGATACATTTTCCCCGACGACGGCGAGGATATCAAGGCGCATCGATTCTTCAAAAGCGTGCCGTGGGATACCCTTCAAAACACAGCGCCACCCTTCGTCCCGCACATTGACAGCCTCGAAGACACTCACTATTTTGATGAATCAGAGCCTCTTGATGATCGAATTGAGTCGGTGGCCGAAAAGCCTGGGCTAACGGATGACGAGGTTCGGTGGATTTTGCGAGAGTTTAGACCGAGCATACAAAACGTGGCGATTCGGATGATTCACGCCCCATATGATTCAGGGGCTCTCCGCAGCAGGGACTTGGAGATTGACTCGGTGAGTACGTTTCTAGATGAAGAAAAGGAGCTTTTGAAGAGATTTATGAGGGAGTACGGGCGGAGAGTACCCAAGCGGCCACGAGATATTATTCTACGAGATGATAACATGAAGGGGGCTGCCATGGAGGTAAGAAAGCAGAGCGCCTTTATGGGTTACGAATGGCATAGCGTGAGGAGGAAGGCATTTTGAAGGACGGATGGAGTTGAAGCTCTTATCCTTGGGCGGAACATGGCGAGGTGGAAAGGGGATGTTTTGACCAGCGAATGAAACAAACATAGGAAAACTGCATAGCAGAATTAATGGATACAGCATGATTAATCGGTATTAATTATATGGTATCGCTTGCTGTTTTGTCGTTTGAAAAGCCTATACAAAGGGGTAGCTGTTCAGCACCGCGAGGTGGTCATCCAACGCCCCAGCGACTGTGTAGAGTTTGAGCATCAAAACCGTCCACTTGTTACTACAAGCATATACTTGAGTAATAAACGCTCAGTTCTTCAAGTATCTGCCATCGATTCAACTACACGGAAACGGTTCATTCAATATACAGATAGGTAGCGGGATGACGGTTAGCCAGCTTTGGCTGCTGGCGTTTGAGCCGTGCTGTCCGACGAAGCAAGCGACCTAGCCGTACGAATCTCCCACTCGAACTCTCGAAGAGCCCTAATCTCGGACCAAAAGAAGAGGAGGGCAAGAAGGCCGTCGACGACTCCCGTGGCAAGGCCCAGGCTCGCAACGAGCATGAGGATGAAGGCGACAAAGTTGCGAGGGCTGAACCACACGGCGACGAGGCAGCCTATCCAGACGAGGACGGAGGCGTAGAAGTGGATGGCGCGCCAGTGGCGCTGGCGGACTTCGCGGGCCGTGTATTCGTGGGTCATGGCGAGGATTTCGTCGTAGTCGGAGAGGGTTAGGCTGGCGCTTTCGGGGTTGGTATCTCCGGGGGGGAGAAGTTGGGCGTCTAATTCGGGGACGGGGGAGGAAGGTGAGGTTTCGTGGAGTTTGAGGGTGGCTAGGGCTGCGAAGTGGTCGGAGAGGGAGACGTTGAGGTCTGGGTGACGCTGGGTCATTTCGACTGATGCAGAATGGACGACCCAGCCCCGAGGTTGTTGCCGTTGTTGGGCATGGGGATTGGCAGTCTCGGGTTGGAGGAGGCCGGTGGAGGCGAAGACGTAGTCGAGGCGTTTGCCCCGAGGATCCGGACTGTCTGGGTCGACGGGGCAAGGGTCAGACTTTAGTTTTTCCCGAGCGCTCTTGGGCCAGCGCCAGGTGTTGTAGAGGCCGTCGCTTGTCGATCCATTGAACTTGAGGTTGAAGCCGGCGGTGGGCACGGGAAGACCTCTGGCCTTCTCTACGGGGTCGTCGGCGGTGCCGAGGGAGCTGTCGGGGTGAAGGACACGCCAGGTGTCGCGGAGGGGAGTGCGGGCGGTGATGATGCGGTGGGCGAGGGATCTTGGCGTCATGTTGAAGTCGCCGAGGGCGACGACGAGGCGGCCTGAGAGGGAGGCGGCGCGGAGGAGCTTTGAGATTTCCCACGCCTGGGCTGTGCGGTGGCAGAGGTAGGTGTCGTTGGGGGGGCTTTCGTAAGGGGCGTGAGTCTGTGATGGAGTTAGTAGGAGGATAAAGAGTTTCATGTGAAGGAGAGCGAGGGGGTGAATAGGATATATGTGTTGTGTGCAGACTCTTCTCTCACTTGAGATGGTTCGTTTACACGCAAACATACAACTCATATAGAGGTATGAGTTTTTGGTGAAGAGTGAAGAAATGAAGACGGGGGATGGAGATGAAACAAACTCACATGAGTGTTGAAGACCTCAACTACATCATTCTTCCCCGGCCCAATCCTCACACTCGCACACGCCACGCCCTTGCCGACATACCAATCGCCTCTCCAAAACGCCGTGGGCCGCCCATTCAGCGGATACCGAAACATGGAGCTCGCCTCAACCGGCCACCGGCTCAGAAGCGCAAGCCCACCGCCAAAGGCACCGCTGTTGTAAAACTTGCCATGAGGGAGAATGTCCGCGGTGGCCCGGCAGATGGCGAGGTAGTCGTCCCGGGTCCAGCATTCCTGGAGGCAGACAATGTCCGGCGGGGGGTCGAGGAGGGCCAGCTGGCGGCCGATTTCAGCGAGGCGCGGCGTGCGCAGGTCGGAGATGAAGAGCAGGCCCCAGCAGTTGAGGGTGAGGAGCCGGATTTGCGTGACGGGCTGGTTGGTGGCCTGCGAGGCTGAAGATGGTTCGTCCATGGTCTTGGGATTGCGTCGTCGTGACAAGGCTGATGCCCGATTGAGCTGGAATTGTGGTGTTGTTAAGCTCGGTGAAGTTGGGATGTTGATTGGGAATGGATTGAAAAGGATTTCGCGTGTCAGCTGAGTGAGTTCATGATGCTTGGTGAAGCCGGCACGGGAGGATGAAGCTGATGAATGTGGTCAAGATGGCATGTTTATCGGGCCGCCGTTGGATGTCGACGTAAGGTAGCTGAGACTACCCGGTAATAGTGGGCTGCGCTGTACTAAGAGAGTACATGTACCTACTAGGGTATAGTAGCTGTCCAGCGCCTCAGCAATTGCGTGGAACTGGGGCATCGAAACCGGAGGCAAGGGAAAGCCGTTGATTTATGTGTTTTGAAAATTCTACATTGGGATTTTTTTGGAAGTTGGACACTTGTCGTCCATGTTGAACAATAGAGATGTTGCCTCATCATCCGCTCATGTTGTTTCGATGGGCTTTTGATATGCCATGTTGTAAGGTTTAATGTGGTTGTTGCATGAGAGCTAGCCTGGTTTATATAGATTTGGGAGTTTACTTTTTCATATAAAACGGTGGCCAAAAAAACGTGAATATATAATCATGCTGTATACATAATATTTATAATTTATTTCATTATCAACATTCACTACCAGGCTCGGTCTTCAGCACACTCTCAGCCTCCAATACCAAAACAAAACACCAAGTGTCAGGTGCCTAGATGCTTTCACGCTGGAAGAAAGCATTATCAGGTCAAGCTATGACCTTGTTTGAAAGGAAGTCTGTAAAAGAAGAGGTTTCCTCTTTATTCTGAAAGGTTCAGAGATAAAACACTGTGATTGTTGGATATCTAGGTAGCTGCATGAGTTTGGCTAGAAGCCTGCTTATTCCCCTTCTTTGACCCCATCACTCTCCTCTTTGTGCCCAGCTCTCTGACATGACGTTTCCACACGCAATCACAACAATGGAAGCAAACTATCCCAACTCCATTCCATAATGCAGTTTATTCGCAGGTGTCGGTATCGCAGAATCCCTCTCCAGCGAAGCAAATGCTGTCAGTGGGCTCAACACATCCGCCAATACCGCCAGTGCCGTGGGTCGCAGCAAAAAAGCAAACTTGATCACCAGGGCAGTCCTATATAATAGTTAATTACAGAGTTATGATGAGCAGAATTAAAATAGTTGAGACTCATACGTGGCAGCTGAAGCATCCATAAGCGGTGCTGGCCATGACGGCGGCGATAGTGAAGATGGAGATGGAGACCTTCATGTTGTCGGTTTGTTGGTGGTGAAGAGAAGAGTGTTTGTTGTAATTGTTGATGGTGATGTCTTTTAATTGTAATTCTCAAGGGGATCAAGAAGAGTATTTATAAGTTTGTCAATTCAATATGTTAACACAACTCTGGTCACTATAATAGCAATCCTGGGCGACTGGACAAACACGCTACACCGCTACTTATTACTTCGGTCTATTTACGGAATATGGTAAGTAATACAATACGAGTAGAGTGAAGCAGTAAGACAAGTCGACCATAGGTGACCGATGTAACCTCTTCACGTACAATGTATGGACGGCTTAACTTTTCCGCTAAGCAAACACGAGCTGTATAATGTACAGCTTGACTTTTATGACTGCGTTGACAGACTGAGCCAGCATCCCCATGTCAACTGAGCCCGAGCCCGGCACAGGTCATGGCTTCAAGTAGTGGTCAGAAAAGATGACCTGTGCCTTTTCTGACCAGCACTTGAAGAGATGATTTTGTGCCGGGCTCGGACTCTCGGGTTCGGGCTCTCGGTCTCAGTTGACATGGGGGGTGGCCACCTAGTATAAGCAATACAATACAGTGTACTACATATATATCTATATTATGATTACCAGTTTGACTCATAGTATTACCTATGACTGAATAGGTAGAGAATAAAATTAAAACATCACTATATTATAACATTGCAAGGAGATATACAGGTTAACAAGAACTATTTAGGAGTTCCAGGTTGAAATTGCCCGTTGGTTCCACTTTCAGAGACCGACTGTTCGCTTCTGAAGCGAGCAGTTGAGTTGGTCTCTGAAGCGAACAGTTGGTTTGCCCCCATGAAAGCAAACAGTTGGTCTCTGAAAGTGGAACCAACGGCTAAGGTTCTTTTTACCTCCAGTTGAAGCTTATACGAAGCTCTCGTCAGCCCTACGCTAAATCTAGTAGCTGCCTTGGCAGTTCTCCAGTCTTGAATAATACCCGGCAAAAGCACCTGTCAAGTCGGGATTCCTTTATAGACTTGGACTTCCTAATTCGCTTAGTCTTTTGGAACCCGGCTTGTTTAGAGTAGTTTAATAGGTAGGAAAAACTTGCCGAGGTCAATCGTACACCACCCCGCTTGCATGCTGATCACAGTCCCCTCTATATAATATCAGACAAGACACATTTTCGCATGTCCAATTGGAAAAATTCTCCCTCTGACGCCGTGCGGATGAGGATGACAGTCGTGTCGTGGCTTGTCTCTGCATAATCGTTCTTATCTTGCCGCTCTGTAGCCGCTTTGAGTGAGCTATTAAACGGTTATATTTCTTTAGTATCTGTTGACATGCAACTACATTTTCCCTGATGTACTGTATTGGGGGTGTTAACACAACTTGGAACAGCACAAGGTCTCTCACGACGCCTACAAGACCAGTCTTTGTCTTGAAAAGTGTGTCCACAGATGCGGCCCAGCAATGACATACTGGATATCTAATCTGAGTACTGCACGAAGACATTGACATTTCTCATTCGCTTTGTATAGGTGGTGAATGCCCGCGTAACTGAGGGCCATCTTGTATTTGTTAGCTCAGGCTACAGCTATCAGGTATTTAACCGAATGCGAATCTCTCATCCTGGTTGGTTTTATAGCTTCTGAAGCGTTACATGGAACTGCAAGTGTAACAAAGTCAGCACAGTCTTGACGCCTGAGTAATAGAGTAGCTGGTCCATACCAACTCGACAGATTTGCGGCCCGACCTGATGTAGTGGATGTGCTGGTCAATCACTGTCATTCTTGCGTCAGTCCAGTTTCATTATCCATCAATTGCAAATGGAGATGGTGAATATGATTGACGATGATGAAGCATGTATACCTTTACCCTCGCCTCTCTGAGCCTGGTGATCGGCCAGTGAGGTCCAGCCCAGCAGAAAAACGACAATCTTGGGTTCCGGCTGCTCAACGCCGACATGATTCACGGGCGCAAGCTCTCCAGTGATGCCGCCGCCCATGCCGGGCAGCTTTGCGTCAGAAATAGCCTTGAGGAAAGGGTCGAGCCGGGCATCAAGATAGTCATCGTCAGCGCCATAGCTAAAGAGGAACTCGGTGCAAGGGGCCTCGAGAGGAGCAATGGCGTCGCCGTGGACAGCAGCGCAAGTCAACACTGTGAAAGTCGCCAGCGGCGCGACGTAGGAGGCGGCCCAGAGAGTGAAGCCGGGGCTGGCGTGAAAGTCGTCGAGAGCGGCCTGAGAGGTCCAGCGGGCGACCCAGGTGTATTTGGAGGGATTCTCGAGTTGGCGGCCGAAGTAGAAGGCGATGACGCCGGGGATTGAGGCGAGAGTTTTGAGGTCGTTGAGCAGGGATTGGGGCGGCGTGGAGCCTTCTTTGAGGGTGATTGTGGAGAATTCGAGGAGCTCAGACATGGTTGCGTTTATGAAATGAAATGAAATGAAATGAGAGGAGCTATGTATCTATGTAAATGTTGGTTGAAGGATGAGTGCCGCAGTTTGTGTTGTGAGAGTTGTGACGTGAGTTGCTGAGGGTTTAATGCAGCACTTGCTAGTGTAGTATATATAGGTGGTTGAAAGTGAGTTGAGAATCACATCATCTTCTACTATTGATAAGCAGCGCCAACTTCCAAGTTGTCGTCCCTTCAAGTTGATTGTTATACAACATATCTTACTATATTCATCTACAGGCACACCGTCCTACGTGAGAAATGCCGTGCAATCTAAACACCCGCACAGCCCGAAATGGCCGCAAGCCGCACCTCTTCTTCTAGCTATTTCCCGAAAAACTTGCCCATTTGGGAAATCTCATTTCTAAGCAAATCGCCGCTATCAGCCGAGGGACGACATGGGGCATAGCTGATGGCCCGAGGCAAATTGAATGAGATGCAGCAAGATGTCCGAATTACTTGGGCAAGGAGGGCGCAGTTTCGACAAGTTATTTGCAAGTCTCTGTATTAGAAATGCAGTCATGCCATGCAAGAGCGCCGCTAATACGAGGCCATACTTGCGGATCCTCCTTCTGATGAGCTTCTTCGTGTGGCCTCCATTCTTTCCGATGAACGGGACAAGAGTGTCATAAGAGAGCTGTGCTGCGGATGAGGCGCCTTTGTGTCTCTTGCATTGCTTTTGTCAACATACAGTCGCAGTAAAGAACCACCTCGGACCATTGGAGGTGTGCCTCCGCATCAACGGCTGGCGAGAGTTACACGCAAAGAAGTGCACTGCACTGCCGAGGAGGAAGCTGGAAAATCCCGTCATTCATGGAGGGACCATAAAGAATATGGGATTGCAAACGGGTCATGGCATCGCAGGAAGGCAAACTTCCCAGGCTGAAGCCTCGATGAAAGGACCATTCAGGGCCTTGCAACTAGAAAGAAGGAGCTCCTACAAACAAACAAACCTGGGTCACATGAGAGCATGGGGAACATCTGAGCTGACCTTTCATGAAGATATGCTGAGGATGCCCAAGTCCTGTACGGTTCATCCGAGGCCCCCTCATGAACAGCCCCTTCCAAACAAGCAGAATTGAAGACGCAGAGACAGAATCGGGCCCAGAGGATGCTACATTCTGAGGACAACCTCGGGACTTGGTACGCAAATTGGCAAGCCTGGACCGGGATTTTGAACCGCCGGCTGGCGAGAACAAATGGAGTTGGGAAGAATCAACATTTCCATCAGATTTATACAGCTGCGTCAGGCCATCTACAATATTCCTTCGCTCCTGCTGCTCTGCTCGTCCACCTGCCAACCGCCGCGATACTGAGAATCAATGCTGCCTTCTCTCTCCGCTCCAGCGAACTTCATTCTTCTCTCTTTAACCTTGTCATCTTGCGACCTCCCAATTGTCCACGTTGGCATTCATTTCCTCGCTTGTCTCCCCCGGACTAAAAACCTCTTACGGCTTCTAAAGCGACTACCCCGTAGCCTGCAACTGGGCGAGACAAGCTTGACATGGACTCCGAATCCGAGCGTGCTGCAAAAGTAGATCCATTGGACGATATCCTGCCGCACTGGGAGCGGAGCATGACCCTGACCCCCAAAGATGCCTTGGAGCGAGTCAACTCCAACCCCGAACCGGACTACCCAAAGTTCGAGGAGATGATGGCGCACTGGGAGAGCTTCGTTGAGGACAACGCGCGACCCGAGGTTCATCTCTACTGGAAGGAGGGCCTAGAGGAGGCCCGCAGGAGGTTCACGACAGGCCCAAGGCCGGCGAGTGAAATCCAAAAGCTGGTCAAACGCGCAATCGATGGCAGGAAGAGTGACTTGCGCTCAATCAAGTCTAGAGTCCAAACGGCTTCCCACGTCAATCCTATCCTAGAAGAGGAGGTGTGCCAGATTCTTCCCATCAAGCTGGCCAGACTGATGGGTATGGGCCCCCCCAACGACAGCGAGTTTTCGGCATCGAACCCCCGACCTGAGCAACTCTGGGAGGGCTACTATTCGCCTAAGCTTCGTCGGCAAAGTCCTGATTCTAGAACCCGGATACTGATCGCCCATCTTCTCGCCAGTGTGCGCGATATGCACGTGGAGGAATTGGCCTCTTTCGACGACATGAAGGCGACCGCCATGATCTGGTATCAAGAGTTGGAGATAGCATTGACTGGAGGCCGTTACACCGACTGGATGAGGACATGGGAGGAGGATTTCCCGGAGGTGGCAGCTCCACTTCCCCAAAGATCAGTTGCACGCACGATGGGAATGGCTGTGGTAACAAGGAGAGGAGAGTGGAGAGAACCGGAGTCTCGGGAGGTAGAGGATTGGGAAGCTGATGGGGGGGAGATTAGACAAGAGACATCTATCACATATGACGTCCTTGACTTGATATCAGAGCAGATATCTGGAAGAATGGAGACGTCCCCAATGGACGTGGAGGACGAGATGGACATGGATTAACGAGGCCCCATCTACATTGAAGAGTGGAAAGGGCGTCGATGCTGGACTCTCTTCGGGGAATATATGGGCGCCAGACATGCTTTGGGGGGGGTCTCTAGGACGTCTGGTATGGATGCGATTGTCACTGATGAGAATACGTCACGGGGGGAGGGGGTTTTGGATCGGTGATATTCCAGCATCGTTTGCTTGTTTTTTGGGCCAGGTATGAGCCTATTGCGGGATCGCCTCTCTTCATCTTTGTTGTATCAATGGTAAGCCGTGGTCTACATCATATTGGTTGGGGGGGAGGACCCATCAATCGACTCATCTTCTGCTTACTGACCTTGCTTCTAACGAGCTCTTCCTGTGCACCCCTTTCTCAATGTTATCAATGTGTAATGATTATAAGCCTGGCCTGCTGCTGTCTAAATACGTGAGCACCAATTATGACAGCAGATACTCGGAGAAGTATGTTGAAGGAATATGCTCAAGATGCAAGAAAATGAAAGCAACGGCAAGAATCAATCTGTGCTTGAGAGGTTGTCGAGTACCACGGAACTTAATATCCTTCTAGTAAAAGAATATCCCAAGCATCAACTGTAGCTAGCAAGTCGCTGTCCAAACAATATGGTCCCCAAGCGAAGGAAAAGTAGAAGAATGTTTCCTGCTGGACCCAGATTCATCACACCTCCTCGCTCCACAGCCAATTGTCCTGCTCCTCTACCCAATCACAAAACTCCTCGCCCAATGCGGCACGCATTTCATCAGTGAGATGCTTGTCCAGCAATTCAGGGAACTCCAGTTTCAACTTGTGGCGCCAGGCTCGAAAAAGATTCATCCGCAGACAGGACTTGAAACTCTCGAATTGAGTATCCACTGACTCCTGTACGTCGCCGTATCCCAGGAAATGCCGTCCCACATGCATCAGTTGCAAAATGTCATTGACCACTTCGCAAACTGACGCCATTTGCCGTGTGGCGGCTAGAGGGATGAAGTAACTCTGCCAGACGTTGTCCATCAACTTGTCTGGTTCTTTCATACCCAGCAGCCGTCCAAAGATCGCCGGGATCTTGTGATCAAGGTCCTTCTCTTCAATCCACTTATCCCACACTCTCGAGCTCCCTAGTTGTAGTTTCAATTCCAAGTCGCAAAGGTCGATTGTTGCATCATTGCGGGCTTTGGTAACCAGGCGTCGCAGTTTAGATAGCGAGCGTTTTCCTTCAGGTAGAGCGCTTGCGGTTTCAAGAGCTTCGTGCCATGACACATGCATAGCCAGTGGCATGGACTTCCAAAAGTTCATCAACTCATCGAATCTCTTGTAGTCTGGTTCTACCTCCATTCCCCGTGACATGGACTTCCAAAGGGCCATGAGCTCTTTGAACTCGTCGTACTTTGAGTACATCACTTCTATTTCCATCTTCCTCGTCAGGGTGGATCTCTGCCACACTCGCGAGGTGGTGATGCTGGTCTTGATACTATGTCGTATTGGAGGCAACTTTGAGGAGGAGAGGAGGAGACGAGGTAAAAAGCAAGTTGACGTGGTATCAGCCAGTGGCTGAACAAAAAATGAAGGGAAGTGAGATGGAGAAGGAGAAGAAGAGAAGAGAAAAAGGAGCACGAGAGAAGAGAAGAGAAGAGGGCTTAAATAGGCGCGGCGGCCAGGCATTCGGCTGGCAGCTGGCAACCAACTGTTGGGAGATTGATGAGATACTCCGAGTTTACAGCGTCAATATAGGTGACCCAACCTACCAAATGCTTTGGAGAAGAGGTGCATCGACTCCCTCGAAAGCTGACCTCGGGAGGGCCGGTCTTGCTTTCGTGTCTCAACACGATGGTGCAGAGACTCTACTCATCACAGCGCCATGCTTGACAGCAGAAACCGGATGTGAACAAAAGATGTTTCTTTACTGGATAGACATTCCCTTGTAAACCCATCCAGAATGAGAGGCCCATTAGCTGGATATTTGCTACCAAGTTGCTGCTTGACCATGTACACGTAGATGGCACTGGTTCGCCGTTCCACCCCAAAGAAAAGAGGAAACTGAAAAGCCCAAGGACAGCAATGGAAAATACAACAGAGACAGGGAGAAATCATTGCATATTATGAAACATCTGTACTTTTTTGTAGTCCCGTGGCATCATGTCAAATGGTGGCCCATCTCCTTATCAAAAGCCAGTTTCGCAGACTCCCATTTCTGATAAAAAATCATTCAACGTCAAACCCGCCCTTGAACCGTCAACTATCCCATTGAGCTCCTTTCTAGTCTTCGTCACTATCTGCCCCCGACTTCTCCCACCCCTGAATCAGTCCCAGTCACAGTACACGTCCCGTTTCTAGACTGCTAAAGAAAGGGTTGAAAACTAGAAAATCAAAAAGGAAAAAGGAAAAGAGAAAAAAGAAAAACCGAGTATCTGTAGCTGCCATGATCATATAGCCTCTCATTGATCCCTTATCAACACGTTACAAAGTGCATCCAGCCCGTCCCAGATTCCTTGCCTCATCGTCGTCAGCTTCATCACTGCGTTGGCCTTCCCAGTGCTCGCCTGTGCTCCAAGGCGCAGAAACCTCGTCGTCCTCGTCGCCGCTGCAAGTGGTTAAATTCGGTGTTTTTCCGATTCTGTCGCTCGCTACTGGTTAGAAGCTTAGGCTCCCGTGGATCGGTTTTGCGTCTCACCAAGTCGAGAGTACAGCATGTAGAGGGCCATGCGGTTGCACTCCTCCGTTCCCGTAATCGTTACTAGCCGCTCGTTGCTGTTGTCCTGGGGCTCGTTAATCTTAATCACGCTGCCGCTCATCTGCCGTATCTCATTGATCTTCTGGCCTCCCTTGCCGATGATGGCGCCGACCATGTCGTTGGGAATGTAGATTTGCTGGGTAATCGGTCCTCCAGGCATGCCGGCGTGCATGGGCTGGCCCTGGGGGGCTCCGTGTGCCTGAGGGCCGGTATGGGGTGCCATGTGAGGCTGTACGTGAGGCGCGGCCGCTCCGTAGGCGGCAGGCTGGCCCGCTCCGTACTGCATGGGAATCGCCGGGGTGCCGTGAGGAGCACCGTGAGGATACGGTTGGGGGTAGGGCGCGGGTGGCATGTGATGAGGCCGGCGCTCTTGATGCCGACCGTAGTTCTCTGCTCGTCCGTAGTGTCCTGATGCAGGCTGGGGGCTGTAGGGGACCACTTGCATACCCCCAGGGATGGATCCCACGGGAGCGCCGCTTCTGGTCGCGTATGCGGATGCGGCTGGTCCGCCGAATCGCTCATTGAGCTGCTCAAGAAGAGTGCTGCCGACATAGTAAGTGGCAATGTGTACGGCATCGGCAACGCCCATCACAACGAGGGAGCGCTCGCTTGACATGGGGAGGCATGAGTCTGAGGCATTCAGCCTGGCGCCCGACGCTTCCTGAATCTCCCGGATACGAGAACCGCCCTTGCCAATAATAGAACCGATCAGGATATGGGGAATCAGAAGACGGAGGGGATAGGTCTTGGAGGAGGCAGTGGATGCCTCGTTGAGCGGCTCGTTGTTCAATGTTCGTATAATCAAACCAAAAGCCTGTCGGGGGAGAAAAAGAAAGGAGAGAACAGAATGTTAGTCCAACAGCTTACAGGAAAATTCACGAGGGGGAAAGGGGATCTATTTCCCACCTTGGCAACTGCATCGACGATGCCACTGACGGTCAAGATGCGCTCGACGGCTCCCTTTTGGTAGTCGCTGACGGTGCACTTGGCATTGGACATTTTCCGAATGTTAGATACGTTCTCGCCACCCTTGCCGATGATGGTGGCAGCTTCCGGACTGGAGATGACTGCTCGAATATGGATCCACGAGCTCTCGTCATGAGCGGCGGCCGAGGCGGCCACAGCAGATGAAGCCGCCGTTGATATCGCTACAGTTGGAGTGGCCTTGGTATCGGTACCGGCATCGGTTGCAGGGGCCGAGTCCTCAGTTGCGGCGACGCCGTTGGCGCTTTCTTCGCCATTCTCCTCTGCAGTCTCGACGGGTAGTTCGGGCGCGAGATCGAGCCTCTCCGTCTCTTCATCATTCTTGGACGTCTTGTCCAAGGCGGGTCGCTTGGCCTCAGGCTGGTCGGTGGCTCGGGAGGGCGAGGAGGCCTCTTCGAGAGGGCGCTTGGCCGATTGAGTAGGTTGTGGGGGTGAGGAAGACATTGTGATTTGCGTTGGAGTGAGTTTTATGCCGTTTGCAAAAGGAGGAACAGTGTGGTTCACAAAAATTGGAACGATTTAAGTATCGTCTAATTGGCGATGACCAAAGATCTTGTGTCTTCTTTTCGCTCTGTTTTATTTTTTTTCTTCCTTGTTTCGATTGTTTATATCTACACTCAGGGGGTTTTCGAAGGAAAACGTGCTGGTGTAGTGGCTGGAATCGGTGATGATAAGGATCGGCTTTCTCGTGTGTGTAGGATTCGTGATGTGACTTTGGTGGTGTCGCAAAAGGGCGCTGCCCAGGCTGTGTGTAACGGAGTAGAGTGGGAGGAGTTGTGTTCTCAAAGGGTGCAACTCTCTTCTTCCGCGTCTAGATGATCCAGAACTTTGGCAAAAAAAGGTGTCGGACTGCTAGGGATCTTCGGTGAACGCCCAAGTGGTGAACGGGAAGAAAGGGCGATGATGAAAACTGAGTGGCTGATGACAAAGTGGTGGTGATGGAGAGGATGGTGCAGCGAATTATCGTTACTGGGACAGGTGTCTCGAAAGCAGAGAATGAAGAGACAATGCGCTCAGCTCAAACCTTGATTTCCTTCTTGGCAAGACCTTCTAGTTCCCGAAGTTGGCGCTCACGCAAGACCAACCAGCACCTCGCGCGTTTAAAGTTAGTGATCGATCGACAGCCCGTGTCTCTCGAGTGTAGAGGAGTCGCCTCGACGATTGCAATGGACTGCACGTGTTTCGCAAACGTGGCGGCTTCCGATCAAAGGGACAGGCGGACGGAGCGGAAAGGAAAGAGAACAAAGCTGCCTTCCAGCCAGCAACTCCAGCAAGGCTATGTAGCTAGAACACGCGGACAAGCACACGTGGAGGAGACCTAGAATCAGCGGCGGAACGGAATCTCGCAGGGCGCTGGGGCAATTCCACAAGGACGCTGTTGCTATCGGATCGATGGCGTCGGGTTGGGCGCGTCGCAGGAGGGATGATGAGGAGAAGATTGCGGCGGGTGGAAGAAGAAACTTGAAGAAGAAACTTTGATGGGACGTCGGGGTAGAACAAAAAGGCCCATGCCTCCCTTGCTCTTGCTGGAGGTCGCCCGCGGCGTTGTCACGTGATGACCCCGATTGGGCGACTGTATGCGCGACACTAGGCCGCCAAGAACAAGGTGCGGCTCGGGCTGCACAGTGCGGAGTGCGCCACGTCGCCGCATCTCCAGGCGATTGGAGGAAGTTACAGCGGACAGGGAGCTTTTTTGGTGGGGAGAGTCGCGCCCCCACAGGACCCGGACGCATTGTCAGCGCTGAAATCGAGTTGCTGCAGGGGGAAACCCACACAGTTTGGAGACTGTGACATCCCGTACCTCGATCTAGGTCGAGCAGCTTCTCGGCTAAGATGAAGTCAGAGGCACGCGAATCAAACCGAGTAAATACAGGCCATGGATGACAGATCGCGCAATAGCTCCGAAGCCCAGGCTCATGCCACCAATATCGACCATACATTGAAGGAGCTCCAGCGCAAAGTCCGCGAATATGAAGCTCAGCTAAACGAGGTAGCTATCGGCGAACCACTAGAACACACATGAGACGGCGTCTAACGCAGCAGTCACAGTTGCGCTCTGCAGAGCTCGAGACGCCCAGCACTGCCGCCGGCCAAGCCCAACTCCTCAAAGCGGCCTTTGACGAAGTTACCAACTCTGAGCCCTTCCTCCCCTTCCCGGGATCGGTGCTCCCAGCGCTCCTAGCTCTACGCAAGACACACCAGACAATTCAAGAGTCCAAGGCATTCTTAGCCTCACAGACGGAGTCGACTGAGAGGGAACAAAGGCAATTGAAGCAAGATGAAGCCAGTCTAAAAGATCACCAGCTCCTCAATGAAGCTCTCAAGCAGAGGATTGAGTCGTTGCGCATTGAAGTCGAATCGGGAACGAACACGCAACCAGAGGATGAAGCGCGGAAACGAATCGAAGAGCTACGACGAAAGAAACAAGGCTACAATAAAGAGACGAGCAAGCTTATGAAAGCCCTCAACCGCTTCATCGATGACCACCTGGCGGTAATGCTCGCAGCAGAAGCTCTGGGCGGACCTGTGGTAGGAGACTTGATGGACATTGACGCCCAAGATCTCGCCGCGGGGTTCAACGCGCAGGGGAAACTGAAGAAGCCAAAGGGCGAAATCAACAAAGACAAGAGCCAGCGCCGTATAGACGAGATTTGGGGCCCGAGCGACGGTGACGGAGCTGGTGGTGGGAAAAAGACAAAGCCGAGGGACGCGGCTTCGGCGGCTGGGACAGAGATGCGACAACTTACGGAGGAGCTGCTCAACAAGCTTGTCGAGGCAAAGGGCAGCAGCTCGGATGCCTATGTGAAGCTGCCGCATGAGACGGCGGCGGCGAGGTTTCTCATTAGATCCAAGGTTGCGCAGTTCCATCCCAGGGATGCTGCCAAGATACGACTGGTTGATTTTGGGCGAGAGCTGGACGATTAGACCATCTTGGGATGATACGAAAGACAGTGATAAGCAAGCCAATTATTGAACAACACATCTCACTTAGTACCATCATCTATCCGTACTGTGAAGCTTTAACAATCCACGACACCGTAAGCTGGACAGTCAGTGAGCTCTCCCTTGAACAACACACTTGATGAATATTCCTCCCTACCGCCTTGATACCCAATCCAAACAAACACTACAAAGTCCTCCGTAACCCAATCCAATCACATCCAACTATCTACTTCCCAGCCCAAATGCAAGGGAGAGATCCCATAGCTCAAGCCAAAAGCCGCCCTGTGAGACGCAACCACCGAAAAAACACCCCGCCTCAATTGGCCCAATTTCCCTCTCTCTCCCCCACCACCAAAACTCTCAACGCGTCGCGTCTTCGCCCCTCCAATCCCAATCCCGCCAGACAGAAACGCCTTTTTCTCACCGACTTCCTTTTTTCTCAGCTGAAAAGAGTTGCGCTACCAACGGGAATAGTAAGCAAGCCGGAAAAAAAAGCAAACATAGCCAATTGCCCTTTGATTTCCTCTCTCTCTCTCTCTCTCCCTTCTTCTAAATAAACCCCCATTCATTCCCTCCCAACATCTAGTTTCCCACACTCTCTCACCTCTCTCTCTCTCTCTCTCCAGCTTCTTACGCCAAAAACCTCCAATTCCACCACTCTAATCCCAAACCATGTCCGCAGTCCCCGAAAACGGCACAACCTCCCCTCCCGCCAAGCGCATCAAGACAATCGACGACGCAGAAACAATCCCCGAACCCGCTGCCGTCGAAGAAGCCATAGCAGCAGCAGCAACAGCAGTAGCAGTAGCAACCACAATGGAGGCCCCCGTCCCCCTGCAAGTCAAGAAGCTCTCGCCGCAGGCCAGACTGCCCACGCGCGGCAGCGCCTTTTCCGCTGGGTACGACTTGTACGCCGCAAAGGACACTGTTCTGCCAGCTCGAGGAAAGGGCCTCGTCGATACGGACATTAGCATTGCCACGCCTGCGGGAACATGTAAGTTCGAAACACCCGACTCTGGAGAAAGAGGACGAAAAGGCTAATCACTATAAAAGACGGCCGTATTGCTCCCCGCTCTGGCCTTGCGTCCAAGCACTTCATCGACACTGGTGCCGGTGTCATCGACGCTGACTACCGCGGACCCGTCAAGGTTCTGCTGTTCAACCATGCGGAAACCGACTACGAGATCAAGGAGGGTGATCGAATTGCCCAGCTCGTGCTGGAGAGAATCGTGACGCCCGACGTCGTCGAGGTGGAGGAGCTGGAGGAGAGCGTCAGGGGGGTTGGTGGCTTTGGAAGCACCGGCAAGAATTAAGAGGGGATAATACAATGGGATTAATAAAACGATATTACGATACGATACGGCACGAGGGAAAAAGAAAGCTGCGCCGACTCGGGTCAGGTGCAGAATATAGTGCTGGAAAAGACAAGACAAATGTCCTGCCGATTTAGGTCTATAACAATGAATACTAGAAACAAAAAGAAGACTTGATTCTACGCCACCCACCTCCCCTTCCATCTATATCCAATTCGCTTTTCCCCTTTGTATCAACCCCCCCAGTCTAAATCTTCGTCGCCGAAAATGATACGCTCGGGGTTCGCAAGCTATCCAAGTTGGCAACCAACTGTAGCTCCGCCGCCTTCGACTTGACATAATGCGCCTTGGTCGTGTCATTCCGATCCTCCGGCGGCAGCAAAGCCCACGTCCTCTCCATCACCTCGGGCATCGCATCTCGCGTCTTGGTCAACACCTGATGCATGCTCGCCAGCACCTTCTCCGCCGCCCTCGCCAGCGGCAGATCCGTCGCCGCGACGTCGTCGTCGCTGAGCCAGCTGGCGCGGCTGCTCAAGCCGGGAACGGCGTTGGCGGCTTCTCGGATGCGGCTTGTGATGAGGGCGCCGAACATGTCGCCGGTGCCGCAGAAGTAGCAGTCTATGGACGGGAAGACGATCTTGAAGGGTCGGGCTTTGCGATCTGAAGTTGTGGTGGAGCCGATGACGGTGAGGTGCGAGGGCGGATGGTCTGGGGTTGTGAAGCTGACGGAGGTGATGATGATGTGAGGGATGTTGAATTTGTCATGAAGCACCTGGATGGCCTGGGTGAGGCTGTCCATGTCGACAATCTTGACGTCTGAGAGTTGTCTATAAGCAGAAGGGTTAGGTTAGCAATGGATATGGGAACCGTCAAAGCTGACAACCTTGTATCACATCGTACTTACTCGGCTTCAAACTGATTCGGTAGTATCAGATCCGCATATGGGAGAAGAGCCTTATACGCGGGCACAACTTCCGGCGCCACATATAGCCTTCCGTTGTCTCCCATGACAGGATCCAGCACCCAAAAGAACTTGCCCGGGGAATTCTGAAACTTCTCCTTGAGCCCCTTTGCAATCGTTCCCACCGCCGTGACTCCCTCCGCGCCGGGGATGTAGCCAGTGAGCATCATGTCAAAGTCATCCAGGTACGACTGCTTCAGGCCGTTGTAGAGATCGATAATCTCCTGTGCCGTGGCCCTCGTCCCTGTCCATTGTCTGTAGCCCGTGTGATTGCCTTGAGGAAGGACAGACAAAAGTGAGTCAGCATTGTCTCGTGGCCGTAATCCCCTCGCACGTTCCGGGCCAACTCACTGAACTGCACCGTATTCAGGGCAGCGACGTCAAATCCCAACGATTGGAGCACGAAGACGGCGACCTTATTTCCCACGTTGCTGAAAGCCTACGTTAACTCAACTGCCCACAGCGTCTCATGGACTAGCATTTTCACGCTTGCTGTCTATTTCCAAGTCATACCCTGAGACAACCTGCGAAAACAACACAGTCAGCCGGCTGAAACCCACAATGAGATGTTCAAAGACTTCATGATGACAATAAAGGGACTTACATGGCTTGCAACTGCCAACACTCGCGGCGGAAGCAGTGAGTCAGAAGACATTATGTTCTTTTGTTGTGTATGAAACTAAGAAAAAGCACTATTGCCGCGCGCCGAGATCCGGAGAGATCGCAATGTTGCCTTGAAAACTATATGTTAGAAAGAAAGAAGAAGAAAAAAGGCGAAAAAAGAGGCCACAAGGAAGAAACAATATGCAACAACTAAAAGGGGGCAAAATCTGGTCCAGGCGTCTTGGATCTCACTCAAGGCTGGTCAGACTGGCGAGGATCAGAGCTGATGAATAATAAAACTGACGTTGCCGGGATCCCCCATGCGAAAGGGTTCCGCCGTCAGCGGAGCGAGCTTGATGCCACCAGAGCCGCTGAGGTGGGCAAAAAAAACAGCACGCGACTCACCACTAGTATCCGTCGAGGAGAGCAGACGCCCCTTTGCTGTGCTGAGCCGACAGCCGCATAGAAAAACTCAAACTCAAACTCAAAAAAAAAAAAAAAAAAAGAAAAAAAAAAAAAAAAAAAAGGCAGGGCGTATGTCTAAGAGCTAGCAAAAAGGGCGCCAGAGACAGTGACAGTATCATATCACGGGGGTTAGGAAAAACGCCCCGCCGATGGCCGAAGCTACGATCCGGTCTAAGCCGCTTGTATGAGCGTTCTGCTCCAGATAAGCACCAAGGAGCAGGTTAGGCGTCAAGAAGAGAAGAGGGCAGAGGGGAGAGGGCACGGAGTAAGAAGCAGTCCATAAGGGACTCGACAAGGTTCTTCGAGATAATTATCGGCAGGCAAGACTAAAGGCTAAACACGTGCTCGTTTCATTTTTTCTTTTGCTACAGATCATGATTAGAAAATAAAAGGAAAAAGGCCTTTGACAATATTCTCGATATCCATTTCTCCTCTCCTCTCTCTGTCCTCGTCGGGGAAAACACCAGCCGCGATTGAAGGGCTGTGTGTCGTCTCCTGCCTATGGCCCGGTCTGGTTTTATGCGGAGATTGTGTGTTGGGTCGTCTGAATCGGGAGTGTGGGTGTAATTATTTACTCGTCGTCACCAATCTGACTCCACGTTAGCATGCTACAAGTTTGGTAGTAGAGAGCAGGGGAAAAGACAAACCTTTGGTGCGAGGTAGAAGCGCAGGTAGCTGCTGCCGGAGAGGTTGTACTCGACCAAGAGCGGCACCTCGCTGGAGAGGCAGATCTTGACCTGGGTGGACAGGACAGCAGCCTTGCAGAAGTTGACCAGGTACTTGAGGGAAAAGGTCAGGGACACGGGCTCTGTCAACTCAATGTCGACATTGCTCTCGGGCTTTTCGACGGAGGTGTGGCTTCTCAGAGTGACGGAGCCATTACCAATGTCACCGTTGCAGGAGAATTTGACACCATCCTTGGAAGCCTCAATACCAACTGCCAGCGAGATGAAACATTAGCTTCTCCATTATTGGATAAACACGCACACAATCCCTCTCAAAGTGATTGGCGCCAGGAGCGTTGTTCTTGTTCCATACCTGACTCTGACATGGCTGCCAGATCTGTGCAGATTCTCCGGAACTCGGCCGAAGGCATGGTAATCGTGGCCGCATACTCGGTCTCAGGAATGCCCAGGTGCTCCTGGTCAATGTCCATGAGCTTGAGGTCGTACTCGCTGATGCGGTCCTCTCCGCTGCTCTCGAACAGCAGGTTCATGACATCGGGAGCGTCCTCGGCCTTGATCGTCAAGATATCATCGTTCTGGGCGGCCCGTAGCACCTTTGTGAGAGACGTCAGGTTGACACCAAGAGCAATGTTGCGGTCGCATCGGTATGGCGAGAAGCCCTCGGCCTTGAGCATCATCGACACGAGGGCGACGTGCGAGTTGTCCATGGCCTGCAGCGCGATGCCGGAGTCATTGCAGTCAAAGTTGCAGTCTTGGACGAGGTCCTTGATGGCATCAACCACCTGCGAGAATCAATTTCGTGGTCAGCCGCGGGTCATTGGCCAAGTAAGGGACCACGAGGGCGTCTGGAAAGATGTGGGATTGGGTCAATGTACCTTCTTCAGGATGCTAGCCTGTTCCAACCGTGCCTCCAACATTTCTACCGCGTGTTAGATGTGCTTCTGCCGTTGCTCTGAGGCTTGAATTGGGCAGTTTGGGCGTGGGGGAAAAACAAGGAGGGGATGCACGCAATTTGCTGCAGGGCTCAGCACGTACTGGATGAATGTGTGATGAAAAGTAAAGGAGAGAGATTTAAAAGAGAGAAGAGTTTGATGAAGAGTTTGAAGGAGAGTCGGAGTCAATCGGTGCGTAACTGGAGGGCCAGAGTCGCAGGTGTTGGTTGGTGAAGAAGGAAAATGCACGTTCTTGGTGGAGGAAGCTCGAGGTAGCAGGCAGAAAAAGCACTTAACACGAGGCTCGAAGCTGTGGGCAGGTCGAGACGCGTCTGGCGGGCGACGCCAACCTTACGCGGGGCATTTTTAGTGCCCAGCTGAATGCGAGGTACCTTGCGTGCCGTGGATTGGCAGCCTACACGCGAGGTACTGTCCATCATTGATACTGCTGGAAGCTACCTCTACCTTGTACACAGGTAGGCAGCTGCACAGGGGAGCACCACCTAAGCCTACAGGCTACAGTGGACGCCAGAGGCACTATACAATTTCGGTAAAGGTACTAGGTACTCAGAGGCACCTATCAAGCGTGAGAAACATGCAACTCCTCGCGTTGGCAGACGCAGGGACGGCAGCAAGGGGAGACATGTACGAGACATCACATAGTAGCATAAGGTAAAGAGATGAAATACATAAGTAATGAATGTTGAGAGCATACAAGTATATGCAACCTCCCGCTCCGGTTCCTTGGTCTAAAATAACTGCATCCACGGCAGTCAATTTGGTGGCCCCATCATCTCATCCATCTATGCGCATGCCAACTTACACCCCTCGTGCCATGATAATCTGCCAAATGTTTAGTACACACATGTAGTAGTTATATACAAAGATTGTGGTGCGTTTCGATCCCATCATACGCCTTGTCTAAACGAGTCCGAGCCAGTCAACACAAAAGAGAAAAATAAAAAAGGACATCTGCCGCCGCCACCAAACTGACCGGGATCTAGAGTAATAATCACAACAAATACAAAAGCAAGCACCCCGAAACCCCTAGCCGTTGCACCGTGTCTTGCCCCATTGTACGAAGTAGAGAAAGGAGAAAAATAACCAAGGACAGATCAACAAAGAAAGAAATGTAAAACGATAACGAGAGATGTGATGCTGCCATGCGCCTGTACATGTAACGTAAAATGTAGGAAAGTAATGGTTCGTCGTCGAGACTTGTGTGTGAGTAGAGCTCACATCGAGACCTTGCGGGTTCCAGCAGGAGCACTGCTTCGTTTCTGGGGCCGTAGGCTGATGACCGTTTCCAGCTCTCTCAGCATGCCCTTGGTGGCCTCCAACTGCTGACGTGCCAACGCCCTCTGCTCCCTCTCTTCTTTGACCTTTGCAATTCTCTCCTCTCGCGTCAGCATGCTCCGAGGTCGCGGCTTTGCTACAGCTTCGAAGATCTCCTGGTCGTCTTCGGCGTCGTTGATATCGGACGCCGGCGGAGACTCGCCAGTCAAAGCCTTGAAGGCCTCTGCGGCACCTCCCTCGCCGATTGTAGTGAGTCCGCTCAGGGAGCTGGCGGGCGATAGCAACGTGCTTATTGATGAAAGTCTCTTCTCGTTCCTGTCAATGCCCTGGGCCAAAGCGGCTCTGCCTTCTTCCCACGCCGCCATGAGCATTCTAAGGTCCACTCCAATGGAGTCATACTGTGACATGAGATTGGGCCCCAGTTCGGAGATGTCGTTGGAGTCGTCTAGCGCTCTATCGGATTCTTCTCGTAGCAGGTGAAGTTTGGCTTGCAAGCCTCGGATTCCGGTTGACATGGAACTGAGCTTGCGCAGCTGGGAGCGCCATCTCTCTTTGCCCGGCGTAAGGGGCATCTGTGGAGTTGGTGGTGCGGGAAACGCTGTAAATAGTTAGAAACTCTGCCTATATCACGAGGGATGCTGAAGAAAAGGGAGGGGTGGTGTCAGTCACTTACATTCTTCCTCGCTTAGTATCCCTTGCAGCTTTTCAAACACAGACTTGGTCGAGATGTTGACGCTTTGCAGCGACTCCACCGCAGCTGTCCAACGCAGCAGGTCTTTGGCCTCCCCATTCGCATCCAGAGCCAACAGGGCGCAGAGGAGCATCTTTCGGGTGGTATGAAACCGCGCGGCAAGAATTTTCAACGTTCTCAACGACTCCAGGTCGTCAAACTCGGCCGCATTGAAACCCAGGCGGGAATCCGAAATGTCAAAGTCGCTCACGTCGTACATGTCGTAGTACTTCTCCAGCTCCATCTGCTCCGCGAAGCCCCTGACAACATCGGACACCTGGTTGTACGTCTGCAGAACCTCTGCAAGCGAGTTTTTGAGCGCCTTGCGCAGCCGAACACATTTTCTGCTTTGGGTACGATCCTCGAGCCGACTGACCGGTGGAAGGGGGACACTACTGTAGGGGTGTCAGTTTGTGATGTATATAAAGTACAGCCATGGCCGGAGAGGCTATGGCTGTTAGAGAAGAGAGAAAACTGACATTCGGTATCCACGCGAGACCAGCTCAACTTCTTGGACCAGCGAGAGCGTAGCTTCGGTTGCGCTATCAAGGTTTTGCGAGTTCGATATGAATGTGGATATTTCAGCCAAGGACTGTTCTCTCCGGTAGCGAAGCCATTGTCGTCGCACAAAGACTTGTCCTACCAAGACCGCCGCTGCAGCAACAATAAGCACCAGTATTAGGCGTCGTTTCGTTACATGCCATGGCGCACTACTCAGTGCCCAGCTTAGGAAGACTGCGAGAGCTAGCGCTCCGACGACGGACACTATAATACCTTCGGTCGAGAGCAGAGATTGGTCATTGCTATCCGCGGTCGAGGACGGCGTTTTCAGGGCCGGCGGACGGTGTCCTCCTAGCAGGGAATGGCCGTTGAGCAGCTGCGAGGCAATGATTGTATATCTGAATTGTTCGAGGAACCGGGCGTTGTCTGCACGATCGAGGCTCGCAGCCAGAAGGGCCTACATGGTATGGTTCAAGTCAGGTTAGCTCATGAGGTGTGTGTGGAGCAGGAGCGGTGAAGCTTCCACAGCATCAGGCGTTCAACATACGGAGCAGCTTTTCTTGAGTGATTGCAGCGTCAAGGGCTGCTGGGCTTGTGGTTGCTCGGCAAGATCCAGCTTGCTGGGAGCGTTGCGAAATCGAGCCTTGACCAACGGACGGCCGGACGGCGCAAAGGGAGTCGGGCTCGCAGGAGCCGAGGAATCGGACGCTATTGACAACTGGTGATCGGGAGTGCCGTCCATGGGAGCCCATTCCGCCTCCGACAGGTTACCTCCATCTTCACAAGTCACATCGACCGGTCAGCATGCGCAGGATTCGGGGGGATAGCAGGCGGCCATGCGGAAGCCTCAACATACCTCTGAGGTAGTCGGCTAGAGGCGTCTCTTCATATACCACGGGCTCCATCAGCAATTTTCATAAGCGACTTTCGAGGTTGGACAGCAACAACGAAGGGACACGCAGAGCCATGGAGCCCGCAGCGAGCTAGGCAGTCGAGGAATGCGATGGTGGATATGGGCGAAGCTGTGGTACTGGAACGGTGTAATGCGAAGTAATGCGATGCGCTGCGATGAGCTGATACAAGTAGGTACAGCGCAAGCTCCGGCCAAGCTCCGTGGTCCCGTCGTGCGCCTTTGTTGATTGTTTTGTTTCGAGCTTTGTTTTTGTCTTTCGCTTGCCTCGTTGTTTGGTTTCAGGGAGAAGTCAGTGAAACAGAAGAGAGTCACTCTTTTTGATGTTCAGGGGAGGGAAGCGAAAGCGGGTTGGCGGTTCGCGTGCCCTGCGGACTAGCGAACGCAAATAACCAGCAGCTTCACAGTCGCTTGCGGTCGCTCGGGATCAGGTGCAAGGATGGATCGGCCATGCATGGATCGGCCCCGTCAGCTCATTTGGGGCTCCGAGATTGGAAGACGGGGGGATGCGTGTGCTGAGTGAGGCGGTGCGAATGTGTTAATGTTAATGTCACTGGCACCTTGGCGGAGGAGCGTCGAGGCTTCTCCATATTCGCATGTCGCATGGCGTCCCGATTGGTGCATGACATGCGACCTGTATGTATCAGGCAGTGCGTCTACAGTAAGGAGTCGGTACGGGGTCCCTTGTGTACATGGCCCGTGCAAATTGCAGGTACCCGGTGCTCCGTGCCAGATACTAATTCTACTAGGTAGGGAGTACCGGTAAGCTGTTCAGCACTGGACCCCAGCGTTGCGTGGAGATTGAGCATGGAATCCGGATGTGAAAGAAAGTCGATGATTTACTACGACAAGCATTTGCTCGAGTAATTAAAAGTCCAGTTCTTAAAATAACATCTGCTCTTATAGTCATATTTCTCCAGCATCTACCGGCCTAGTAATACTACGATGGCCATATTTCTCTAGCATCTACTACTGCAGTTATATTTCTCGAGTATCAATAGCACGCAGAGGGACTAGAGGTATTTACGATACGGGATGCTGAATAGCACAATTGGGATGCTGAAGAGACATTTCCCAAATATATTGAAGGTACCTCCACCATTCGGAGTACATCCGTGCCTCTGTACTCGTACCTGATCTGTTAGTACCTCTTGACAGGTACTTCCACGTTGGTGCTTTACTGTACCTCCACCCACCCCCACCGGAACTACAGTTTTTCCCGACAGCCCGCGGGCCATCGAAACCCATGTATCGAATTCTTGATGGAAGCTCCCAAGATCCAAGCAAGCAACAGCTCACCAAGACGCCGAGGCGCTGTCGCATCTTCCCAACCCCGAACACCACTGCAATGGCTCGACGATAACTCTCACCGCTATCCCGTCAAATCCCCTCGTCCGCGGCGCTGCAATGCCAGTGCGGTCCGCGGCGCAATGCCGTCCCGTGGGACGTGTTTCTCACTCGTCCGCCGTCTGGATCACAGACTCAATGCTTCGGCAGGCCATTGAGCACTATCACCGCCAATTCCCCCCTGCCGCGTCGTGTCGACGACTCAGCTCGCACTCTGGGCCCCTCGAGAGCCGCCGTCGCCAGCTGGGCAAGCGTAGCATGACGGGAATCATGCCCTCGTCGTCAACGTATCCCCCGCTATGGCACTTTGACATTGCCTGGGTTCCCAGCGAATGGAAATGGGAGCCGCCATCTACTATGGAGGAACGAAAGAGAAAGAAGCAGGCAATCAATCCCTCGGCGCTCTTTGATGGCCTAATATCGTGGCTCGAAAAGTCGGATGCCGATAAACCGTTTATTCAGCCCCCGTCAGCAGACATTGCCTTTTCTAGCATATCAAGCGGAGGAGCTACCGCAGCCGAATATACTTATGATAATGTCTCGATACCGACAAAGTTACCCCAGGAGTTGGCGGTATTACGAGACAGAATTCTTCTTCTTGAAACCGTGGATGATGGAGCGTTGGAGAAGTTGAGAAAGTTGTTTCGGCGTGACTATTGCCTCAGGATGGAAACTGCGTCCCTATCTGTCGAAGAATTGCGTCTTTCCATGGAGCCCCTCGATCAAATTTTGAGAGACAAGATATCAGACCCGAGAATGGCAGATGGATTCGTCGCTAGAATTCGCCGCACCGTCTTGACCGGTCTTGGTGTTGCCCAAAAGAGGAATCCTGATAATGTCGCTGTGCTGGATCTCTGGATGGCATTTGCCAATATTGTTTCCACTACGGGAGGTGATTACCAGAACATCAGGCTTTTCAAACGAATGATGAGTTTGATGCCGGCCTGGGTGCGATCTCAGATTCCCATGGATCAGATATCAACCTTGGCGCAATGCTTTGTCATGGCTCAAGCGAGCAGCGGCAATCTTCCCAAGCGTTGGACAGCCACCGCAGCTCAATTCGGAGAGGCCCTTTCGATGCTGAGCCCCGCGCAAATACAGACTTTGGATACCGACATGGCCGCTCTTTTTTCACAGCAAGAGCAGGACCTGGAGACTAGTCGGAAATTACGATTTTCATGGCTGATGGCCAAAGCATACAATCCAACAACAACTAATGAAGCGTTTACACAATCTTACCGAGATTTGATCATGTCTCATGGGATTGATCCACGACATATCCAACTGTGGCAGATTATAGTCGGCCGATTAAGATCAGCGGGCACCATCAGTGATGATGCCCACTCTGAGCTTACACAAACGCAGTACAGCTCCTTGTCAAAACGATGGGTGGCCTTGTTCTCCACAATCCATGGCCTTCCCAACGCCAGCAGCATCTTGACACAGCTTTACAGCTTCTTCAAGGACGTCAATCAAACAGACGCCCTCATTCACGCTGTATCCTCACTTCCACTCTCCCGAATATCCATCGACTCAGCGCGGACAATAGCCACGTCATGTGACGATCACAGACTCGCCCTACAGCTCTATGAAGCTCTTCGACTACGACTCGGCCAGGAATCACACATCACAACGTGGGGCTGGGAGGCATGGGCTCCCTACGTCGAACGCATCATCAAAGATGCAGAAATCACACGGCCGGTGCACTGGCAAGCCATGGACCTCACGCGGCTCGCAACGGCGCCCACCGCGGCTCCGGAGGAAATCGCCCGCGAGATCCAGGCCAAGATGGCCCTCGTCGACCGCATGGGCCAGTGGTACTTGGAGGCGGCGCACCTCAACGACCGCCAGAAGCTGCGGCGCCTGCAGCGGTGCGCAAGCGTCCAGCGAAGCTTGACCAGGGCCGTCTCGCCGCTGGTGCTGGCGCGCGTGGCCGACGTCGTGACACGGGACCTGCAAAGGGGCGAATGGGGCCGCACGACGTGGTTGCAGTGGCTTCTGGGCATGGTTGCGCAGATGCACGGCGACGAGCACGCCAGCGAGGTGTCCAAGACGCTCGACGGGTGGAGGTGGATGGTTGAGCGTCACAAGGCGCCTTGAGGGGGGCCCATGATGCATCTCGTCTGGACTAGCCATGTGCGGCAAGATTGATTTGCCGTTGAAGAAGAAATGAATACATGAGATGAAGCCAAAGCAACTCAACAAATCCATTCCAACGTCCCTACAAAGTCACGCAACACAACACAAAAGGGCACACAGAAGAGGGGGAATTGCCCAAAAGAGGCGCTGGATCGGGGCGGGTAAATGCCCAAAGGTGGAGAGACGAATGCCCAAACGCATGCAGGTTTTCCGTCATCTCGAGACCATTCCGGGCCAATTCGCTCAGACCTGCAGGATACTATTAGATACTATCAGATAGGTAGTGGCATCTATACGGGCACCTAGTCTTCACGACTGATTGGGCTACGGTAGAGAAAAAGGAACTTTGAATGTCAATACTATGTGTCTTTTCTTTGGTGGAGAACTTTCTAGTTTTTTCATTTCATCAAATCGTAATCTAGACCCAAGGCCAAAAACAGAAATAACCAAAAAAAAACAAAATTAAGAAGAGACGCATAAGTGAAAAAAAAGGAATTCATGGCATAAAAAAATCGAATAAAACACACACACAAATGCTGTCGATAATTAAGTACATGGCGCTCCAGAAGTCCGACGGAAAGGTTTCATCATCCATCAAAACCAAAGGAGATAAAAACAGATAGGTCCGTTCGCAGGAACAAGGAAATTTTTTTTCCAATGGGATATCGTATCATCAAACCATGTTGAAACATGTTGCGTTGCTTTCCCGCAGTCCGTCCAGTAGACAAATAGAAAAGAAGAAAGAAGAGGAAAAACATAGCTGTAATGAAAACAACAATAAAAAAGTAACCCAGTAAAACAGATATATGTACGGAAAAAAAAAGGAAAAACACACCATCGCTCAACTTTTTTCTCAAGCCGTACGTATGAATGGAAGAAAGAAAAGAAGAAGAAAAAAAGGACATCATAAGCATCATCATCATCATCTCTCTCCCCGTCTCGTCGTCTTCCTTAGATGACATCAGACGTTCTAGTGCTAGGAGAATTGGTACCGCCGCTCAGACGGCCAGTGCCTGTAGAAACTCTCCCCCCGTCAGATGGCGTGGGTTGGCGCGTGAGTTTGCTACGAGCAATGAGCACCTGGGCGGAATGGACAACAATCTCCTCGTCGTTGGAGCCATCGTCATCTCCCTTCTTGACGACGAGAGGGAAGAGGACAACGCGCACAATGGCGCCGCGAGCCTCGAGCTCTTCGTTGGTCAGCTTCAGCGAGGACGGACTCCGCTCATTCATCATGGACGCATTGAATTGGACAGTCTGGACAAGCTCGCCGTCTGCGTCGTATTCCGGCTGCAGAGGCGGCAGCATCATGTACTCGGCCTTTTGCGTGCGCATCTCAATGGAGAGGTGGACGGCCTCGTGCATGACCCTGCGTAGCTGGGCTTGGATCTGGGCCTCCAGGTTGGAAGGCGGCGGGAGGACCTTGCATAGTGTCTGGTAAATGGCCTGGACCACGGCTTCCGTGTCCAGGTCTCGTTGCCTCTTGAATGTGTCGCGCTTGGAGAGCAACGTGAGGGTAACGGCACGCCATTGGCGTACGGCTTGTGGTGGGCCAACTTCTGTCAGCAGCTTTTCCAGCGACTTGAGCTTCTGTCGCTGCTCTCGGTCCATTCCAAAGAGGTAGCGGGTAAAGACGAACTCCCAAATCATGTTCATGGTCATGGACATGAAAATGTCCCGCCGCCTGACTCTGTCGTTGAGGTACCTGTCGACGTCAGAGCCATCCAGGACGGCGTTGTCAAGGCGGTCGATGATCTTCTCATCGTTGATCTCGCTTGTCAGGCGGCAGGCCCGCATGTCGGAGAATTTGGAAAAGCGCAGAACCCACTGCTGGACATGGGAGCAGAGCTGCTGGCAGCGGTGGTCAAAGTAGTCCTCATCCTTGATGTTGAGGAACTGCACGTCGGCAGCCTTGGACTCGAGAATCTGACGCTGCAGCTCACGGATCTTTTCCTTGGCGGCGTCTAGCTTGGCCGTCAGGCTTGCAATCTGGGCGTCCTTGTCGCGCAGAGCCTGCATCAGGGCATCCTGGTTCTCGCCCCGGTCGGCGTGGACCTGCAGGTCCGCGTAGCGGCTGTTGTCCTTGTTGGCCAGCTCGGCGTTGGCGCTGCTGAGGCCATCATTGACCTCGGTCAGGCGAGAGACCTCGCCTCGCAGGAACTTGAGCGTCTGCTTGAGACTCTCGATCTGGGTGTCCCGGTCGGAAAGAGCGGTGACGACACGATGGCTCAGGTGCTGGTCGGTGCTATGGCGAGCATCGGAGAGCAGGCGGTTCTCGGCTATGAGCTGCTCGACTCGGGCCTCGAGCTCGAGGACTTGCATGCTCTGACGCCGACGCATACTGTGAGGCCTTGTTGGTGATAAGGGCGAGCCGATGCGGCCCTCGCCGAAACCATCCTATAGAAAGCCCAATGTGTTAGAACGAAGCGACGCCGACGAGGCCAGTAAGAAGAAAATGCAATGAGAAGAATGAATAATAAAATTAACAGCTATAATTCGGTAAATAAAAAAACACAATCGGAAGAATGCCCGCAAATGACCAAACACGACATGCAAGCACTTCGGCAGCAGGCAATCAGAAAAGCCAGAAGCTGAGGGTGCAGACCTTTCGCAGCAGTTGGGCGGAGCTGCTGGGGGTGGGAAAAATCACGAGGCTGGGCGGTGAGGGCGCTGCCAGTTTGGGTGGCTGGGCTGGGCGCTGGGGGGAGAGAGAAAAAAAATAAACACAGCTCGGACCGTGCTCATGCACGCCGGTGGATCGGGTCATTTGCGGGCACAAATCATGTGACGAGAGCTTCAAAGAGAGTCCTTTCACTCACGTATACGTCGGGCTTGTCCTTTGCGCGCGCGCGGCCTTCATTGGCAACGGGCGCCTCCGACGACGGCTTCGACGCTGCTGGTCTTGAGGTTGACGTTGGCGTTGGCGTTGGCGTTGGCGTTGGGATTGGGCTCGGGTTGGTGCTGGTGTCGGTGGCGGGCATCGGGCTGGGGATCGGGTTCGGCGCGATGGAGCTGGTGCTGCTGTTTGGCTGGCGCAGCGAGAAGCGCCTCTCCGCCCGTCTCAGCAGCGGCGGCGTTGGATTCGACGAGGACCGCACTGTGCTGCCGTCCTGGCGCGAGAATCTCAGCCCTTCAGGGGTCCGCTGTCGCACCAGCCCGCTGTTGGGCGTGCCTCGACCGGGGTCGGCCCGCGCCTCATCTCCCGTCTGGCGTCTTGTGGCTGACGGGATCTTGCTGTCTGAGACGCTTCGAGGCTGCTCCGTCGCTGGCATCAGCGGCACTGACGGCGACTCCGGGCGCTGGAGCCCCGGCCCAATCTGCGCGCTGACGGCTCGTCGCAGGCTTCGTAGAGGTGCTGATGTAACTGGTGATGTGACCGACCGTTTCAGCGCTGGAGGAGCGTCGAGTTGTTCCGTAGACATGGACGCGGGCATTGGCGACACCCTTCCGTTTGCAAGCCGTCCAAAGCCCATCCCGGTGATGGCTCCGTAGCCTTTCCTAGTGGGACTGGTTCTCCCCGTTGGAGTCTCCGGTCGTGTTCCTGTTCCCGTCAACACTCGTTCCCTGGTACCCGGTATGGTCTTCTTTTCAGGGTCCTTGGCCGCCTCTCGTAGCGACGTAGGCTCCCGCAGTTTCTGGCCGCCCAGTGTAGATCGTCGTAGGCGTCTCTGGGGCTGGCGCTCTGGCGTCCTGTTCATCGGCTCAGGAGTCTTGAGCTGTGCCATGGCGGCTTCTAGCCAGTCTGCATCGACCCCGCTGTCGCGCACTTTCTCCTCGTTGTCTTCAAAGGGGATCGTGCTTGTGCTGTGTCTCCTTGATCGGCTTGGGGGGCTTCCGGAAAACCCACTGTCTCTGTAAAAGCCAACTTCCGAGGCTGTCGCTTCGGCTTCCGCCTCCGGCAGCTCTTCAACGGAGGGCAACCCGCGTGGCGACAACCTATAATCAGATAAATCGTAGTCAGATATTTCAGACATCATGTCCATTGGGGGAAGCACCGATATTTCCGATGCTTCCCGAAGAAGCCCACCGATCGGATCCTCCACTTGGGCATTCCGTTTCAGTAGCTCAAAAGGCCCCAAGACTTCCATTGCCTCAAGAATTGGGCTGTCGACCAACTGTCCTCCAAAATATTCTCCACGCTTAAACCTCCTTTCAACGACATCCCCATCATCTCCGGCCTCCACAATGCTTTCAGTCCGCTTTGGTGTAGTAGGTGTGTCGGATTGTGCTTGACGTCTCTTGCGCCTCTTTGGTGTGGTAGGGCTGCCACTCCTTTGCAAGAAATCATCGATTGTTTCGATTTTTGTCTCCCAGCTCCTCTCGTCACCGCTTTTCCGAAGAGCTGGATTCCCTAAAAAAGACTCCTCGTTGGGGTCTTCCTTGTCATCTTCCCCTATAGGGTCTTTGTCTCTGTCCCTAGTCTTCTTTTTTTTAGGGCCGAACCGTTCAGACAGGAATCCGAGCCATTGGTTAGATCCTTGGCTGGATGCTGAGCCTGGCCTCATGCTTTTCGGATCCTTTCCCTTTGGCGATTGGGATCCAGAAAAGGATGAGGCTCGCTTCTCAACTTGCAGTTCTGACCCTGCAGGCTCATCACTTGCCGTGTTGTCTGTTTGGCTATTCCTTCGCGGTGTAGAAATCTCCGAGGGCTCCTCAACCAGAGCTGCATCTTGAATCATCTGAGCCTGCTTACCACCTAGGTAGTCTTGAGGCGGTCTCTCGTCCGGGGCTAGCTCTAGACTTCTCGAAAGGTCAGATTCGGACCTTTTCCCAGAAGACTTGCCCCAGTTGCCCGTAAACATATCCCATGCGTTTTCTGGCTCTTCCTCGATCTGTTCTCCAGAAGGACGTGACAGCTCGGAATCCTGGTTGTCAGGCGGGTTTGTAGCTTCTTTCAGTCGTGGAGATCCTACATCTTCTCCGCTAGCATCTTCAGGGATAGTATCTAGCGGTATAGTGATGCTTCCAGCCCGCTGGCTCTGCGGAGGGTCTATTGGCTCAGGATCATCCGCAAATTCAGACAAAAGTTCGTCAATGTCTCTTGACCCACCGGCCCCTGTGGCTGGGGGCTCGGCGGCAGCACCCTCTCCGACATTGGAAGATGGATTCTGTTCCTTGTCGACATGTTCATCGGAAATAGAGGGCTGGCTGTCATTGGCATTAGGCACACTGCCCGCGAGGTTGGGATTCGAAGTCTGTGGAAGACTCGGCAGCGAGGATGACGGATCACTTCCGCGTTCACTTCCGCGTTCACTTCCGCCACTGCGAGACTTCTTGCGCTTGTGCTTCTTGCCTCCCTTCTTCTTTTTCTTCTTCCTGTGTCGATCTCTGTGGGCATGTCCTTCTACGCGCGGAGTACCAGTCACCTCAAAGCCGGTAAGTCTTGACGTAGAGTCATTTGGTCCACCGTATCTGGGATACCCAACTTCGCTATGCTGGTATGACATATCGGAGACATACGAAGCGTCATCGTCGCTGTCTTCTTCACTTCCTGAGGAGTCTGCTGCTCCAGGGACGGACAAGAACACGGATGAGTTTTTGCGAGACTTGTCCGATTCCCAGGTTCTTGACTGTCGAACCTCGGGGGAATCAGGGACAAATGATTTTTGTTGGCGCTCCTCTGTAGGCTCCTTGGAAATCTCCTCCTGGGGTTCAGTCGGCAAAGCAGCCTCAGGTTCAGGCTGATCAACCGGTTCAATAGACAGCGGTTCTTCAATTGGCAGACTTATTGCCTCAGCCCGTGGTACATCGCTTTCTGAAACGACAGTAGGCTCGATCGATTTGCCATGAGTCGGCTCCAACGCGTGAGATTCCGAAATTGTGTCGAGCTCAGGAGCCTGAGTATCAGGCTGAACTGTTTCCGTAGGCTTCAGAGCAACAGCTGTCTCTCTTTCTAGGATATCGGGTACAAGATCATCCTGCTCAGCTATACTGGCTGAATCAAGAGGGTGAGAGTTGTATATCTCTTCAGTAGCAGATTGATATTGGGCTTCATCCTTCCACGCGACTGGATCTACGACAGCTTCCTCGACAGCAGCTGCTGCTGCACGAGCACGTCTTCGAGCCTTCTTCCTCTCCTTCTTGGCAAGTTTTTTAGCCGTTGCCTCGTCTACATCCTGCAGTGGAGAGTCTGTCGTAGACGGCTCAAGCTCCTTGGACTGTGACTCGTGCTCACTTTCATCGTCAGATGAGTCATGGTGAGGCTCTTCCAGCTTGGGCTCCTGGATCTCTGATACTGGCTCCTGTTGGAGTTCTCCAAGTGTTAGCTCTTGCCGGGTTTCTTCAAGTGTTGGCTCTTGCTGAATCTCTTCAAAGACAGGATTCAGTCCCTTGTCAGACTCTTCAACTACTGACTCTGGTTCAGGCTCATCAGACTTTGGTTCTTGCTGGTGTTCATCAGAGGCCTGTTCCAACGGAAGTTCTTCGGGTTTCAATTCTGGCTGAGCTTCCTCAAGCTTGGGCTCTTCCTCAGCAGGAGCATCTGTCGTTGCACTAGGGACCTCTGGCTGTGAATCGTCAACATCACCAGCTGCTTCCTTGTCTTCGACGACCGGGATGATGCCCCGAGTCGTCTCGGAAAGGCCAGAGTCAACAACATCTGCAGGATCAGAGCGTGCTTCATCAACCACAGACGTATCATTGTCCAAGCGTGAAGCATCATTGGCATCCGTAACCGGATCCGAACCCGGTAACGTGGTGTCGATCGAGTCTTCCTTAATACTCTCTACCGGGGCCTCGAATTGGTCTAGGCTTTCAGCCACAGCTGATCCTTGGCGTTCATTTCCAGGCTCATTAATCTCCTTTTCAGTTGGTGGCTGAGCCTCTTGCGGTGCCAGGGGTTCTTCAGTCTGTTGCTCGGCCTCTGTAGCAGGCTCAAGCTCTCCGCTAGGATCTTGAAGCTCCGTATTTACAGGAGCGACAGCACCATCCTGGGCGAGATTCATTTGTTCAGAATCTTCGGTTTGAAGGGGATGCTCCGACTCCAATTTCTCCTCTGCGTTTGGCGATGTAATTGACGGTGTAACTATTTCAGCTTCCAGTGTGGGTTGTTCCAGTTCAGATGTAATATTAGATTCTTGGGGAAAGCTGTTTTCCACTGAGGGGTCTAAAGTACCAGTCGAATCAAGTTCTACAGATCGTTCGGGATGTTCCGATTTCTCTTCTCTCTTTTCCGCGTCGAGATCCTCAGTGTCGTTATTCTCCATCTCCGGCCTATGCTCCTCTTCGTAAATTGGTCGAGCATCCTCGGAAGTTCCAGTTTCTAAATGCGTATCAGACGTGGTATCGACGTCAACCTCCCTAGATTTGTCTCCAGAACCCTCATTTTCCAAGTCGGTGTTGTTCATTGGTAGCTGCAATCCATCATCGGCAGCCTCCTGTTCTGCTTTGGGTTCTAGATCCAGTTCTCGTTCGGCCTCCTGGAGTGGCATTGTCTCCGGTTCCTGCAGAGATACAGGCTCCACATCCTTGGCCTCATGGTATTCATCGTGTAGCTCGGAGGGCCTTGAATCCAGTGTGCTCTGCTCTTCTTGCTGAGTCACATCTAGGTTCAAATCCTGACCAGAGGGTTGCTCAATTGCCATGCCATCTTGTGCCTTGTGTTCCTCTTGTAAAGTAGGCAATTGGGATGTTTCAGACTCCATCAGAGGCGCAGAGTCGATGGCAACCGGCTCCTGCTCTTCGATATTCTGGCTCTCATCAGCTGAAAGAATCTCCCTTGTCTCTGGCAGGGCCTCAATTGGTGCTTCAAGAGGAGCTTCGAGAGAGGACGGCTCCACATGTCCGTCTGGAGTCATCTCAGGTTCTTGCTTTTGCTTTGTCGGCTCAAGGTCAAGAGAGACTGAAGTTTCTTGTCTTTCTTCGTTGTCTCCCTCTTCTGGTGGATTAGTTTCTTTGAGCTCAGGCTCCTGGATAGTAGCATCGGGGGCTGCGGTAGACAGTTGCTCGTCAACCAGTTCGCGCTCTTCAATAGATGGGGCGATATCAGCGGTATCTGTGAGTTCCTCGAGTTCACCCTGATGCTCCAGTGCTGGAACATCAACTTCAGGCTCTACAAGGCCTTCCAAGGGTTCAAGTTCGGCAGCCTTGGAGTCGCCTTCATCTGCAGCACTAGGTGCCGGAGGTGGTGGTCGAGAAGGCTCCTCGGGGGCTTCAACAGCATCCAAAGATTCAGCTTCGTTTGTAATGCCAGGAATGGAGGGGGGCGGTCGAGAAGGCTCCTCTGGTATTACGACGGCTTCTGGAGATTCAAACCCGTCCGCCTTGGAATCGCCTTCATCCGCAGCATTCGGTACCGGAGGTGGCATTCGAGAAGGTTCCTCAGGGACTACCGGGACTTCAGAGTATTCAGGTTCGATAGCTTTGGAGTCTCCTTCATCTGCAGCATCAGGTACTGGGGGTGGCATTCGAGAAGGCTCCTCGGGGACTGCAAAACTCTCGTCCATCTGTGTTGGCTCGTAGCTAGCAGGGTATTGCTGAGTAGGGTACTCAGAAGGAGCATCATCCTGAGTGAACAATGGCTCAGAAATGTCAGAGACAAATGATGGCAGCTGAGGAGGAGCCCAGCCGAGAGGTTTGCTGTCTGGTGTCTCGGCTATTTCACCAATGGATCGCGGTACACTTTCATCCATTTGTGGTTCAAGAGAGACGTCTTCTACTACGGCTGTAGCATCGGATTTCCCTCCAATGGGCTCCAGATATCTGGTCTCTTCAGCGATCTGCTGCTCGGGTTGGTCCTCAGATCGACCAATGCTCCAGGCTGATTCCTCTGGTATAGTCTCCAGTGTTGGTTCGATGGATTCTTGATCGGGTGTCTTTTCAGGAGCCGAATCTTCTAGTAAATCCTCCAACGACTCTTCCAAGATAGGGGACAGTTGGTCGCTGAAGGGTGCATCTCGATCAAACTCGTCTTCACCCTCAATACCGTCTTCTTCCATGATTGTGGGCAACATTGCGTCTTCGTATTCAGGAGCCCATTCGCGATCAGCAGAAGGCGATTCTTCTCGCGGAACAGATGCTAATTCCTCAGCATCTGAGGCCAGTGAGTCAGTGACATCTGCATCGACATGCTCTTCAGCTACAGCAGGAGATTCAATAGGCGCCTCCTCCACCGCAGGCTCCACCTCATCAGTCACCATTACCTCTCGATCTTCATCAGCAGAGTCATAGTCTTCTCCTTCAGCAGGCAAATCGGCAGGAACCTCCTCAGTGGAAACTAGGTCAGATTCGGCGCTAACGGGAGCAGAGACCTCTTCCTGTAAGGGAAACTCTTCCTGTAGGGGAGCAAGAGTTTCGGGCTTTTCTTCGACAGCAATAGTCTCATCCTCGACCTGAATGCTCCTCTTTTCACTGTCTTGCTCATCGCTCAGCTCTGGTGCGAGTGTATCTGCCTCGTCAACCCTGGTATGATCTGAATGTGGAATCGGTTCACTATCGGTATTCGCCCACTTCAAAAGCTCATCCTCCAAGCCGCCTGCATCGTTGTTTGTACTCTCGACAGCAGTTGATGGTATAGTTTGTGGCTCTTCGGTCTCAGCCAGAGGTGTAGGCTCGGACACAGGCTCCAAGCCCTCGCGGGGAGTGAACTCGGGAGATGCGGCGACTTCTTGTGCTTTTTCAATTATAGGTTCCTCCGCAATCTCTCGTGTGAACTGGTCCGGGGCCTCGGATACAGGCTCCTGAGTAAAGGATTCCTTGGCAAGATCAAGAGGTATTTCTTCCACTGCTTCTACTGCATCAACAGGTGGAGGCTGTGTAAGGGATTCGGAATCATTTCGATCAAGCTCTGTAGCAAGTTCTTTTGTGGCATCGGAGGGCATCTCAGTGACAGGTTCCACGACTGGCATAATGATAGACTCTGCGGGTTCATTGGCATGTTGAATGGGGGTGTCATGGGGGGCTTCTGCTGCTGCGGTTGCCGCCTTGCTCTTCTTCTTCCTCTTTCTCTTCTTCTTCTTCTTCTTTTTCTTCTTCTTGCTCTTCTTAGAGCTCGATGACACAACAGAAACAGCCCCCAAAGTTTCGACAGACGCCGTCATATCGCGAACCGCGTGGCCCTCTTCCCCAACGTGCTTTCCGACATCTGCAACAGCGTGTTCTTCCTCTTCCTCAGAATCTTCCTCCGACTCTTCAGAATCTTCAGAGTCGTCTTCCTCCTCCGTTTCCTCCTCTTCTTCCGACTCCTCGGAGTCTTCAATAACTGGAGATGGCTCAGGCTTCCTCGGGTATTCCTGCCCGGCATCTCTTTGGACAGGCACAGGCTCCTCCAAGACAGGCTCAGCTTTTACTTCGGTAGCAGCTTCAGTGATTGTGCGAGACTTTGCAGCCGGGATGGTACCAATGACAATTTCTTCAACCTCTTCAGAATCCGAGTGTTGAATTGATTCAGCAATGGCGTCATACGAGAGCTCTTCAGACACAGGTACAATGTCGAAAGTCTCAGTGTCTGGTGCCTCAGCAACCTCATCAAGAGGCTCAAAAACCGCCACTGGCTCTTTGCCCAACTCAAGTTCCGGTCCAGAAGCATAACGTTCAGGCTCTGGTTCCGACTCATCTTCAACCATCACAGGCTGTGCTTTGCGTTCCTTGATCGGAGTATATTCGTCTGAGAATCCCCTGTCGGTATCCAGAGCAGACTCCTTGGCAAGAACCGATTCCGGAACTCCAACAAATGCGGCCAATGTCTCGTCGGCCGTAGGTTGAGCAGCTAAGTCGGGGTCGATATCCGCATCAGGTAAAAGGGACATGTTCTTACCCTTTGTTGACGATTCCTCGGCGGATTCTAGTAAGGGGTCTAGATAGCTGGGGCTCCCCTGGCGGGCCTGGGCCTGGTCCTTTGGGACATTCTCAATGCTAGGCAAAGTCTCAATCACCTTATCCACAGACGCCAGTTCTGAATGTTCCGGTACCTTGTCCTCAAAGAATTTTGCGGGTCTTGAAAATTCGGGAATCGCGCCAAGCATCGATGGCTCAATGGGCGGCGGTTCAAATAGATCATCATCGTCATTTATATCAGCAGGCGAGGTGCGTGCGGTCTCGAAGTCATCGGAAGCGTCTGCTGATGTCAATTCTTCGGCATGATGGCGAATATCTTTGTTGGGAGAGAGGAAGCGCCGTGTAGGAGTTGTAGGGCTCGGTATGGCTTGAGCATCCACTGTCCTAGCCGATTGGCCCGACGAAGGCGTCGACTCAACGGGAGCAGGTTCGTCGTAATCGCCTAGAGTGTTGTTGTTAGTAGGCGGAACCGGCAGCTCATACACCAAGTCTGCCTTTGGCGTGGAACCTTCGGATCCCTCGTCGGATACAGATCTACCCATTGTCGGAATGTCGGTCTGGAGTCGGAGTTGATGATCAGTAGAGCTGAACCCATCGTTTGGAGGCATGGGGCTTCGGAAGTCTTCAGGACGTAGTCGTAGTGCAGATGACTTGTCCTCCTCCCGGTCAGACATTGCTCCGCCCTCGGCTTCGCTCGAGACTTCACTGGGCGGCAGAGGCGGTAGCTCTTCGCCTTTGAGATCCGCTGATCCGCGCCTGGCATGCTCGAGAAGCATCAGAGGCATAAACTCTTTGGTGCTATCCCAGGAGGTTGGTCGCGGTGGCGTACGGGGAGGCTTAAAGGCCAGTACTGGGCTGGAAGGGCTAGACCCGATACCCCTGAGCAGTGCTAGAGGGACAGCAGTGTTGCTGTGTGCCCTGTTGCGGGAGCTTGACAAGCTATTCTCTTGATTGCTCCGTTGCCGGCGATGGGTTCTTTCGAATCTCCGGCTTCGATCTTCATCCGGTGTCCCAGGGCGACTGTCGGGCAGGCCCGGCAGCTTGTCAAGACTAGCATCTAGGGGGGTACCCGGTTCGCTTGGAGGTAGAGGGAGCAGGTCACCATAGTAAGGGTCAATAGCGATTGCTCGGGGAGCAATCACGGGGTAGACATCTTCATCCTCCCGGCTCGAGCCAGGGAGATCTCGCGAGATGTTCTCCGGGTCCGAGGAGACATCGGCGGCATTTGAGCGAGTCAAGGCCGTTGCTGCGGATGCAGCAAGGCTCGCTAGGCCGGCACCCGCGCCAAGGATGCCGGCTTGCTCAAAAAAAGAGTCTCCCTTTTCATTAATGACTTCTTTGCCGCCGGACTTGAAGATGCCTGAAAGAAAGCCAGACTTTTTCCCGGAAGAGTCTTTGCGTTTGCGCGATGAAACGGGTTTCTCGCTATTATCATTATACTGTGAAGATTTGCTCTCCCGGCTTCTCGGCCTTCTTTCATCATCATGATCGTCTGTGGGACCATCTCTCGAATATGGCGGCGGCGGCTCGTTGCCGTCATTTAGACGAAGGTCTTTCTCTGTGCCGCTCCGGCGCTTCGGCCGGGTGCTCCTCCTGCTAGAGGTGGACAGCTCTGAAGCCACCACAGACCTTCGCGTAGATCTTGGCGAACTGTCCCAGTCTTCCCAGTCTTCGACACTAAAGACGGTGGCCTCGTCACCAGGCACCGAAATCCTTGAGATTTCAGTACCCTCGTCGCCCGGTATGGACAGCCCGGAACGTTCGTCATCAAGACGGGAAGACCGTCGCTTCTTCTTCTTTTTCTTCTTTGACTTGTTGGTAGGAGCATAATCGGAGGCACTATCATCCAATTTGGCCAGAGCTTCCGGGTGGAGTGGTGTCCTTGTCGGAGGCTGTTCAGGGTCAGGTTCGTGCCTTGGTCCAGCCTCTGTTGTCTCGGGCTCCTCGGTTTGGTTGGATTGTCTCATCTGGAGGAACTTCTCCAGCCTCTCTCTCTCGGCTTTTTTATCCTCGTTATCGTCTTGGGCCTCAGAAACCGGCTCCAAGCCACGCGACTCTAGTACTTCTCGTGGAGGCTGAATCTCGCCTGATTGTCGTCTCTGGAGAAACTTCTCCAGCATGTTTCGTCGCTCATTATTCTGAGGAGGTGTGACTGGCCGTTCCACTACCACCGGCGTTTCGACCGGCTCGACCGGCTGAGAGGGCGGTTTGATTTCACCAGACTGTCGCATCTGAAGGTATTTTTCCAGTGCGTTGAGCTTCCGTTGCTTCTGGGTTTTCTCATCCTCCGACTCCTCTGTATCAGCCAACGAGAGCTCCTCGTCGTCTGCGACTACTTCCCTGTCTCTTGCCAGATCGCCTTCTGGAGCTGGTACAGGCTCTTCAGCTGATCGCTCGGCATCGGCACGGTCCACAACAGGGGTCACGTTTGTACTCAGGCGAGAGCCTCGGCGCCGGAAATCTGGATCGTCAATTACAATATTAGGATCGAAACCGCTCTTCTCTAGGCCGGCTGCCACGGTAGCTGCGAACTCGAGATCATCGGAAAAGGTCCCAGGCATCTGTTCAGGCTCAGGGCTAGCCGGCTTGGGGCCAGGAACAGGTGGTGCGCCGTTGACATCGTCATCGGCAGGCAGATCGCGGCTCCGCGACGCCGTGTGCCGATCAAGCTCAGTGGTCGGTTCGGCGGTGCCAGCGGCCATCATGGCGGCGATCTTGCCCCATTGGCTAATCTTGCTGAGACGGGGCCTGGGTTTTTCCTCCGCCTCAGCCAACTCGTTTGGGGATTCTGCACGGCTACGAGATTCGGGAGATTCGACTACGAATCGCTTTGTCGAGTTTTCGCCCCAAGTGACCGACTTGCCGCTTGGTGACGAGTGTATTGCCTCGCCCTTTGCATCAGACTCTTCATCGTCGGATGACGCAATTGAGTCTGATTCGTTTTCAATCTCTCGAGATGCAGGCACCTCCGCCGGTCGCTTCAGCCCTACAGATGTGGAATCAGGGCTGGGCACGGGAGTGGGACGAACGATATTCAGCAAGGGACGTTCACGCTCGCATGAAGCGTCCCGGGACTTGAATCTCGCGGCATCAGCCCCATTGGTGGCTCGGAACCGGTCAGTTTCGTGTGGGAAGATTTCATTGTCAATCCTGACATCGGCATTGGGAGGGGCATAAGGGTTGCTGTCGTCGTCGTCATGTTCCCTATCTTCCATGCTGGGAGGTGCGACAATGGCAAACGACTCCTCGGCCGACGGCTTCTCCCATTTGTCCACCACGGATTCATCAGGGGAGTGGCTGCGAGACCGAATCTCATCGGAGGCAATCTTTCGCGCAATCACAGACTCACGATAATATCTGTCGGCATCTTCCTGGACAGCGTCCTTTGCTGGCCTGCTTCGATCTCGAGAACCATCGTCCGAGTATTCACGGCGTTTACGCTCTCGCGACCGCTCTTCCTCAACAGCAATGGCGGAGGCGACGGCAACGGCAGCGACCGGGATCGTCGAATGCTTGGCCTCATCCAGGATAGACCGAGCATCCTTTTCCTCCTGTTCGTATTCGTACCCACCCCTGGGGTCTCTACCCCGAGACTCACTCTCACCTCCCCTTCTCCTCTCTTCGGCTGCTCTCTCAATCTCATACGAGTCCTTTCGACTGAGCCTGATGTCCGCATTGCTGTGCGGTCGCAACGGCATTTGAGATGGAGGAGGTGCAGAGGCAGGGGCTGGCGAGGGGCCGGTAAAGTTGGGAACACGATCAACGGTGACGATTTCGGGTGTTGGTTGCCGGCGGGGCGTGTTGAACTGGGGAGTGTTGAAAGCATCATCGGCAACCTGGTATTGAAAAGGGTCAACAATGGGGTTTGCAACGGGCTGGGCAGTCGTCTCAACATTCCGGTCACCTGCCTTTGTCGCACGAGCGGGTTGCGGGGGTTGCTGCTGTTGCCTCTGGGTATTACGGAGTTGATCCTCGCGTAGCTGGGCTTCACGCTTCTCCGCATCCCGCATATGAGCATCGTAGGTAGTCTGGTATTTCAGGCTCTCCTTGCGCTCTTCTGGATGAAGCTCCATCCAGGTCCGGCCATCTCTAGGCAGGTCAGACGAGTCTTTGGCATAGTCGGGCATTTGGCGGTTGGATTCTAGTGGAGGGGAGTCATTATCGTTTCGGCGGTTATAGTATACCTCCGGATTGGCCCTCCGCCGCTCCAGTTCTTCAAAGGGTGCCTGGTCCCGCTGGAAATAATCTTCCTCTGGATCCGGACGGGTGAGCTTAACATTATCGCGATAAATGCGGTCTTCGGTCCAAGGCCCTCGTTGATCCGCCATGGCAGCTGCTGCCGCGGCTGCTGCAGCCGCAACACCGCCGCTCAGAGTAGGGTCAAGGCTCCCACTGTTAGATGACAGCTGACGGCGGTAGCTATTTCGCGAATCTCGCCGACCGGCCTCAAAGACCTTTTTAGAGACGGGCACCATGGGGATTGGCTGCTGGAGGGGGATGGGTGCCGGGCGGTGGGTGGAATCGGCCTGCGATTCACCAGTGGCCGGTCGGTCATTGTCGTAACGATTTGAGTTGATGGAAGCCGGAGGTGGTTGTTCATCTCCAAACCCACAGGGGGTGTGAACCAGCCCACGCAACGAGTTGACCGGACCGAAGAGGCGGGGATCCACAACTGAACTCTTCCTGCTATGGTACGTAGGTCTGGAGCTGGCAACGGAAGAGGCGGCGGCCCCGGTGGCGGCCCCGGCGGCGGCTCCCACGAAACCGGACAGTGCGACGTTGGAGCGCGAAGAATCACCGCCGTAGGCCAGAGCAGACGTGCTGTCATCGCTTGAGGAGCTCTCGGAAGAATCGCCGTCGTCGTCGGAGGCCGACTCCCAGTCGGATTCATCAGAAGATGATGCGCGGTGCTTCTTGGAGCCCGCCAGGCCTCGTTTCTTGGCTTCCTTTCTGCTCTTTCGCAGTGCACTGATGGCGGCGGCAGTGGATGCTAGTCCGGACGGCCGGGTTTTTCCCACAGCACGTAGGTCCTCCTCGTTGGACCTCCGGGCAAGGTCCGACAGCTGACGCCCAATGGCAAGAATCTCTTCGTCCGTCTTATTACGCTTCCCCTCATTAAGTAGTTTAGGGGACGGCCTGGAGGCGGCGGCTGGGGGATACTGCGGTTGTTGTTGCTGCTGTCGAGAGCCCGATACGGCGGAGCCCGCAACGGAGCTGCTGTAGCGCGTGGACCGATCCTTTTCCTTCTTGACGAAACCGGTGCCGTATGCCATGTCGGAATTGATCGACGAGTGGGACGAGTTGCTGCCGCCGCCAAAGAAGACGCCGCGGCGCTTCTTGGTGCCGCTGCCCCTGCGGCGATGCCGGCGGCGCACTTCCGACGGGGCCTTGACAAAGGTGCTGATGAAGCTTCCAAAGCGGGAGGTGGGATACACTCGCGAGATTTCCGTGTACGAGGAGGACGAGGAGGATGGCGACGAGGACAGCGAGCCCGACGAGGCCCGGGACCGAGGCTGGGCCGCATCCTGGGTGGGCGTCTGGTGCTGCGGCATTGGCAGCGACATGTGCTGGTACTGCTGCGGATAGGGATACTGCTGCTGCGGCGGTGAGGGGAAGGCCTGTTGCTGCAGCGGCAGCGGAGGCTGGTGTGGTTGTTGTTGCTGAAATTGGGAGGAGTGAAACTGAGGTTGAGGTTGAGGTTGAGGTTGAGATTGAGGCGGAGGCTGATACGGCTGCTGCTGCTGCTGTGGGCTGTCGGCGCTGTAGCTGCCCGGCATCTGCTGAGGCGTGATGCTGCTAGGCGACGAGTACAGGCTCTCCTCGCGCGACAGTCGCTTCTCGCGCCTCCGCCTCCTGGAGCTCTCCGGGCTCCGGCGGCGGGGATGAGGCATCGTGGGACCTGGCTGGGCGGCTGGGCACTCGCTCTGCCAGTAGCACGATCCGATGGGATTTTCACTTTCGGCGTGCTGCTGGTGAAGGAGGGAGTCGAAGCCCGGATTGTGTTTTTTTGTTTTGGTTCCAGAAGAGCTGATGCAACTAGCACGACGCCAAACCTCGCTCCAACTCCAACCCCCCAGTCGACCCGACCCGCTCCGTGGACAGGCGGTGGCTGGGGCGACGAACAAGCCAGCAATTCAGGCGTCCCGGGGCCTGAAGATGGTGGCCAGCCCGGTCGCTGTGGCTGCGGGAGGGCCAATCAGGCTGCGGCGCCATGGGCCTTAGCGGCGAGTTCAGCTGGCCAGCGAGCGATCACAAGAGCTGGGCCAGACAGAAAAAAGGGGGCAAGCGGTTGGCGATACTATCGAGATCTGGCGGCAAGACACAAGATGCAAACGAGCTGGGGTAGCGAGCGGTGCTGTTTCAGCCGGGCGTGTACGGCGAGCGCTTGTCCAACTGTTGTACCGTATCCGTCTTTGTCGATGTCTACTCGTACTGTAGCAAGCAAGGGGGAGGGAAACCGAAGATTGTTTGGTCTGTGCCAGGGTGCTTGTGATACGCGATTGATGTCCGTGGATTTCTTCGTATTACCTTGCGTACAGTAGCACCCAGGTTAAGGAAGCAGCACGCGCGACTGCAGCAAACGAGTGCATCTACATACAAGTATACATTAATAATAGCATTAACATGTACTATACTAGACATAACCAGCATTCAATACTAGTATTGTCCATTTTCCAGATGTCTCATACAATCGACTTCAATCATAACGAGACTTCTCCATGTCTGTTAGCATTACGCTCCTGTGGGGCCGCTCATAACAAACGTTGTCAATAGGTACTCATGCTCTCGAGTTACTTTAGCTCCAGCTTGTGATAGCTGATAGCTATAGTACCTCCGAGGTCTGTATCAACAGCCATGTTTGTTAGTGCTCAACCGATGGCAACACCAACGTTCCCTCCCCCTCTCCCAACAGCTCCCAAGTGAGACACACATCCATCTACATCCAGTACTAACTCCCAAATAGCTCCCATTCACTCACCCTCGCATCAAATCAGTCCCTCCCACATGCACCGCCGGATACATTCTACTGCCTTAGCGGGTACCTCTCTTGTCCAGTCCTGCCCACTCACCTCTCCACCAATCAAACGCCCTCCAGCCGCCCGTTTCAACCCCCTCCTCCGACGCTGCAAGAGACACACACAGTTGGGCGACATTTTGTCTCACTCTGTCTGACCACAACCAAAACAAAAAATCGTACATCTGATACTTGACCGCTACCCGACTCTTTTTTGCTCGCCGAAAAACCCCCGCTTTTCTGCCAGTTGGCACCACCTCGCTCTGCATCTTTCGCCCAGAATCCCAAAACAGGGTGACAAAAAAAGGGCGACAAGCTTCGGGGAGGGGCGCACGCACACTTACCCTGCAGGGCATGTCATCTCATCGTGGCCCAAACCAGCGATAATAATCGAGCTTTTGCAGCGCCAGCATTACATGGATACATGGATAGATATCATGCCATTTTCGTCGAGCTGGACACCTCCGTCTCACTCATCGCTAATCATATCTGTCTCAGGCCAAAGGGAGCCCAGGCGTGACTACCGAGGGGACAAGCAACTTACAGCGCTGCAGAACCCACTCACACTCTCACTCTCACAACTCATTCGCTTACACACGCAACAGCCCAGAAACACACACACATGCCAGCCAGTAAGAAAAAGAAAAAGGGCCTGCAGTTGGATAACGATGACGCCTTTTTTTCTTCATGTATGCATGCCTTAGCATCGAGGCCGAATTCGCCATAACGGGCTTCCAACATGCACACCATCAAAGATCCAAGGTAGGGATGTCGATCCTCGAAAGGGTACATACAGAGTGCATGTCTTCTTATCAACCTCACAATAAGGTACGGGGTACGGGGTCTTTTGTATCTGTATGGGGTCCTCGTGCTTGTGGACTTCGTGGCTCGCTGTTAAATAAATTGATCCAGAACCCAAAAACTCTATGCGTACGACTCATCCGGAGCAATTGCTCAGGGTCCATGTCCTTGGTATTTGTGGACTTGTGGCCGGCCCGCCTGAGTTATCATCCAGGGTCCAAAAACTCTATGCGAACGACGCATCTCGAGTACATGTAATTACCCATCGTTCATGATTACTAAAACGTTATACCGTTAACGACTCAATTGAATTACTCAACATGATGATGTCAAGCTATAAAATCCACCTACTGGAACAGCTAACTACCCAACAGACTGACAAATGTCGTAATCCGTCTACTGAACACCTATAAAGGGCTGCTCCCCCTCTTGACTTCAATTTCAACCTCACATCCTTCCGTATTGTTACCAAGAATGGGTCTTCTTCCACTTCACAAACTCAGCGTCGATTCCTCCCCTTGTGAATTCAATAATCCTCCTCTTTCACAAATTGTCGTCCCTCCCTCTATTCTTCAGGTCTCTTAGTACCCAGGCACCACCTTGGCCTTCACATACAACCCATTCGCCGGCTTCGCCGTCACTCCACCCCTGATATCAATCTTATCCAGGTCCGCCTCCTCTTTATTCACCAGCTCAAATTCAAACCGGCCAATCCAAGCCGCCAAGAGACACGCAAACTCCCCCTTGGCAAAGCCCATGCCAATGCAGCTGCGCGGCCCGTGGAGGAACGACAGGAACGCATAGTTGCTCTCGGCACCGCCGCTCGCAGCTCTCTTGTTGCTCTCGTCAGACACTCCCTCGGTAGAAATCCATCGGTCCGGGTTGAACTGGGAAGCATCCGAGCCCCAGAGCTTCGGGTCGACGTTCACGGCAAAGGGGGAGATGGTGAGGCGAGTGCCCTTCTTGACAGGTACGCCTTGGATGGTGGTGTCGTGAGCAGCTTCGCGAATGGTGAGGGGAACGGGGCTGAAGATTCGTAGCGCCTCGTTGCACACTGCGTTGAGGTACGGCATGTGATCAATGTCCAGGCTCGTAATCTTGGCGTCGACATCGTCCGTAGAAGGCAGCTTTTCACGAATCTCGTTGCGCAGCCGCGTCTGCATCTCGGGCGAGCGACTGAGCTCATAAATGGCCCACGTCAGCGCCGTCGATGTCGTCTCATGGCCGGCGGCCAGGAACGTCATGAGCTGATCAACCAGGTTTTCGTCATTGAACTGGCCGCTCTCAATCGCCACGGAGAGAATGTCCACATCAGTGCGCCCCTTGTGGGTCATCATCTTTTCTCTCTTCTCCCGGACGAGATCCCGGCATACGGACTTGATCGTTTGAGCCGCCTCATCGATGGCCCTGTTTCGCTCCAGGGGAATTCGTTGAAGTAACCATGTGGGCACCAGAGTTGCCAGGAACACTAAGAACTTGGCCGGCGGTCTAGGCTTGAACAGAAACTTGTACGTCTGGACAATGTCGCTGTTGTCATCCTGGATTGCGTGAAAGTCTCTGCCGAGGCCGGCGACGCCAATGATGTCGAGGGTGACTCTGGACGCCCACTCGCCAGCCTCGAACTCTGCCTCTCCGAGCTTGCCGCATTCAGTCGTCATGGCCTGGACCACCTCCCGCGCCTTGTCCCAGAAGACGGGATACAGATCCTTGATGTGTCGGAACGCAAAGGCCGGCATCAAGTTGCGACGCTGGCGCTTGTGCTCGTCTCCCTCGGCCAACAGCACGCCATAGCCCAGAACGCGGCCGAGCATAGACCTGACATTCTCAGGCTTCTGGAAAGCGTAATTGTTTGTTACAAGTACCTCGGCCAGGGCCTTCGGAGAGGTGATGAGCAGACGCTCGCGGTTGAGGAGCCAGTAGTAGCGGATAAGTCCCTCGTTGGGGATGTTTAATGCCCTTTGTTGACCAGTCAGCCATCATGAATGCCAAACAGTATGGACTACACATGGAACCTACCACTCTCTAAACAACGCCGCAGGCTTAGCGGCCAAGATCTTCTTTCCGTGGCCCAACAGCCAATGGCCACCGGGCGCCGTGGGTAGATGCCGCAGCGGCGAGAACCAGAATGGATACACAAACAGCGACCAGATGCCGTGAAACACAAACACCTGCGCCAGTAGCAGCACCGTGGCTGCCTGGACAAATGACGCTCGAGACCACACATCCTGGCCCAAGTACGTCCATCCAGCGCCGCCGAGGAGAGCCGTGGCCAGCATCAGCTTGAGCGCCATGGCTTCAGAAGCTCGTCAGGCCCTGTTTATGTGTTTTTTTTCTGTTGGGGCCAGTCGATCATGGAAGTGGTGCCACGCACCCAAAAGCAAAATGATGTCGTCACCTTACCAAGGCTTTATAGTCTCAACAGGGTTCCAATCAAACGCGGGGAAAGAGGCAAAATTAAAGTCAAAAGAAAATAACAACGAGGGGATTACCAGAGAGATGTAGCGATAGAAATATCGTTAAGGTTCAACCCACAATCCAGTAGATTAAATTATCGTATTCAACCCTGTCCACCGAAAAACCTCCGGGTTTGATAGAGGCTTGCTCAATTCCCCTTGTGTCGCCGATACAATATAATGACTTGGAGCCCTCTCTTTCTATAGATAAATGTAGAGCCTTGAGTTTATTTCAATGTGGAAAGTGTAGAGGATAAACCGTTAAATGAAACAAAAACACAAAGCAGAGAAATAGGGAAATCCAAAAACATCGACTATTTAATCTACATACACCCAGGCAGACAAATGGCCGCAACGAATGCCGTTCCCGTACCAGCCCCCAACGGATTTCGCATCGTAAAATGTCGAAACTCATCCTTCCCCAACTAATAGCCACTTAGCCGCGACCGCTTTTCACGATCGGGATTCTGGGCACTCCGCCTGCCCGTCCGGGTCTCCTCTCCGGAAGACTTACTGGATTTATGCGACATAAGCGAGGAGCGTATCGTGTCAGGAGTCGACTAAATTAATGCTGATACGTGTGAATTTATTGACCAAGAACCGTCCCCCGTACAAGAATGAGATAACTGATACCACAAGGGTGAAAGCCCTCCACCAGCGTTAAACTCTCTGCTAATCGTGGCTTTGCTATCGCCAACTCTCTCTTATCCTGCTCGTTGGACTCTAAAAAGATGATGACAAGCTGACGTGGAAACTTCTTGAGCGCGTTTCGGACGTCTGTTTGCAACAAATCCCCATACTCTTTCTAAATTTCATGTGAAATCAAATGGTGGCATCTCGTCTCCATGTCGGTCTCAATTATCTCACCGGCCGGCATTCATCAATACTTGGCCGTCCTCCGGCTCCGCTTCCTCTGTGCGTGCCGTGGCTTACGTACACTTACAGTGAAACTTTGTCGCAAGCCACCGCCAAACGACGGCTCGAATCAAAATACTGAACTCGTCTGCGCTAATAAAGCAGAAGATGCCTAAGGCAAATAAGTCAACGACAGCTTGCATGTTACCTAGGGATTCCTTCGTATCAACGCTGGCTTTTCTGTCGGTCCCGTGACGAGCATGTAGTTATCAGAGTTTCCAAAAAGGTAGAATGACTACGACTTCATTCGCTATGCTCGCTAACCTACACGCCTAAACTCCATATACAAAAGGTTATATCCTCATCTATGTACAACCGGCACGCCTCCACACTCGTATGCAGTAAACGCTTAAAATCGCTATCAAAACAAACTTCAAAGCCCCAGGGACGAAAGCGAGCGATAAGAGACAACTTCCGAATCCAGAGGAAGAAAACAGAAAACAGAAAGGCGTTGTAACCATGGACACAAGGTTACCTCACCCACAACTTGGTGGGCCAACCAGCCACCCCCACAGCGTTCTCAACATCCATCTCTTCACCACGGTCGGATCCTGCTCTGTACTGCGGACGCCACTGCCATGTTTGCTGACTGAGTTTGGAGATCTGCCGCGTTTCTGGAACCTTCGCTGCTTTCACCATTGGCCGCGGGTATCGTCAAACTTGATGGCGTCGCATCATGTGATTGGGCCTGTAAAGGTGAAAGAGTTGGCTCCAACGGGTCACTGTCTGCATTGGCTGTGACCGACCAAGTATTCCCGCGTGACGATCGATATCTCCGATGCCGAGAAGTTTCCCTCTCCTGGCTCGTAGGGGGATGTGCGCCTCGCTGTTGGGGCACTCGAGGCAGCCACTGAGAATGTCTTGCGTTATCTCTCTGGGCGTTTCGAATCGGCGAGGTGGAAGTCGCTGCCAACGACGAGGCTGATGACACAGCTTCACCGTCATACGAGGATGAATCAGAATCACCAGTGGCATGAAACGGACGCCTTTCCATAGCAAGCTCTTGCTCTTGGCTTCCACCAAGCCCCTCAGCAGTTACGAGGTTGGACATGAACCTCAGATACATCTCTTCCGTTGGTCTATAGTGTCAGATTAGCCGACGTTCTGTTCAACATTTTGAGAGAGAGAGAGAGAGAGAGAGAGAGAGAGAGAGAGAGAGAGCTAGGCAAAAAAAGAAAGGGGGTGAGGGGGCAGGAAGGACAGATGGACGTGCTTACCCAGGAGGAAGCTGATGACGAGCACTCATCATAGCCGTGAAAAACTGACTGACGACGCGATCCGAATGCTTGGGAGGCAGTTCCAGCTTGTCACGACAATATGGACAATTGTCGGAATCCTCAAACCACCTTGCAAGGCAGTGGTTTCCAAAGACATGTTTGCATTTTGGCAGCCGCAGAGGTTCCTCGTTAATTCCCTCAGGGGTTTTCGCGCCGTAGTCGTTGTAGCAAATAACGCAAGCTATACGCTAGGTTAGCTCTCCATCTGCTGAGATCATAGGAGTCTGCCAGTGCACACTTCTCTCATTCTCCGGCAAGTCTTGAAGCTCGACTTTCTGCAAAAGAGAACGCCAAATTTTCACGGTCATCTTTTCCGCCAAGGTATGGGTTCTCTGCTCAGTCGTAGTCGTGGCCCCGGTGGCAGTTCCCGCAGCGACCTGCAGCGGGTTTACTACTCGGTCTCGGTCCGATCTAGGGCCACTGGCATCAAGTGTCCCGTTATCCTCTATATCCCTATTCATATCTGCAGCTGTCAAACGGCTATTTGCAGACCGGCGTGCCCTAGAATGGCCCGGTCTTCGATGCGTGTATGGCGGGGGCCCAGATGGGTCGGCGTAATAGGGTGGGGGGCCATCTACTTGTTGGTTAGTATAAAGAAAGGCAGACATGTCATAAATTTGTTGAGAAAGGAGAAAGTGTGGGAGAGATCGGAAGGGTGGAAGAAAACCTAGAATGCGAGCTACTTACGGAGTGGCGAGAGGGGAGCCCGCGAGACCCGTGGGGGTATTCCGGATACAGAGTGGTAGCCTAGCCGGCGGGCTGATTGTAGAGGAATGGGACTGGTCTGCAGAGGCGTGGATAAGGATCCGGGAAATTGGTTCATGGGAGGGACTGGATGATGTTGTGGTGGATAGGCAATATGAGTTTGCGCATCTGATTCCAGGGCTACGCCACTCTGCCCCTGACCCAGCTCATTTTCCGACGTCTGCCTGGGATACAAGCCGGGTTGGGAATATTGCATAACTGCAAGAGGGTTTGGTTGAACAGGCACCGGAACCGGAACCGGCATTTGCGAGAAACCCTCAGGCCATGGTCGAGCATGTGGCATTGAGATGGGATGAGAGTATGGCTGATAGGACCGAGGCGCCGAACCGGGCACCGGAAGCCCGCCGGGCGGGCCCATTTGAAGTTGTGAGTCGAAGCCCACGGCGTACGGTCTGTGCATTCCATATCCATGGGGGACTGGAACCTGGTTTGGTGCCCATGGTGGATGTACTGGTGTATGATGACCAAGCTCGCGTCTCCAGTCAGTTGGTCCATAGAAATACTGATCAGGATGGGATATCGGTGCAAAGGTATGGGGTTCCATTGGTTCAACAACAAGCTGTATCCAGCTTGGTGCGAACCTGTAGCTTTCAGGGTCGCCAGGGGGTGGGAAGGCCAAGCTCATCCAGGTATCGACTCTCAGAGACCCTGAGTTCTTTGTTCGACGTGAAATATAGATAATATATCAAGACGATTCAAGTTTCTGATATCCAGAATAAGCAATAACGCTGACGGTAGAGACGGAGCTTGCTTGGGGAAGTTGAACTAGTGACGGTAAAGATATGTCCAAGGTATAACTTCACCGCAAGTGGACTTGTCCAAAGCAACGACAGATATACGGCGTATTCCGAGAGTTCGCGTTCTTATAGGAAGTTTGTATCAACGAAGAATGTGTCTGGGATCTTTACTGCCGTAGTGTTTCAGCCAGAGGGAAGGATCCAAGGTCTGTGTCTAGAACGGCGGATTGATAATGTCATGAATACTTTTTCAAGAAGGCGGAGATAAAGACTCATCCAAGCTCAGGCAAGACCTCCCGGGTAGCACTTGGGAAGTCCTGATATGAGACAGGGTATTTTTTCTTGTTTCTTTTTTTCTTTTTGGGGGGGCAGGACAGATCGCAGCAGAGCAGCGTATAGATTTTTTTGAGGGAACAGGACAGAGCGCAGCAGAGCAGCGTAAAGAGCAGCGGCCGGTGATATGGAGAGGTGAGGCAAAGGCTGGAATCCAGTACAGAACTGATGAAGAGGTTCTGGCTGTCCTCGAGGAAGAAGATTCTGGTATTTATATATGCCTAGGGCAATCTTCGTGTAGATAGGTGTAATCAACCTGAAGTTATCAGAGTGCTCAAGTGGACCGTATTATTTGTTTTTAATTTTTTCTCAGTCCATCGAAACTTGGAATCGAGGCCCATTAAAAAAAATTAGATTTCGGCGTTGTGATGATGTGAAAAGGCCTTTGGCTTTGTCGTGTTGACTTCCGCAGTACCGGATCAAGTACCTATGTAGGTGCCTGGATGGGAGGTGCTCAGGTCTCCATATGGTTTTTTAAGGTTATCCGAGTGTGCTTGTCCAGCAAGTTTTCTTCAGCCACTGTATCCAGTTCAGCCAAGGCGGTTGGTTTCGTTGGCCTTGCAACCACAAAGTATGCGGAAGACGACGGGATGTCTTTCAACGCGGTACTCGCAGCCTCGGGTTCTCCGGGCTCTGGATGAAACGCCAGACGCGGCAAGTATAGATGGCTATGCTGATGGAAGAGTATGGCGGACTTGGTCTTGTCCAAACCAAGAGAGCGATGCTTGGGAGCCAGAATGCTGGGCAGCTGCGAAAACGAAAACGAAAGCGAAAGCGAAAGCGAAAGCGCCCTTGAAGTGTACCGAGGGTTGAGGTCAAGGGCGAGGGCGTTGACGAGAGAAGGTGCAAGGGAGCTGGAGGCAAAGCGGAGGCAAGCGGAGGGAGAAGCGCCCGCGGAAGGGCAGGAGCAGAAGGAGGAAGGAGGAGAGACAGAAGCCGGAGTAGGAGCTGGAGAAAGAGCTGGAGAAAGAGCAGAAGCGTATAAGCCGCGGCAAGAGCACAGGCAGGAAAGAGGACAGGTGCAGACGTAGGCCCGACAATGAGCAAGAGCAAGAGCGAGAGCTGGAATCAAGAACAAGAGCGGGAGCAAGAGCAGAAGCAATGGTAAGAGCAGGAGAGCAGAGCTGAGCTGAGCTGAGCCGAGCCGAGCTGAGCTGGGCAGGTTGGGGGGAAAAAAGAAGGAAGGAAAAAGGGAAGGGAGGAAAAGGAAAGAGAAGAGGAGATAGACAGATGGAGATGGAGCTGCCACTGGAGCTGGAAATGGAGCTGGCAGCACGCGTGATGACAAGGAAAAGATGGGAAGTCTAAAAAGTGCCCAGTCATGAATCGCATTAGTATGGTATGGTAAGGTATGGTAAGGCGTGGGATGGGATGGGATGGGATGGGATGGTATGGCATGGCATGGCATGGCATGGCCTGGCATGGGCACCTGCGTCAAGGTCATCACCACCTTGGAGCTACCCAGTCAGGCCTTCCCTGTTGGCCCTGCATCTGCCTCAGGGCGCCAGTCCGGCTCCAGTCAGGCAAAAGCAGCGGCCAAATCACATCAAGTCAAAGCAGCGGCAAAAGGCGTCGGATGAGCCGCTTCTGCTGGGCGAGTCACGGCGTCGGCAGCCCGCAAAAGCGAGTCGCCCGCCATAGCCGTTTCAACCACCGACAGTCGCTCTGGCTCTGGCTCTGGCTCTGGCTCAGCTCTGCCCGGCTCAGCTCTGCCCTTGCTCCAACCTGGATGGCCGGCCGTCTGTCTGTCTGTCTGTCTGTCTGTCTGTCTGTCTGTCTGTCATTGTTGACCGACCGACCTGACAAGATTTAAAATTCGAGCTACCCCGATACCGTGTCGTCGCACCGACCTACACTGTGGCGCTAGGAGACCCGACCTCACCTCACCTCGCCATGGATCAGTTGGGTTGCAAATACGCAGTGCGAGCGAGCCGGTGTTTGCAAAAAGCCTTGGACGACAAATACGGCCATTTGCATGCAGCAACCTTTGGCGCGGGGCGCAGAAATGCACAGGCTGTGGACCTCAGTCATGCCAGCCGGCCATGGGGAAGAGGCAAAAAATCCAAAGGCCAGCCAGCTTTGAAACCCCCTAGCCCGATGCAAGAGCCAAATGGCAACTTGGGCTTCTCACCTGATAAGCTGCATTTCATTGCCTGACGCCCAAGCCGTGGAGCCAGCCTCCAATCTTTGGCAGCAAACTCCAAAAAAAAAAAAAAAACCACCCCGAGCAGGCTTCCCTGCATTTACCGAGCGAGCGAGCACAAGAAAACCAAGAAACCGGCAGCAGCCAGGGCGTGGCTCATCACATGAGTCGTCTCTGCCCGAGCGGCCTGCGGGAAATGAAATGGCGCCAGCCAGACGTCAATCAGCTCGAAACAATCAAAGACCCCGTCAGCTATGGGCCTCGTGATTGGGATTCCAATATTGCGTGTCGCACCGTGCTCACGCCTCTTGCTTCCGTGTGGCAGCCAGTCGGGTTCAAGCTCTGGCCAGGTCGTCGCCTTTACTGTGAGACGAACTAGATTAGCAGCGACGCCGCTGTGACGGATCAATTCTTCCCTCTTCCCTCCTCCTCGCCTTGGCCGCTTTGGAGAATCAGCAGCGGCGCCTTATTCAACTACCAGCGCCTTTTACACAGTCACTTCACACGGCCCTTACGTATTACATATGCGCATGTACGAGTAGGCCGTGCTGTCCGTCGGAGCCCACGCATCGGGCCAGTGCCGGAGGACTTGTCCGTGCCTCCGGAGACCTTCCCGATCCGGCCATGCTGCATCATTTATATCTCTTCTACCATGGTCTCCATATGAAAGTCGCAGCACGTACGGAATACTTATGCTCCCTTTGCTCCCTCTTCGCTTCTGACGCAGCCTCCTGTAGGCCTTTGGTTTATCTGCCTGTCCTCTCCCAAGCATCCGCACTACTGTCCATGCAGCCGCTGGGGGGTCTCCATCATGGCTGTGAGGGGTAAGATGCTGTAGGGATGCTTTGTGATGAAATAGGAGGGGCGACGCTATGGTTTGTGGCGAGGCAGTCTGAAGCATTCAAAATCCAGCCCCCTCGCTGGCTAGCACGGCCAAGAGTGAGGAGCTCTCTCTCGCCTAATGCACTGGAATCTTTTCTCTATTTTTCTCATCATTACGCGACCAGGCGTATGCGCAAACAACCCACCGAAAACGGCGTCTTTCGGGCCTTGGTCCATGCTACATACGTATACAACTCTAAAGTCCGGGAAAACATTCCTCTCGGGCTTTTAGGACCGTCGTCGTTTTGCTCTCGCATCAGCCGCATGGAATAACAGCAGCCCAACAGGCCGAGACTAAAGCACCGCAGTGGCGTGCTAAGTATTCCACTCCGTCGTCTCCATGAATGGCCCATTCGACTTTCATATTTCCTTCTTATGCGGCCAGCCGTCTGACCTGTCGCCTACTCTATCTGGTGCATGTGCAAAGTACCTCGCTTGGCTCTGCTTTTCTTGGTTCCGTGCCGGCGTGTCTCAACTTTTTGTCGTCTGCGGAGCAAATGTTACTTCCACCACTACTACCACTTGTACCACTGCCTGACTTGCTCCGTGTGAGAACATGGGAAGGATAGGACAGGAGAAAAAAAGGCCCTCTGGCCGTCTGTTGATCGACTTCCCTTTTCTCTCTCGGCTGCGTTTCTATCCGGGCCCTGTCTTTGTCCAACCCCGAAACTGGAAACTTGAATCACAAGATCCCCGCTGCCGGCCGCACTGTTCTCTGGCCAAGCGGCTGCTGCGGTAATATCTGTTTTTTTTTATCCCTCTCCAAATCCTTGCAGCAGAGACTTTGCACACATAGATAACACAACAGTCGTCATCCATTCCCGCCGGATAACTTTTTGAAACTTCGTCTCGTTGAGCTCATACTCCGCAGGTTTATCCGTCATATACTTTATCTAGTAGGAGCTACCGCCCAGAGTCGTATTCAAAAGAAGACAAAGCAAGTATGAGCTAGATGCATAGCCAACAGCTTCTCCAATATCTGTGGGCTATTGAAAAGCCTCTTTCCCCTTTTTTTTTCGTTCCGATGTTAGCGAAAAAGGCTCACGCCGTTTGCTGCTCTTGTGAGGCCGGTTCGATTTACTAAATCTTGGCGCTAACATGTATTTTACTGAAAGCCAGCCCAACATGCCTCAAAGCAAAGAATGTACACGTTGGGTTTGAATTTGGATCGCCATGCTGCACACCCTCGTTTGTATCCCAATGGATCTGGCTCTGCGACGTAATACTCTGTACTCTATTTAACTCTATTCTGAATCAGGTCACTCTCTCCGAAACTCACAATCCACTCCACGTCGTTGCCTCGTATTAATCAAACTCCACAAGTCGACAAGGCAAATTCTCTCATATATGGAAGGGCCGGAACGTCTTTACTTCTGCTTTATTTTTAAAACCCTTCACAGGTGTCCAAAGTTAATCGCTGAAAAAAAGTGACATCTTCTGACGCAGACG